AGGGGTCTAAAGACTGTTAATTCATCACTTATTTACTTAAAACTTGAATATATTGCGAGTACTCAAAAAACTCAAGTACCCGAAAAAAATCCCTACTCGACTCGAACACGACTCGCTGAGTTCGAGTCGAGGAAAATTCGAAAACTTGGGTACTCGCACAGCCCTGGCCAATGTACATGTTTAAAATAAAATTTACATTTTTGAGCCTTAACATCTGAAAATAACTTATTTTTTCAATTTCAGCATTTTCTCTCTTGTTAAAAAGCAAAAACTTCAGAAAGATGCTCTTCATGTATTAAGTTTTGTAGGATTTTGATTTAAACCTTTATATCAGTTTTATTATTCAATATGTGCACAAAAATAAGTTTTCTTGCTCTTTGCTTTTTTCACATTTGTTAACGCACACACTTTTTTATGACTCTAAGCAAAATTCCACAAAACTCAATCCATGAAAAGCATCTTTCTGAAGATTTTGCTCCGTATCAGGAGTCTCTACCTCAAAAACTCTGATTTGAACCTTGCGCACAGTGCTAAAGACTAAAATAGTAAAAATAAGCAATTTTAAATGCAAATACCTATTCTACAATTTTTTCTACATTTTTTAGGGATAAAAGATGTGAATTTTATGTTATAAATGTATAACATAATATATGTTGAAAATTTAGATTGACATTAAACTGTGTTCTATATCACAAAAATGAATTGGTGTATGACTGCTCTTAGGGGGTCTAACCTATTGGTTCTTCTCAGAAAATTGATTTTTAAATTGATTGTGATTACGAATTGTTAATACTTTCAAGAACCTCTTAATATTTGGTACATAAAATTAGAATTACAAGTAAGTCAATATCCGTAATCAGTGCATGAGCTTACGCTATAGTGCATTTGAAATCTTTTGACGCATTCTGTGCAAAATAATGTTTTTTGACATGAAAACACCAGACATTCTTTATGACTATATAGTTATAGCGAGTATGACGCTTTGTAATGACAAACTTCTATCATGCTTATTCGTGTATTTGAACTATACATTATACACCGTGAGCTTTAGAGACATTTAAGAGTATGCGAACGAATCAGATGGGCAAACGGCTGCTTTTTAACTATCTCAACAATTTTCACAATCGAGAGATTACATTAATTCAATAACACTATTCAATAAATTTTATTAAAATTCAGTTGCGATATGAAGAAGATTCAATTAATCAAATCATATACACGCATACCTATTTATACGCGGTTTCTGTATAAGCGGTTCACCCTTATACGCGGATTGCCAAATGCGATGATGTCTCGTTATACGAGGATAAGTTCACGTTATACGCTGTTCAAGACGGTCGAAAATTTCTAAAACTCCAATAAAAAAAAGAAAAGTTATGAATTTGGCTGAAAAATTGATAATTCTAAATTTAATCAGAGAAGGGGAGTGTATTGCTGCTATTGCTACACCTTTGGAGGTCAATTAGTTGACTATTCGAACTCTGTAGATTTTTATATTGATATATTTATATAAAATAAAAAGTTTCTATTAAAGATTCGCTTTTTTTCTCATTATACACGGATTTCGCTATACTTGGAACTTTTCCGGAACGTAACCCCTGCGTATGACGAGGTATGCCTGTAATTATTTTATCAAAACAATAATTCCATTTTGAGAGCAAATAAATATTACTATGATTTTATGAAATTGATTATAGACATTGTATTTCATTGAAGCTATGAAATAGAATCATTTACGAAGAAAATATTTGTTTAATCAAATAATATATTTCATTAAAACATTTCATAAATCGAATAAAAAATTGGAAAATCCAAAATGAGGCTATAAAATAGAACGAAAAATTAAAATGTAGAAAAAACACGTTTTTAACTTATATAATTTTTTACCTAGAGCAAAAACGTATTTGAAAAAAATTTTATTAACCAAAAAGATTATAATTATTTCAAAGAAAAAGAATACGTTTGAATTTTTCAATTTTTTAAAAGTATGTATTTGGCTATCGCACACTTTAATAGCCATATCGACACCCCTTACGAAAAGTATAGGGAGATCCAAATGTCTTACGAAAGGTAGGAAGATTTGAATTTTAAGAAAAAAGTGGGAAGTTTTGATATTTTTTGTTAAAATCATGACGATTCAATTTTTTAACGAAAGTTAGGAAGTTTAAGTTTAATACCCCATGCTTCATAAAATACAATCAACAGTTCATCATTGTTGGTTATTTTTCAATATACACCTTATATTAATATTTGTTGTATACAACTAAGATAGGAATAATTAATTTACATATTAATAATCAAACCGAAGTTTAATAAGTACCAAATTTTCACTTGATTAGAATGATTTTTCGATATATCTTCTATCTCATCTCACAAAAAATGTCTCAGTTTGTACTATTGTGAATTGGAAATCGCATCGTTCAATTATTCGTCATCGTTCAGCTCTTTTCTAATAAGTGTAATTTATGACTAAAAGCTTATAAAAAGCAAGCGAATCTGAAACGATATCAATATGAATGAAAGATTCGTTTCAATGAGTAATTTGCAAGCGATAGTAGCCTCGAACTTCTTGTCAAGGCAGCGGGTGATTTTAGCGAACAATTAAACATAGTTTAATATAAATTATACTGTTAACGTGTTTTGCGAGTCAGATAGGGGGTCTATTTTGCTCGCTCCTAATTATATCATTATAACTGTCGAGTTAAAACATGGAAAAAGAACCGCACTGTTCGTACATTGCACTGCACTGCATCGCGGTTCGGACAGAATCAATTCGGCAGTGTATCACATAATCAATAATGAAAAGTGATAATTTAATAACAAGTAACGAGGGGTCTACACATAACAACTTTTATGATAAATATAACTTACCTAAAAAGTAAAACTTCCAAATTTTCATCATAAAATTGTAAGATTTCCTAGTTTTCGTCAAAAATTCTAACGATTCCCTAGTTTCCGTCAAAAGAACTATAACTTCCTATTTTTCTTCAGACATCGCGTGAAATGTCCTGGTTTTAGTAACGAAATTTGAAACTTCCTTATTATCGTAAAACATCTGAATCTCCCTACTTTTCGTAAGGGGCGTCGTTACAATGCGATGAGTCTGTGCGACCACACGATGCATCGGACTTGGTCGAGAAGAAATTTTCCAACACGTGCGACGTAAAATTTAATTTGGATATTGTGTAATTTTTTCGAAGATAAGAGAGGCTCGATGTATCTTAAAAATAGGTCAGAAGTTTATTGTCATGCCGCATGCGTGTAATGGACCGGTGTATATGACCCTCGCGAGGCAAAAATTCACCTGCACTACGTGTGCGAGTAGTTGATATGCACATCTATATCATGCACGCAGGGTACACTACATAAAAACCCGAGGGACTTCTTTTTTCTTCTTTTCACTTCTTTTTCGACCTTATCGTCAGTAACGTGTCCGCGCGGTTGTGTGTACAAAAATATAAAACTTGTACAGCTGCGAGAGAGTGAGACGCGCACGCGACCAACATATGCGACACTTAATACACGATGTAGGTACAAATAGAGCACGTCGTTATCTCGCCGCGTCTTTCTCGAGCTGTGCAAGCTTCCTCCTTTCTTTCTTTCTTCCATCCTTTTTTCTTTTTTTTTCGCCGGAATTGATCTTGAAGTTTTGCACACCATGCAGCGAGATTACACAAATTCAAGGTGAATTTTGGATTTACTTTAAGGACACCTGGATAAAAAAATCGCACAGCTACGATCCGCGCTTAGTTTTTTATAGGCTCGTTGATTTTGTTATATTTATTTATGTTTCTCGACGCGTTTATTTATACAGGCGTACGGTGTGTGTGTGTGTGTGTGTGTGTGTTATTAGGCGAACTGCTGCTGCTGCTCGACGTCAACGACGACGACGACGATAGCGCGAATTCCTTTGTATATATCGCGAGCGAGCTGCGCGGTACACGTAACGACGCGTTTAAAAAATAAATAAAATAAAATAAAAAAGAGTCACAACTCGCGCGCGCGCTCATGGCCAATCTCATCCATATAGAAAGAGACTTTCGAGTGGGTTTCGCATTTCGACCCGAAACAAAACATCCGAACGCAAATATTATACCGGTAATATAGTGTAATATTATATTATAGACAGACTTCGAGAGCTATAAATTTTAGAGCTTTTTAAAATTTTTTTATTTTTCCTTCCTCATTTCTTGTTTTTTGTTTTCTATACCGTCGCAGTCATTACACGCATATATACGTGTGTGTTGTGTGTCGAGAAAGTGTGTATGTATATCAGCTGCGTTTGCTAATACACGCGAATAAGCTGCGAAATGCACGCGCGCTCGATGCGTAACGCGCGCGCAGAGTCAGAGTCAGTCAGCCGAACTCTACCGAAAATGATTTACGATCTCTCGTTATTCTCCTTCCCCTCGTACATTTGTAGAGTTGAGAAAAAAAGGAGTAAGAATCACTCGGCGCACACGCTGAGCGAGAGCATTTCTTTTCTCTCTCTCGGGCCCGTACGTGTGCCGATTTCAAGAGTATATTTTTCAAAAATTTACGATAGATTTTATTCGATGGTTTTTTTTTAAATAATTTCACCTACGGTGTTACTAAAGCGGGAAACTCTTCAATTTTTTTCGTTTAATGACTTATCGATACGCGCGTTGAGAATGCCATTTATACTTTCTCACGGTTCGTCACCTGCGTGCGAATTGACTCACGACGTCTCTCTCGCTCTCTCGTGCACAAGCGCACATAATATATGCGCACGCTTGGCGCTTTTTGCATCGCAATTAAGACCATACACATGCTTGCGTGCATGTGGTAGCCGGCTCGAGTCTCGTTTTGTCGAACTCGTTTTTTTTCGAGCCGCGTCTTTTGACGGAGGATTAGAAAAGAGATCCTGCCGCGCTGTCTTTTCAATATAAGTTTACATGTACTTAGCGCGGCGTTAAAAAATATAGCACGTAAGAAAATGGAAAAGTAAAATGGAAAAAAAATATCGGTACACAACTCACCTCCAGACTTTGCCGAGGGTCTTGGATAGCTCGGCGTTGTGCAGCTGTGGATACTTCTCAGCCAGGGTCCTCCTCGCCGCCTGGGCCCAGACCATGAAGGCGTTCATCGGCCTCTTGACGCGCGCCGCTCGTTTGTCGTTTGCACCCCTGCACGCCCACGCACAGAAAAGAAACATTAGTATATGATTATCGTTGGGTAATTGTTCGTAAGAACAAAGTAGAAATGGAACGTGGGCTCGCGACCCTTTGAAGCGCAGTTAGCGGATCGCTTGGCAAAAACTGAGACTTTCTCTGTGCGCGCGACGCTATTATCATGCGCGCGTAATCGTTTTTGTCTTCCATCAGTGCGGGGCGAGAGCAGAGAGCAGCCCATCGAGTGCAGGGAAACACAGCCAAACAGCATATACACAGAAAACGTAAGCAATGCATCTTTTGACCGTAACCCCCTATTGGTTTTTTTTCGCGCGCATCTTTGTGTCGTGTCTGCTTTTTATAGACTGTACGCGGCACGCGCTCTCATACTTACATCTCGAGCGTTACTCTTTTTTTTTTTAAATTTTTTTTGCAGTTGGTTATCGGCCTGTTATAGGCTTGGATGATACGCGCAGTTTACGTACAGTTAATCGTAACTTCGAAATCTACACAACTGCTATATGCAAGCGCGCGGCTTTATTGATGCGATTTCCGCTTAAAATAAATATGTACGTACACAAGACGACGTACGCGATCAATTTCAAACGCAACCGACTCGGGCTCGATAACAAATCAAATCGTAATGTGTTTGTGTTCGGCAAAAAAAAAAAGAACGTCTTCGAGCGGTAATAAAAAACAGATGTCATATCGCGGTGGACATTAAGTAAATAGTATATTAAACGACATTTCGCACTTCCGATCGAGCTGCCGCTGAATTATTATGGCTAGCCCTTAAATTTTCGACAATTAACCCTCTTAAAAATATTCTCACGTGTTTATGACGCGTGACAGATGTATTACACAAAAAATCGACGAAACCGAATTATACTATCAACGAAAAAAAAGGCGAGGTGTCGTATCGCGAGATAAGGCCCGATTTTTCCCATATTTACATTGTATACACATTTTCCCACGTAAATATAATGCCGTTTTCGAATGTACCTAGCTACTGTGTCCGCATTAATGAGCTAATTAGCACTAATCGACTCGCGAGGACAAATCCGTACGTTTACCCTCTCTCTGCTGCTGCTTTTGCTCTCTCTCTCTCTCTCTTCTCTCTCTTTTTTCGCGACTCCCTTTTTACGCACGTAAATCGTGTATGCGTGTGTGGCCTAAGGTGCGAACGCGACAATTGAATTAGCACGACGTATAGTTTTTCCACCTATACATGGATTCTTATATATGTTCGAGCGCGAAAAACTCGCGCGCGCACCCAACCCTCCCTATACAACCCAGCTACAGCACTGCTAATTATTTTTCTCACGCGACATGTATACGACTGCCTATTTTTATTTTTTTTTCTTTGCGCAGTATATACCGTTGCTAAAAAATATTCAGAAGTATAGAAAAATAGATAATTATCAACGTACTTGGTGGCAACGGGCACGAGTGTCCAGTCGTAGCCCTGCAAAACTTTGGCCACCGCTGCGCTTATATCCTGACCTCCGTTTTGATTGATGCTGCTGTGGTTGTTGTTGTTATTGTTGATGTTGATTTTACTGGCACTGGTGCAAGTAGTGACTAGCTGAACTTTCGGCACTGGAGCTTTCGCCGCTGGTGGATTGACATCTAGCTGCTGCTCGTCGCTGCAGCCGCTCGTCATCTTTGTCGCGAGTATTTCCAGGCAATGCTTCTCACTCATGATTGTCATTTGTCACCGCGAACTGTATATCCGTGCACACAATAATATCGAAGACAACAACGGATGAAATGAAAAATGATCACTCGAAAAGAAAAAAGAAGACAATAGAAATCGAGGTTGCCCCGGTATACGATTTTTGCCGAGAGTTCGAGAGTTCGAGTTTTGCCGTGCCGCTCGCGAACGAGTATGAAACACGAGTGACGATCGGCAGCGAGCGAGAAACGTCGAGGCGAGGTGGTCGTGCGAGCGCCGCGTGGTAGTGCTCTCCGAAGCGTCGTCGTTTAGTACATAGCGTATACGAGACGCGTGGGCGGAGCGTACGATATATTCTATGCAGCGAGTTATGGCAGACACTTGTTGCTGCCACGGCTATAATACGAGAGTTAAAAGCTATAACGTGTGAGACAGAACTGACTCGAATTACGTACCAAATTTTCTGGATGGCAATGCTCGATTATATTTTTTTAATTTTAATATTTAAATCTTAATGTTCGAGGATTTCAAACCAGCTGAAAATGTATCAAGAGATGATCTAGTATACTTAGCTTTATTAAATTAAATGAAGCTACTTATCCGTTGATTCGTCATACTTCGTTTATGCATAAGGAAATAAAATTAATAAAATTTTGAGAGTAAAAAAAAATTCATAATTTTTCCGTTCTCCAGTACATTGAATTTTCCTACCTGAATGACCCAGGCATCATAAAATTAAATAACACATCCACGAATCTCAATTAAAACGCAACATAAATTTTCCGACGCAACTATAATATGCACGAGTATACGTAAAGTTGCCAAAATATTCGCCGCGAGCTGCAGCTCTCGCGAAGACGAGGCAATGCAAGCATGAAACTTGTGCGAGCGAGAGCGAAAGAGAAAAAGAGATATATCTAGATAGAAGGAGGAGCGGTTTTGCTCCACCCACCAAGCGTGTATAGCCGATCTCCCGGCCGGTATATATGATATGAGTCAGGCCGACGTCGCCGCCGCCGCCGAAGCGTCTATTCGTTCATTGGCTCGACGAGGCAAAAGATAGAAAGGAGAGCATCGTCGCTTCGTTGTATATAATATACGAAAACTTTTACCTATTTTTCAGCCGCATTTATAATTGGGAACGTGAGTTTAGCTGATATACTCTACGAACGGTAGCCGCGACCGAGCCAAGCACAGATGCCGGAGGAACTCGCGTTTGGATTTTTTTAAAAAGTATTTTGCCCTAGCCTCGTTATAGACCATCTGTCGCGAATCGCGTCGCGTGGGATAGTCGTCGCCGATGCTGGGAAAATTATTTTTTAAAGGGAAACTCCGAGGGAATAATTATCAGTGAGGATGTTTGATTTAAATACCTTGAAAGCGCGTATCCGTGCTCCTTCGTGCGGACTTATTGCGACCATTTTTTATCAATGAAATTCTTACTGAAGGACGGGGATTTTTTTACGTTTGATGCTTGTATAAGGTTTCGATTCTTAGCGTGAAATTGAATGACCGAAAAAATGTTCTTTCTGCTAGCATGAGAAACTTGTTGCTGCTTATGATGTCACATTGCGTTAATATATAATTGTGCTAGAATTTTTAGGGCCATAAAATCAAGTTCGATCCAGAAGCTTTCATCGCTAAAAAAAATCACAGAGCTTTTTTCAAATGTCCAATTCTACCTAATAGCAAAAATCGTAAATTAAAGTCATTATAATAATCAAAAATAATCATAATCAAAGTTATTATAAAAATTTAAAAGATACAACTGTTGAAATTTCAAGTAACTTAGCTCTCATATCAGCAGAAATTTGACTTCACAAAGAATCCGACATAAATATAAATTTGATTTTATAATTGCTTTAAATTAATCTCTTCTTTGAAGATGCAGAGTTACTTTTGTTTCAAATACTTCAAAGTATTTAACGACGTTTATTTCCAATAAATTCGTAACTTTTTGGTATTATAATCGTAAACATTTACGGCGCGCAATAATCGTTACTATATACATTTCTTCTTTAATTACAAAAAAAATAAATAAGTACCGCACGAAGGGAGTATACGATTTTGCATCGTTGCGCACGCATCACGACTCGAGTCGATCTTTTTCTCTCACGGGTATGTAGCATATTATGATCCCTCTCTAAGCGAGAGACGATATGCGGAGCTTTCATTTATGACTAATATTCCCCGATCCTTATCGCAATGCACACACACGTATACGCATAGCAGCGCGCGCCGCGTTGTGCAACATATATTTATACGTATGATTATTGATTAATAGTCAAGCGATGATCGCATGAATTCATTAGTAACGCATTAAATGGACGGAGCAGCGCGCGGAGGGATACGTCGTGTAGATTTTTTTTTGTGAGAAAAATAAAAGTGACAGGGGCCTAAGGAGATAACGAGAGCTGCTCTTTACTCGAACAAAAACGGCAGTAATAAGCCACCCTAATTTGAATCGTCTTCGTTATCGGTCGACGTCTATATGTATGGGAACGCTTCGACACCTTTGACATCTCTTCGCGTGTACATTATACATAGGTATCGATGTATAGACAAACAATAATATGTCGGGCTGGCGCTCGACGCGTTTCTGCGATCCATACCCGCGTATAATGTAAAAGCGCGCGCGGACCGTCGGAAAAGTATAAAGCGATGCACGCGAATGCATTCCGTGGTGCGGGCGGCTGCTCTTATACCCGCTCACTCACAGGCATAATAATATGCACTCTCGGTATCGATGTATACCGCACGTATAGACCCCCCGTCAAGATATATCGACGAAATTCCGCTGTTTCATTGTGGCGCTCGACTCTGCGCGCTGCGCCGAGCCATAGTTCGCGACTCGTTATAACGGAGCTCATTAGATGCCACTACACTACGACGATCCGTCCTGGGATTGACCTTAGCTGCTCGCCGTGTATTTTTCCTGCATCGTATAGGATTTACGTACGAATAAAAATAAGCAATCGCTGTTTGACATTTTGGGTGTCGATCGAGATTCGTACACAAACACACGGGTCTTGATCGATCCCTCCCAAGTCGCGACGTCGTCGTCGTCGTCGTCGTCGTCTATCGAAATTGTGTTGTTTTTAACCTCGTTGAGTGGCACGCGCTTACTCGATGTAATACGTCTAATTTTGAACAACGATTTATACATGTGTGTGTCGTGTGCCAGGCGCCGGGGGCGCCTTCGCGCGCGAAACGCATCGATTTCGCCAGATAATTATACCTACACTTTGTATATGTAAGCAAAGTCTGCACGGGCGCTTCGTGTAAACAATCGTCGATTCTCTTACTCGACGGAGACTGTGTGTATATTGTATAACAACAGCACACGCACGACGTATCTCGGAGCTTTTTTCTCTTTTTCCCTCCTTTTTATTTTGTTTTTGGCGCATCACCACATTCTGTCTGCATATCGATGATTTGCGGGAGTAATTATTTCAGGAAATCCCGATGCGCGGTATACGAGACGCCTGTCACGCGCGATGGACAAACGTCACTCAAGGATAATTGAATATTTTTTCATTTTTTCAAATCGATATAATAAACGTAAAAACTTATCATCGTACGTTATAAAGATCGCATTAATGATCATTTTAGTTATGAGATTGAAAAATATTAAATACTTTTTACGCTATTGAACTCGATAAAAGTAAAATTAATCGCTCGTTACGCGCTTCGAGTTTTATACGAATATACAAACTTCCGCGGTACTCATGTCTCGTTATCCATTTTACATCGAGCGTGAAATCATCGGTGTCAAGAGACTCGAGGAACCTAATCGCGCGCGGCCATCGTCGCTGAATTTCCCTATACATCGCCGAGGCTCGTAGGCAAAATCAACGAAAACACTGAGTAAGTAGCCCCGCGCGTAGTAGTGCGGGAATCGCGACGACAATCGAATCTTTCATTGCCTCTCTCGGGTGCCGACGAGCGAGCGAGCGAGCGAGCGATCATCAACAAGCGAACAAATATAATCGTCATCTCAAGCAGATCGGAGCAAGTGCGATAAAATCGCGACTCTCTCACCTCTTAACTGCATAATATTGCAGCGATCTGTTGGCTCCTATATTAGATTATTATATGGTCGATCTTCGTCGCCGAGCACGCACCTCGCGATTTCTCAATAGCCGTTTGTATGCTGTACTATATAGCTCGTGTGGTATAGTCACCAGAGCGCGCACGTATGCGCACTCACATGGTGTCGTACACACCGTGCTCCGAACGATATCAGTATTGTACCGGCACGGGCGCACTCGAGAGCTCTCTGTATCTATCTGTACCACATTCTTATGTAAATCCTAAATAAAGCCTTAAGTAATTAAAATAGAACAATTGTGTTTAATCAATACATTACAGCTCGAAAGAGAGATAGATAGATAAAGAGCAGAGCCTATAAATGTCACAAAGAATCATTTTCGGCCGCTCGTCTAATAATAATACGCGTGCTCGCGTGCCGCAAAATGGACCCTGCACGCACACGCGTATACACGCGAGATTTATTATCGGGCGGTAAGCTTTCGGGTTTATATGGAGTACAGTGCGGTCCTTCATTACTATGCGCGCACGTAGAGGCGCGTGTCTTTCCTCTCTCTCTTTGGTGGCTTGTGCTTCTGTACTGCTGCCGCGAGGCCTATTGAGGAAAGGAGGATGGCATTGACCGTGCCCGAGAGAGAAAAAGAGAGTCACCGCACGCAGACTAGCTGAGCTCTTATACCATGTACACTTGCTGCGCTGACATATCGTGTGTTTATGGGTGTCTTTTATACACGCGAAAGATCAAAGTCCGACAATGACAAAATGTGCGGCTGCTGACTGAATTTTTTTTAAATTTTTTTTTTTTTATTTGATAGATATTTAGTAAAGCTGAAGGTCAATCAATTGTTTTTGCATAATGTAACGATTTTAACGTGTAATTAAAGTGTTAATTAAATATTTAAAAAATTAACTTAATTTATAATCCACAGGCTTCACGGACCACTCAAATTCAACTCGAAAAAGAGGTGCGGTCCAACGTTGGTACCGCCTTTTCCGCTCTCTTTTCTCTCTACTTTTCCTCGCGAGTTAATATACCCGACTATATGATCGCGGACCGAATGCAACTCGCGGATATTTTCAGTGTCTCTCTCGCTCGTGTGCTTTTGAGAGCGGGGAGGGGGCGCTCAACAGCCGCTGCAGCCGCCGTCTCTCCGCTGCAGCATCATCTCTCGCGGTCCGCACCGCGCGGCCAAGTCTTAGTTAGAGCTAGCTAGGCTCTCATCCCTCTTTTCTCGCGGCAGCGAGAGATCTTCGTTCGGCTCCGTCTTCGGTGGCGGCCGCCGCCGTCGCTGGCTTTGGCGCGCGACAGTACCTTTCCGAAGACTCGGCACGCGACTCGTATCTTTCACTCTCTCTCTCTCTCCCGAAAGTTATCTCTTTCTCTCTCTGATAAAAGCAAAGTTTCGGAGGCAATTAATGAAAAAAAAGGTTTTGCGGATAAAGACGCTTGCGTGATATTATTACACACGTATATTATTGCGGGCAGCACGAGTGCAGCAACACATACACAGTGGCTTCCATTCATTCGCGTTGAAAACAAAAAAAATAAATAAAGCAGCAGCAGCAGAAAATTTTTCAACTCGGAGAAGAAGAGAAAAAATGGCACATGTGTAATCATCGTCGCTCGACCGAGAGAGATAAGATTGATCCAAATCGAGAAATCATTAAGGCGATTTTTTTAGAGAAGAACGACGACGATGAGGATGAAGAGGAGGAATAGCAGCGGCAGCGATCAGCAGCGAGAAGGAGAGAATATTGCCGCGAGATTAGCTGGAAAAATTATCGCCTTGACGAGTATATAATAATCATTATTGCGGAGCGGAGTTATATATACACATTTTTTCGCTCTTCTGTCTCTTCTTCGTCTTTTTTTTATTTTTTTCATTCGGGCACTCGAAGGAGATAAAGATAATAAATAATCGCCGATCTCGAGCAAATGCGAACTGCCTCGAATGAAGGATTTTAATTATGGAGGCCGGAAGTGTTAATATGAACAATAATAACAACAACAATAATCGGGGTGAGGGAAGTGCAAAGAGCAGCAAGTCGAGTGCAGCAGCAGCAGCAGCAGCGGGTCACCAGTCCATGGCGCAGACGAAGGAGCACACGGCTCTCGACGACGCCGTGGGTAAACTGCTCGAAGGTTCGAAATAATGCTTTTGTTTCTTACATGTTTTTCATATACCCTAACGTAGGAAAATAGATAGATTTTATCGGGCGTAAAAATAATAGTAAAATAATAATAATGCATAGTGTCGAGGCAGGCAATGGCCGCGCGCGCGCGCTATACTCTAGTCTACGTACGATATGTAAATAATGTAATATTTTCCTGCCTCAATGGCCTCTTTGTGAAAAGTACGAAGATGAGTAAATTATGTACGGATTTACGCAGACTTGCGAGCGCCAACTACACGAAATACGAAAACCTCGTGAATTATGTCACGTTTTTATCAAAATTTCCGAACTTAGGACAAACAAACGCATTCATTACGTTTAGGATGAGTGTACGTGTATCGAGTCGTAGGCGATGTCTATACAGTATAGACTCGGACTCGTATCGATTATTATTATGTGTCCGAGGGAATATTAGTTTATTAATTGCAATTAACACATCACAATTTGCTGAATTATTGTGTATCTTGGCAGCGTTCGAAGAGCTAACTGAGTGTATTTAATTGACAACTGCGAAGATCCATTATAAAATCAATGCCTTACGTGTTTATATGTGGGATTTCGCGCGTACACCTGTTGGGCGCACGACGAAATAAACACGCTGAAAATAGATATAGCCGATATTTCGCGCACTAATACACCTCTATATAATACATTCAACATAGATAGATACCCGATGTGTACAGACGCGCGAGAAAAGAGGAGGAAGATAGAAGTCGAGCGTCGCGCGTCAGCTCGTCGATGCGCGTCGATTCCCCGTTATGCGCATGTATTATGAGGTATATTCGAAAAGAGCCTCAAAGGCAGAGAGTAGCAGCAGCAGCAGCAGCAGTAGCAGTTCTCGTTTAGCGAGGACATTTTAATTGGTGCTGAAAGCCTCGCTCGCTCGTCGTCGTCGTCGGTGTCACGATGTCGCGTCGCGAGCTCGGTTCAGCTCCCCCTTCGACTCCCGCATTTTGACCGTATATACATCTTATTATAATGTACACACTTACGATGTATGTATGTACATGGGTGACACATTTGCACCGCAATTTATCATTATTATATGCTTTTGAAGTACGCGAGACTGCGTCGCGGTTAAACAGAGTGTTTACACATACGAATATATACAAAATTTTATTATTTTCGTTATCGTTTTGCGCTGGACTTTCTGCTCCTAAAATCAGCGCGACCATGCCGTAGTAATCTACCGGGCAAAATATAATAACACAATTAACGTCCCGAGCTCTCGCACGGTAATCTCTTTATTACACGCGCTGGGCTAACGTCGTAATAATCGCGAGTAGAGAGACGTTATAGCGCGACGGATATATTTTCGCTTGGCTGGGTAAGTTCTATCGGTTCTTTCAAGAAGAGAGGCACCGAGAGAACGAGAAAGAGCGCAACGCCCCTGCTCGCGCGTAACAATGTGATGAAATTCGCGATTTATGCAGCGCAGCGATACAATGTGTATCAAAATTCGTTGATACGGAAAATCACGGCTTGTAACGAGCTTTATATACGATTACGCACGTGATAATTGCGACCACAAAAAACCAAACGAAAATGCAAGCTCTGGTCGGATAAAAATCATAGTTCACTCGCGTATATACCTCGAATTAGTGACGCATCGTTGATGAGGAGACTCCGAAATTGATCTTTATAAGCTCGCTGCGCGTAGAGTTAGATCGAAATATTCCGGCGTTAATTACGTTAACCTTTTCTCGTATATTATAAAGCACATACTTGCGCGCGCGTTACATATATATAGTTTACATACACACGCAGAAAGAGTCGGGGCATGTGCCACCACGAGCCTCTATATCGGCGGCAAATCGGGACAGGTGCTGCGAGCGGAGCGTTAAGTTTCGTTCAACGCGCGTGAATATATCTATATACGATCGTGTGCGCGGGCAGCATCGGTATAGCAAATGTTGCACTAATTACCCGAGCTTAGACATGCGCACGCATACGACGGATTTAAATTCTCACTCTCGCGACGCGATTATTTATTGCCCTTCCCTTTTAATAATACTTAGTCTCGGCATCGTCATCGCGCGCGAGCGAGCGATGTATGTATATCTTGGTGCTACACCCGCACACACATCGGATCGCGACTCCCTCCCCCCTCGCGCGGCCCCCCGGAGTCGACTTTTGCGGAGAAAAGCTCGAAAGCTCGCACACACACACGAGTTGCGGGTGCGAGAATAGTGTGTCGCTCGCATGCACCTACATACGCGTACACACACAACGCGTTTCTATTTTTATGTGTACGATTTCGCTCCGATTAATAATGCGTGGATGCACTCGGAGTTTAATATAAATCCACGTAGATTTTTCATTCCCCCGCGAGGTCTTCCTCTCGCTTATTATTAATTGTATCGTATTAAGCCCGCGCTCTTGGTATTTGCACGAAATAATTAAGACACGTGTCCAGCTGAAGTATGGCGGAGCGGCAATATATTATCGCGATTTCACGCGATACGTCGAATCTATCTATTTTCACCCTCGCGCTCGAAAATATATGCGCTTCTTCGTGTCTTTGTCATCTGCGCCTCTTCTTCTTCTTCGTCTTCCTCGTCTTCTTCATTTTGGTCTTTGTATTATATACGTCATCGTCAAAAATGCGTCCCCAGAGGTGTTATAAGCGCGAGGCACATTTCATTACGTATACCAAAACATAGCCGAAGCTGCCATCGCGTGTACAGCGTATTTCAACAGCTGCTTTACAAAGCTTGATAAGCCAATCGCGGCTAGTAAATCATAGCTCTTAGACAAATATTTATCGTATTAATATAGAGATGCCCCGAGTATAGAGCGGTCCCCCCCTTCCCCTTTTTTTCTCTTTTTCTCTAAAACATTCGCGGCCCCCTTCTCTCGCCACATATATTTATGCGTACTTCGCTGGCAAGCGCAATTCTCTCCTTTTTTCTCCCATATTTTGCATCATTTAATTCTTCTCGAATTTATCAGACTCCAAAAAACACGCGCGTACCGCGTTCGACGAACTCTTTAACTCGAAATCGCAGTTCAGAAATTCATATAGGCGTGCTACGCGTATATGGTTGATTCTCCTGAAATCTGCTTTTTGCATGTCTTTATGCCATATTCTTAAACTAGTGAAGATGAGCCAAAACTGGCTCGGTCATTCATTCAATATTGTTGTATTCTTCATGATAGGACATAAATATTTCAATTTTTTAGGGTCAGTTAAATTTGCCGTGGAGATATACATGCCAAATGTCACCTCCGTGGCATGTCTACATCTCAAAATCAACTCTATTTGCATGTACCATGCATTCTCATTAGCACCTGACCCTATAATAACTATGAGACCAGCTTCTATACATCCAGAGTAAAGTTCAAGTCTATTATAGGGCTTTGAAAAATGTTTTAAAAAAATTTCCCACGCAATTGAAAAATGTCTCGGATTTTAATCATGCTTCTGAATAATTTCAAACATACCGCCTGCTTTGGGTCGCTAACTCATTTTTGATGTCGCTAGATACGTAAATGTCAAGTATTATAGCCCAGCTTTTGATTGGTGTAGGTTGCGGGTTCAAATTTTACATTTTATCGTTGCTGCGATAATTATTCTATTGAAAAATTCACGTGTGTCAAAAAAACGGTCACCTCCGTGGACATGAATATCTCGAGCTATGATCATTCTTTTTAACCGCTCGCCCCGTCAAAAGACTCGTTTTTCATGACCAAATTTCGGGTTGTGCGGAAAATTTTGTCCGTTTCTTATTTTTCTTACATAGTTGATCAAAGCAGCGATTTGTCGACTCCGTGTGTGTCACCTCCGTAACCCAAAATAGTCGATTTTAAGCATAAAATCGGACATAGTTTTCGTAAAAAGAAATCTCAAAGCCCCAGATTCAATAATTATTCATATTTTATGGTTTAAAAAAGGGTAAACTAGTTCGCGCCGTTCAATATGACAAAAAAATTTTCACCATTTTTTCGTTTTCCATACCCGAAAAAGCAGATTTCGGGAGAATCAACCATATATAATATTCCTCGTAAAAAGCATCCTTCCGAGTGGCAAAAAGGCTCGCACCAAAGAGGATCGCGCGCCCCCGATTCCGTGGAACGCGGCACACGACTCCGAGTTCGTGAATGTGCGAGTGCGTAAGAGACAACGAAAAAAAAAAATTAGGCAGCTTCTCTCGCATATACAGCTTTGGGTTGGAGAGCTCGAGAGAGAGAGATGAGAAGAGGCCGCGCCGTCGATGCGTGATGAGACGTGCAGGCGGCAATTAGAAACGCGACACTTGTTTTTTCGCGGATCTTCCGAGGCATTATTTTTCTTTCAAAGCTCGAAAGTTTCTTGGATTTTCTGTACGCTAAAGTCGAAGGACCAATTTTTTGCTTCGTATAATGTGAGAAATATTCGACGGAATTTTATATTTATGAATCTTTTTGTTTCGCGCTAATAACATTTTTCTCGATCGAAAAAGAGGCATAATTAATTATTGTAAACGACGATCAAATCAAAGGTTACGATTGGACACTGCTGCCGGTGACTTCGCGCACTTGCTGCGACGGCAGCGGACGCGCCTCGCACATCAAGCGACCGATGAACGCCTTCATGGTCTGGGCCCAGGCGGCCCGACGCAGACTCGCCGTGCAGTATCCGCAGCTGCACAACGCCGAGCTGTCCAAGACCCTTGGTAAATTGTGGAGGTGAGCATAATGCTTGAATATCGCGATGATATATAGAAACGAGGCAATTTTGGGTGAATTACTTTGCAGAATACTGAGCGACGGCGAGAAGAAGCCGTTCATCGAGGAGGCGGAAAGACTGAGGAACGCGCATAAAAAGCAGCATCCACATTACAAAGTATTAGAAATGTTATTTCTTTTTTTTTTTTAATTAGAACTATAAGCGGACTTGAATTGCGTGATACCACGAAATTTTCCTTTTCTTTCATCCATCTCAGTACCAACCGCGACGCCGAAAAGCCAAAATCGACGCCGCGGAGGCCTCATCGACGACGACGACGACAACGACGAGTCGCTCGTCGGCGAGCAACAACAATATAGAGCCCGTGTCGACGAGCGCCAGTATTGCCGACTCCACGACCAATCATCATCATCATCATCATCTGTACAATCATACGGCCGCGGCTGCCGGTGGTGTCACGGGCCGCATTTGCCCCGAACCCGATGCTGCGGGCCTCAACGTAAACATCAGTCCGTCGCCGAGCAGCCCGATGCTCGGCAGCAACAGCGGCAGCGGCTACGATCGGTCGGTCGTCGTTACGAGCTCTTACGGAACTGCAGCGGCTGCTACGTCCAGCTCGCCGTCGGCCGGCGAATTGACGAGCTACGACACCACTGCCAAATACGCCCTCGATCACGAGCATCATCATGGATTGAGCCTCGGTATAGTGATCAGCACATTAAGCTTAAATTCGATGTTTATATATAAGACATCGTTACATTAATTTCTTTTTTGCTCAGCGACTAGAACTGCGGAGGCGAGTAGCGCCGCGTCGTCCCGTTACTCGACTCCGGACCATCTTCACAACCACCACCACCATCACCACTCGTCCCATCCGCACAGATACGATAGCGATCTGCAGCAATCGAGCGCCAAGTTGAACTACGAATCGAGCGTTGTGAGAAATGCCACCACCGCCGGACACTACGGGGCCGCGAAAACGACGCCCACGGCGGGAGACTACACGCATTACGCCGCTACCGCGGCCAATCGTCATCATCATCCACATCATCCCCAATACTACACGGAGGCGGCCTACCTGACCGGCAACGGACCGGCGGCAGTGGTCGCATCCCAACACCATCATTATCCTCATCCGCCGCCGCCACCGCACCATTACGAGGAACTGGATTACGCGCACCAGAATCATCATCACCAGGCCTCGACGATGACGAGCTCGACTGCGGCGGCTGCTGCTGCTGCTGCTTCGCAGGTTGTGGCTGCGCCAAGCCCGGCTCATCATTCGTTTTATCCCTACATCGCTTCGTCGCCGTATTACGTGCCACCACGGTGAACGCGCGACGACAATCCGATATACATTAAATACAATGTGTTTCCGGGTATATAGTGGACCTGATTTTTATCGATATAATCGTGCCTTTCTGTAAATTTTAAGATTTTAAGGATTTTTACAAATCGTAAACGTTCGTGTACTTAAGTTTGACGAGTGAAATAATTTTTAAGCTCGCAGTATGTTGGTTGAACAATAAATTTATTTCTGAAACCTTTTTTTTTTATTGATTCATATATTATTGTATTATTTGTTTTGCTATGGCAATTCGTTATTACGGCGAACACTTGGTATGTTTGTTCATTTGGTGACTCTGACAGGTACTTATGATAACATTTAAAATTAATCTGTTGCTTACGAAATGATAATAAAAAAAACTTCGTTTCATAAAATTTCTGGGTGTCGATCAATTGTGCATTTTGTTTTGTTGTTGTTTTTTACAGATAATGATAATTATAACTACAACATGTAATAAAAATTCTCTCAAGGGCCAAAACCCGTACTTCCCACAGTGAGTCTCGTGGCTACACCATCTCTCTAAATACACGTCAATCGTCGTATAAAATATTATCTGTACACTCATATACGAAAAAAGTAGAAAAAGCTCTACGCTAATACACAATATTACCTCTCGCTTCTCTCAATTTTGTCTCTGACTATTAAGTTCTAAATTCAAGATGTGGCGCTTTGATATAATAATTAATTAAACTACATTATTTGACCGATAGACAAACGGCATAAATTATCTCAGCATTATCAGGACTGCTTCGATTATATTTTCGACTAAAATATTCCTCATTCTTCGATATGACTGAACGCAAATCATCAGTGGAATTATTATTTGAATTATATAAGATATGGTTCGCGTCACAAAAATTACAAATCACAGGAGAGAGAATTCATGCACACGATGCTCGGGCATCACATGCCTCGAGCAAAATTCGATTCAAAACATAAACTTGAAAAAAATAAATAAAATCAGAAAATAATGATATGCCACATACGAACATGCGAAGGATCGTTTAGATAAAAGGTAAATTTCTATTCGTTGAGCGAGTCCAGCACAGCTCCGAGTTCCTTGATCTGGTCGCGATTCGCGTGCATGGCAGCCTTGACGGTCCACATCATTTCGGCGAGTATGGCGTCGCTCCTCTCGTCCATCTCGATCTCGGCGCTGAGCTGCGGATTGAAGCGGTAGTAGGGCACGCCGATCATGGAGCACCAGGTGCGCGCGCGATCGACGACCCGTCCGTCGGACGCAGTGGCTTGGTCCACCAGCAGGGCGGCAAGAGTCGATAAACCCATGGCTGTATGCGAATTAACGGGTAAGATTAACAATAAAGTGACGATTAAATTTTTAAGAAATGACAAATGAATACATTACCTAATTTGGCCGTATCAAAGATCCCCCCCGGTCTGAAAATGTCGACATTTTGCAGAGGCTTGCAAGGTATGGCACCAGTGCCGATCGATACGACCAACTGCAACGGTACAACTTCGGCGGCTCTGCCGGAGGCCTCCAGGGCCAGATTGTACTCGTGTATCTCGGTCATGGCGTCGAGTGTCGGATTATTGGCTATCAGACCGCCGTCGAGGAACCGACCGAAGGCGCGGAAATACGAGGGCGCCGCGCCCGTGGCTCTCGCGGCCTTCCAGCACAGCTGCTCCTCGGGCTCGAGGGTCGGCTTGAACTTGTCGCTCACCGGCTGGCCGAGTATCTTGCTCGGCGACTCGTAATTGCGAAACAGATGGAGCTCCACGGGCTTGCGATCCGCCAGCACGCCCGTGATCATGAGCTTGGGATAGCGAATGTCCGACATGACCGTCTCCTCGCCCAGGGTCTGCTTGAGGGCCGACTCGAGGGGCTCGCTCGCGTACGGCCGGCTGCCGACGAAGGTGCTGTCCTTGATGCGGAAGTAGAGCGCCTGGCACTCCTGCAGGGACTTGCCGGCGACTATGCCCAGCGCCAGTATGCCACCCGTGGACGTGCCGGCGATCCAGTCGAAGTACGTGCCGATGGGCTTGCCGAGCACGGACTCGATTTCCAGCAGCGTCTGGACGAGCACCAGGCCGCGAATGCCGCCGCCGTCGAGGCAGAGCAGCCGACCGCCGCTCTTCTTCTTGCCCCTCTTGGACGACTCGGCCTCCGACGCCATTTTTGCCATGCTCGACACGTAGAGCATTTGGTCGAGCACGGACCGCGACACGGCGGTTGGCGGCTCGGGTGGCGCCACGCCGTCGAACGTCTCTCTGTGCTTGCAGCCCTGATGGCAGCTGCGCGTCTCTGCCGGGCAGCGTTTCGCGCCGACCGCGTGCAGGATGTACAGGATTTTCTGTCCGTCGGGCTGATCGACGTTCACCAGGTGACGGGGCGACGATCCGTTGAAATTTCTCGAGTTGACGTCCGCTCCGAAAGCCAAGAGAAGTTGAACGATGGCTGGTGTGGACTGAAACGAAATCAATGCATAATTATTCAACGCGCGGTTCGATCGTTAAATTTTGATATCGATCAGCTTTATACCGCTACGTGACCATAAGTACGCACGGCTAGTTCGAGGTCACTTGCCGACCTCGACGTACACACAGTTGGAATAATAAATACCTGAGCCACGGCAAGATGCAGAGGACTGTTTCCCTCTCTGTCGACGATATTGATGTTGGCCATGTGACTGAGCAGGGCCGACACGCACTCCAGCCTCTTGCGCATCACCATGACGTGCAGGGCCGTCCTGCCGTCGAAGTTCAGCGCGTCGATGTCGCAATTCTTCTCGATCAACTGATTGATCACCTCGCGGCTGCAGCACCAGTGCAGCGGTGTGCCGCCGTACTTCATGTCCTCGTGCTTCAAGCTGTTCGGCTGGTTGTGCAGAAAGTCACCGATGTAGCCCGGCGTCGAGGCTGAGCCTGAACAACAATCGCAACAATTACACTCTTTGCGAGGAGAACGACTTCTTCTGGACATTTTGATGACGTTTTGCGCGTGTTAGCTTTTACGTCGCCCGCGATGTACTGTGCTCTCGTTGGACCGCGTGAATTTGTTTTGTTTATTGAAAAGCGTACAAGGGAGAAAATTTCAAGATAAGAAATATTTATCTCTTTCTACAGTGTTTACAGTTATTAGAGAGATGGTAAATTTAAAGTGAAAATTGGTCATATTAATTTTAAATGAGTTATTCTACCCTATGGTGATTTAGTTAATATTAAAAAGATAAGAATACCTTCAGTTGCAGAAATATTAACATCAGCTCCAATCAACAGCAATGCTTTAACGCAATCTGGCTTATCATTTAAACAAGCCAAATGCATTGGAGTATAGCCATCGCTGTTTCTGCTGTTTAATATGTGGGGAAGATCAGAACCAAGGGCTAGAATAATTTCTTTTGTAGAATTTGCAGCATAATGAAAAACAGTATTGGCTTTCCAGTCCAAATGTGTCAGTGAACCTTTGGCTGCTATCAACATTTGAACTATTTTTAAGTTATGAGTAGTAATGGCAACTTGTAGCGGCGAAGCTCCTGTTTCATTGTCACTGCTATTCAAGTAGTTGAGAACAATGTCATGGTTGAAAGCTTCATAGAGCATTAAACCTGCTGAGACATGAGCTAGAGTCCAAGTCGAGTGCTCCACTAAAGTATCGCAGAGCTTTTGAATTTTTTTGTCATTCGCCATCTGAAAAATTCAAGCTAGTAAATAGTGGCAGCACTTACAAGTTGATTACATGTTTTACATTTTTTATAACTGACCTCACGGCATATGTCAATGAGAACTGGCACTTTGTCTTTGTAAATAATGAATTTAGTTTCTACCTCTTCCAAATTTTCTGAGCGATACAAACTGCAAATATATTTTTCATTCATCTATGTCATAGTATAGTATAGTATTTAAAATTAATGTAAATGCCACAAAAAAAAAACAGTATTTGTACCTGTATCCCTGATGTAAAGACTCTGAGCACGGTCTGTGCAATACAATTTCATATTTTTTATCCTTGTCAGATCCTCCAGGCTTATATAAAACGATGCCGTCTTCACGACAGTGTATGTGTCTTTTGTGATATTCGCTAGTCTTGACTTCCTGCACTTGATTGCAGGGTATCTCCGGAAACAATGAGATGTTTCGCAGAACACTGTGCGCTATATTCCCGAGCCATGCCATGTTGCTGCTCATCAAATAGCGTTAAAAATTAACTAAGTCAAATGCTAAAAAATCGATATTACTTTCGTTGCGTCTGAAAAAAGAAAATAATTCCTTGACATTACACGTAACAGTGTTATTGATAAATTCTACACACATCCACAAATTTACACAATTCCTAACGTAATCGTAATGAATTCTAAATTTTTTAAATAAAATATATTAAAAGTTTTGCGATTCGAGGCTTACCACTTTATTGCTGAGGTTATAGCTTTGCGAAACTCCGAACGACTGGCAGCGCGCTTATCCACGACCGTCGCGGCGAGAGTGTCCGATGCTCAATTGCAACTGAATCGTCATCTCTCCGCAGCACGTTTTTTCCCTCCGAAAAATTGATTATTATCTTACTCCGCGACGGAGACACGATTATTACATACACAAACAATGCGTAGACGCATCATGACATTTGGATATGTAGCGCGAGCAGAAGACAGCAGCAGAATCCGTCCTTGAAAACGGCGGCGCATCTTTTCAGGGGTCACGTGACTCACTGCCACTAGCTACACCTACACATATGCAATAACGAGAACAGCTGGTTGTTGTCATCGCTGAGTGCGCGTCTCTCGTATGGATTTCGGCCGGTGCATCGATATATGTTTATCGTTCAAAGCTTTGGCCCGTCTGGTGTGATAAAAAATCGTTAGAATCCTTTATTACATCCGCAAAGTGCATTATTACGCGGCTATATGTGGTCTATATTCTTGGTGACGAGACGTGGTATAGAATAAAAGGCCACGATAGGAGTAAGACGCAGGTGACTTTGGACACGCACCTTCTTTTACGATTGTTATGAATTTTGAATACTAATTATCAAGGCAATAATGGACGACGTAAAGTGAGTTTTAAATGAGATTTTGAGCGATATCATCGTTACAAATCACGATTTTATTCCAAAAGTCTTTCTTTGTGCTCTAAAAATAATTCGAGCTCATGCTTACATACTTTTTTCACAGAAAGGAATTGGATGACTTATCAGAGGTATCTCAAAAACTTGCTAAAGGAATCGTAGATGTCTACGAAGGGCCTTTATCTCAAGTTCAGCAAGAATTGAATGCTCTAACGTAAGTAATTGTAAATACTCAACTTTAAATCCCTTGATTGATCATTTTATGGTTATAAATGTTTATCATATTTTGCAGATCAAAACAAGAAACATGTATTACTCAAATGCAAGCAGAAAATAAGAAAATGTGTGATGTTCAAGATGATATTGAACTCAATCATTTGGTATGAATGTTTTGATAAATTGTTAAAAATAGTTTTCATGAATTATCTTACTATTTTTTGTATTTTTGCAGTTTACAACAGTTGCAAATTCTCAAAGAAAATTATTGGATATAAAGACTGAGATAATGTCAATTTGTGATAGAACAGCCAGATTAAAAGTAAGAAGAGAATAAATGATATACTATTGGATATGATTAACTCCTAACAATACTAATTAAATGCTTGTTTTTTTGTTATTATAGAAGAGAGCATTGCACTTACAAAAACTAAAGCAAAAAGAAATTCAAGCTAAAGCTGCTGCTAGCGTCAACAGAGATGATTGAATGCTGCCAATATTTTATACTTTTTTAATACTAATTATAATTAAGAATACTACCCTGTGTAAAAAAATATAATCAGATCTGTTAGTTATAGAACAATAAAAGAATATAAATGCTTTTAAAATCATCAGAAAACTATTTCTCAAAATTCTGTAACACAATGAGATGAATTGGCAAAACTATATAACATGGTCATTATCATTTCTTTCACAAAAATAAAAGCTGCAGCTTATGAGTCATTAAAATCTTTTGTTACAAGCCCGACAGATGAAAAAAATTCGGAAAAGTTTCATCCCCCAGTATGAGTCATTTTCGGACGAAAAGTTCGAAACGAGCGCCACCACCACCGCATCTCACAATAATAATAAATAATCTAGCAGACGCCGCCGCCATACACCCTTGGCAACACCGCGAGAGACGCGAGAACGTCTTCGCGTTGCAGCTTGCACGCAGCAATGCAGTAATTATGTCTGGTCTCTCTCATCTCGGCAGCAGCAGCAGCAGCAGCAGCAGCAGCAGTCGCAGTCTCAGCCACCCTTTGCTCGAGTGAGAAACATCGAAGTGAGCGCACAACATCCTCATGTGATATAACATCGAAGCGGTGTATAAAATTTCATCCCATCTTGGCGATCACACCCAACAATGATGATGTCGCATCGAATCGACGATAAACACAACGAGGCGCTAACTGTCACGGCTCTTTGTTGTCACTTCTCCGAAATCATCATTGAATCAACGATGCGAAAGCGTCGTAATTGAACTCGTTCGAGGGGATCGAATTTCGACGGTTGAATTTTGTGTGACAGTGTGGTGATCGAGTGTCTCGAGGAAAAGTCGGGCAAAAATGTCGAGCGGAGAGAGGAAAAAGCGCGTCGGAAATCGGAGCAAGGGATGGGAGGAGGCTGGCGCGGAGTTTTATCAGGAGAGCTATCCTGGTGCTTGCGAGGCCGACATACAAAAGGCACTGGAAAGAGACCCGTCAAAGCTGGCCACCCTCTTACCGAGCAAGAAATCCCGAGTTGGTAAGTTCATGAATCTAAGTGCTAAATTTTGCCTTTGCTTTTACTTTGTCTTTGCTTTTATTTTATCTTTGTTTTTGTTTTGTCTCTGCTTTTATTGCTTTTATATTTTGCATTTATGTCAAAAAAATGACATGGTCAAGATTATCATCGCACTTCTAATATTATTGAAATAGTCACTACTACAAAACGAGTGGGACATGAACCACGCACAACGCTGAGAAGACGCACAAGCACTCGTTTAAGGTATTCAACCACAACTAGACGTCAGTCAACTCAACTAGATGCAAATGCATCTATGCTGCCTGATTTATCTGAGAATTTGACTAATGAGAAAAAAAATTGGGAAGATATTATGCAAATCAAAGCCCTGCCCGTATGCATGAAACAAAAAAAGGAACTCAAGCTGCAGTTAAAGGTACTGTTGAGTCAATTTTTAAAACTTTCAATATAATTTATTAAAAAAATAAAATAATTATTTTTTTAGAATACCACGACCATTAGACTTCAAGGATGTGAACAATTTAAATTTTGGTGTCTACAAAAATGGGAAGGCCTGAAAAATTTCCTACATCAAGTCTATTCAAAAATGGGACTTTGGAATAGTAGCTTGAAACACATTGGCGGCAATTTTGGAATGGGAGTTGTTGCCTACTTTCTCTTTATCAAGTGGATTCTCTTTCTGAATCTCTTTCTTTTTTCCATTATTATGATCTTTCTAGTTTTGCCTACTATATTATTAGAATTTCCTGCAGATGACTCTTGTATAACTGCAAATGGTACCTGTTGTTCATCAACGAGTGTCAACAGTACTAGAAATTTTGAAATTGCCAGTCTTTTCCATGGTGGACATTTATTAGAAAACACTGTTCTATTTTATGGAGCATATTCATCATCTACTTATTACAATGAAGAAAAAAACTTGACCTATAAATTACCATTAGCTTATGTTTTTGTTATGATTGCTGTTTTCGCAGTGAGTTTATTTGCTATTGTTAGATGGGCAGCTAAAGGGTTCAAACAAAGAGTTGTTGAAAGTGAAGGCCAGTTATACCATTACTGCAATTTGATTTTTGGAGGATGGGATTATTGTATCAATAATGAAAAGGCCGCCTCTACTAAACACTTAGCCTTGTACAAAGAAATGAAGGTATTACATAAGTGAAAAAAGTTAATTGTCTTACAAAAAAAACATGAAAATATATGTTCAATTTTTTACAGGCACTATTGGCGGCAGAACGGTTCGAGGATGAGCGTCAAAATCGAACGCAAGAAGACAGATTCAAACTTTGTTTAATTCGTATTATCGTAAATATTTCAGTCATTATCATCTTATTATTGTCGGGAATTGGTATATATTGGATAATTCGCTTGTCTTTTGAAAAAGTAGCCAACCAACCCCTAAAGATGGTCTACTCAAGTATAGATGCTAAAACGGTAGAACTTTGGGTCTACGAATTTGTACCATACTTTGCCATTGTTTTACTCAATATGGTCATTCCCGTACTCTTTAATTATCTTATAACTCTTGAAAATTATAGTCCAACATTTGTTGTAAAACTTACCCTCTTCCGTACAATATTCTTAAGATTAGCATCTTTGATTGTGTTGCTCTACACTTTTTACATGAAAATAGCGCAAAGTAAAGATAACGATGATTGCAATAATTCTAAAAAACCCTTATGCTGGGAGACATTTGTCGGGCAGCAGTTTATGAAGCTATACATGACTGATGTAGTAAGCCAATTCTTCTTGACATTTACCATCAACCTATTTAGAGCTAGCGTTGCCCGAAGTACCAAAAATAAAGTTGTACGATATATAGGTCGACAAGAATTTGATTTATCTAAACATGTTCTTGATATAGTCTATTTACAAACTGTTTGCTGGCTTGGGACATTTTTCTCACCAGGATTGCCTTTAATTGCAGTAATAGGTTCATTTTTACTTTTTTACACAAAGAAATTCTTTTGCATGATAATTTGTGGGCCCTCTAAGCGTATTTATCGTGCTAGTAAATCACAATCACTTTTCATGCTCATTCTCCTTATATGCTACATTTTGACGATTGTACCCGTTGTTTACAGTCTAGTTAAAATGACTCCTTCTAAATCATGTGGACCCTTCAAAGGTTTGGAGTCTTCTTGGAGTTTGCTTGTTTTAACATACCAACAACTTCCAGCTTGGTTGAGATCAATTTTATCTTTATTTTCAACATTCAGCTTTGCAGCTGCAGCATTTCTTATACTCTCATTTTTTCTATATTATTATAATGCTGTGGCCAGTGCCAACAAAAATATGGTGCAGGTTTTGAGAAATCAACTTATTCTTGAAGGACATGATAAACAATTTTTGCTTGAAAGGCTTAGTGCATTCATTAAGGTACATCAAGAACAAACTAAGTATCAACAAGAACATCCAGAATTCCCATAAAATAATACATAAATTTGACTTGTATAGATATATACAGGGTACAAAAAATGAATTAACTTACTAGTCATGAAATTCCAATTGTGTCATTTCAGCATAATTGAAAAAAATTGTATACCCCTCTACGCATACTTCTTTGAAGTAACAGAAAAAGCATTTATAGTTTTGCAAAGTTCCATTAAAAAAAATTATTTATCACATAAACCAGAAGTAGAGATAATCACTAAATTTTGTGAAATCTCTTTGTTTCTATAATAATGATATTTATTTTTTTTTGTTTCTGACAAAATTAATTTGAGAAAGGGTATTATTCATTAAAACATGAAAATATGCTGTTCCAATTGAAAAATAATATGTACCTAATTTTAAGTACTTTTTAAACTGTGATTCATTAATATGACAGCACACTTTTGTATTAAGCTATAAATTCTATTGATTATAGCTTTTTTTTAAATTTTATAATTTTTATATCAACTGACTTGTTTAATGATTTTATTTTAAATGAATTATGAAGGACTGATGACTTTTTTACATTCCCTTTAAATTAGAAGCAGTGTTGCACATATTATGTATGTTGAAGAAATCAAAGTAAACAAATATATATTGATATACTTTATAATAAGGGCTGAATACATTTTTGCAACAATAAAATGTTACAAAAATTATTCATCTGATTAAAAATGATTATAATAAACATTTTTCGCACATAACAATTAATTAGTAAAAGCACAATTAAGAAATGATTTCCAAAGACATTAATTCAAAGTATTGTAGCAATTAAAGATATGGTTTTTTAATATTTTGTATTGTAAATAAAAAGAAATTTGATATAACCATACTCTAAGATAAAAATCATCCAATAATGTATTGTATGACTAGGCTAGTAAACATTTTTTAAAAAACACAGGAAGCACAAATAATGGAAATAAAGAATGTAATTTCGATCTTCACAACTTACGATGTTAAAAAATGCTTCTCGTAAAAGCATTTATTAATGAGATGTAATTGAATTCATTAATCGTGAGTTTGTGCGAGTGACTTATAAGTATCATATTAGGTATTGTGATTTATTATCTATTGTATACTAGAAAATTGTAATTTAAATGATTTTTTATATAGTCTGAATCGATGCTTTGAAAAAATAAATTATATTTAAAAACATTATCGAAAAATATCGTCAGTATAAAAAATAAATACAAGCTTATCTGCGAAAGTCAGCATTGTCATTTTTCCTCCTGTACATCATCGTTCGAGTGTAACTGTAAAATTGAAAAATATGCATGTAAATAACGAATTAAACGGAGCCCGTTTTATATTCTTGTTATATTGGTAAACTTACAGCCTCCGCTATGTCGATCCAGTCGAGAGCGGAAATGAAGGGATCGTTTTTCGTGGGTACTTTGTCGTAATTCCAATACGTGAACTCGCTGAATCGGCCTGTGGCATAGATGTTTCTTTCGGCGTCGTCGGTCTCGGGCTTTTTGTACTCGAAGAAGGTGACACCCATGTAGCCCTTGGGCACCGGTATCTTTTTACCCTCGAGCGGATGTCCCCGGAACGACGATTTCAAATCTGTAAAAATTACACCACGAGTGAAGGGAAGTGCGATTAATTCAACTCAAGAGACTACTACTCACTGTCACCCTCGGTATTTTGAATGTAAGGCTTAAAGTAGGTCTCGACGTTGGCCGTGTCGTCGGTGTGAATTTTGCACGGTATCGAGTGCAGCACCGGTTCCTCGTCCTGCTGCATGTTTTCTTTGGTGATGTGTAAGTGAATCGACATTGTTAAACAAATTTTAATAGAGAAAAAATAAAAAAAGTAAAAGTTGTTTGAGTCGCTGCTGCAGTGACAACAACGAGGACTGCTAGCAGACTGTGTTCGAGCTAAGAATCGTCTGTTTTCCCGCCTAAATTTGTGCGGCCTGCCAAAGTGAGAGATGTCGGTAATACAGGATACACCATAGAATGGGTAATTCGAAATTCTCATCGTGCGACTCTAAGCTATATTTAATGCTCAAACGACATTATGCGATGAAATTTCTAGCACCTTGATTTTATCCACTGGTATTCATTATGATCAGTACTTCGAAACATTTCGAGCACTCGAATGGCTCAGTTATTTCATTTGTTCTCGTCATTTTGATTTCATAATTTGTAATAATTCAATTATACATCTGATCTGATATAGAAGGGTAGTCGTAAACTAATTCCTACATCGCAAAAAATGAAGTCTAGTGGTACAGTTAACTATACAGACAAGTAATTATCATCGTGTAAATTAAAATGATGAAACAATTGCGTGAATTTTTTTTTAATTTTATCGATTTTTTAGAGTAAAAAAAGAGCCTACTGATAGGTGTTACAACGAAAACGATGAGGGTGAAACGAAAGTCCAGACATTCGATACTAAAAATTTGCAACACATATATCTGCAAGAGAATACCGTAAGTTGATAAATATCACTATGTTGATCTCGTTTGAGAAAATTTTCAAAAAACCTCAATATTTATTACAGATTCACACACTTGAAGAATTAAAAGGAATTAATGAATATCAACCTAATCAAGATATTAAAATAGAATTTGAGTGCAAGGATGTGAAGCCTAATGCAAGTTTATTAGCGCCCGATAAGGTGAACGAAAGAATTAATGAAGTTCAATCTAACCACGAAATTGTGATAGAGCTTGAATGCAGAGATCAGAAACCAAATGTGAATACATTAAATCGAGATCCTGATAAATTGAGCGATTGGTCGCCTAATCAATATCGAGAAATAAAAATTGGCAATTATTTTGCAACTCATTCCTCGACTAAAATAAAAACTGAGATAATTGTGAAAAAAGAGTTCCTCGGCGATACTATAAAAGCTACCGATGTGAATGCTGATTGCATGCTCAACGAACAGAACAATATGCAAATTAATACTTCAGTAAATAACAGTAAACCATCCATTAAATGTGACTTATGTTTGAAACAATTTTCAGCTAAGAGAACTCTGAAACGCCACATTGATTCAGCGCACAATCGTATTAAACATCCATGTCACACCTGTGAAAAGATATTTTCACAAAAGCATTACCTCAAAGACCATATTGATGCAATTCATAATGGTTTTCCACATACGTGTGATATATGCGGAAAATCTTTTTCACAAAAGTCTAATCTAAATACCCATATTGATTCTATGCATGGTAAACGGAAATTTTTCAACTGTAATATATGCGGAAAGTCATTTACACGAAATGATAATCTGAAAGTTCATCTTGATTCAGTTCATAATCGTATCACTTACCCCTGTCCCACTTGTGGCAAGACATTTACCCAAAAGAGAAGTGTCAACAGACACAATTATTCGGTGCATGGTCGTATAAAGAACTAATTTAATAAACAACATCTATTCGGCACACAGAAGAATAATATCGTATTATGATTTAAAGAAAACATTCTAACATAAAAAATACCATAATTCAGCAACTCCAAAAATAAATGTCAAGTATACGAGAAAATATCGAAATAAACGGTTTGATTGCATAAATTACTTATAAAGAGCACAAAAATATAAGTTAACTTTACATAATACAGATAATATAAAAATTTAACTTTTTTAAGAATTTTGAAATACATATCGATCGTAAAATTAATATAACTCATTGATCAATTTTATTTTATTTGCATTTGTTTTTATAAAATCCTTTTAAGAATTAAGATTTGAGTGATAACACTTTTGTTTTTTAATTAGAGCTTTTATTAGAAGGGATTTTTTGAATGATACTTTTTGAGCTATTCAAAACAAAAAGTTTATGGCGCTGAACAGAAGTGACGTGTTTCCGATATAATTTATCTATCGGATATTTTTTGACCATTTGTCGTAAATCCACCTTTAAAATTCGGATTTAGGAGGATTTTCTCAAAATACTTGAGAAAATTTTTGTTGTAGCCATATTGTCCTATCGACTACGAAAACCCTCGGGGCTTGCGATATGCAATCTTATGAGACGCGTTTGATTTTCGATTTGTCTATACATGCTATATACGCACAAGAAATAATTTAAAAAACGTTATGTATCATCATGAAGTACATAAACACCAGACTGCCGATTCATGACCGATGAGATTAATTGTTGGTAATATTCGTACAATTTATTTATCAATTAATTTTAGCCAGATAAAAAAAATAATTCAGTTATTTTCAAATGATGTTTTGATTTTTTTCATACCATAACAAGTGAACGATAAAAATCAATTATATTTTATTTCGTTGAAAATAGACGTCAAAATACATTATGGTATTTGATGTTGAAATCAAAATAAAAAAAATTACTGAGATTCAACCAGAGACAAGTCATAACCTACCTCCTGCTTTTAATTATGATAAGATAGTGGAAAACATGCAAATCGTCGCGAATGATAATAATATATTTTTGTACAAGGGTCTATCTTTCTTACACATGTGCAGTTGAAATCGTTCATAAAAAAAAGTAAAAAAAAACCAACTCCATTGACTAAACTCGCTCATTCATTAGTTCATATTACGACGACGAAACGCACACATATACAGGGAATTGAATATTCATACATAATACACACACACACGTATACATACATCAAGCTGGACGAAGAAGCAGCAGAGCCGTGTAAATACCCTCGCAGTATTGACACTTCGAACTCAGTCTCGAGAGTAGGTAGCTGCCGAGAGCATCGTCGCTTCGAGCTGTACTATCGGCGCTTCTCCGTCGCGACAACGGCATACTTCGATTCTCACTCGTACGTGAGGCCCGGCGAGATGGGACTCCTCGTGACTATTCTGACTCTTGCCGTGAGCTTGTTTTTCATCATCGGATTGGGCGTCGGTGCCAGATTACCGAGAGCCGACGAGATTCCGACTTGCGGATACGAGGTGAGCAATTTTTTTGTTGTTTTTTGATCGATTCTTAGAGCGGAACGATAAAAGTTTTATTATTCACAGTTTTTTTATACGAATTGAGTTGTAAAGATAAACATGACGTTAATGCATTGATTTTTGAACTAAAAAGTTGACGAAGTGCAATCAAAAATAGTTTGCAAGCTCAACATAAACACAATTATGAATTTAAAAATACGATAATCTCGCATTATCAAGTATGAATTCGGGTCACTCGAATTGCGGCTTAATTGTTATTCTACTCTGCTTCTGTTTTGTCGTATTTGTCCGATAACTGCTTTAGTTAATATTTGAAATGTTGCATCGAAGCATTTTTGAAACTATACACAATCATAAGTATAAGGAACTAAAAAAAATGAGCGTGATTTTTTTTTTTTAATGAAGAACTTTGTTTTCTCTTTAGTCCTGCACAAAGAGTGATCCGGACAAAATAAACATTCATTTGGTCGCTCACACTCACGATGACGTCGGCTGGCTAAAAACTCTCGATCAATATTATTATGGAGGTCAGTACTATAATGAAGTTTAAATATATATGGAATAAAGAGCTTAAAACTCACTTCTATTTCATGAATGACATTATGAATTATTATAACTTGTCTTACTTGATTGCAATTATTCTCGCTTTTACAATAATTTTTTACCTCCTTCAAGGTCGTATGAACATACAAGTCGCCGGTGTAGAGTACATTATCGACAGTGTCATCGAGGCTCTGAATCAAGATCCAGCGAGAAAGTAAATTTTCACAAATATCACTTATTTTTCAGACATTGATAAAACGATTGTCATTCTAGGTTCATTTACGTGGAAACTGCATTTTTATGGAAATGGTGGCAGCATCAGGGCCAGAAAAAACGCGAACTCATGAGAAAATTCATCGACGAGGGCCGCTTGGAAATAATCGGTGGCGGCTGGGCCATGAACGACGAGGCTGTCACGCACTATCATTCTATGATCGATCAGTACACCTGGGGATTCAGGTAGGGTACATTTGATTTCATCATTTTTCCAAGAATTTCTGAAATTGTCATCTGTTTGTTTCGTTTTCTTTGTTGTAAGACGGCTGAACGACACTTTCGGCCAATGTGCGCGACCCAAAATCGGATGGCAAATCGATCCGTTCGGTCATTCACGCGAACAGGCGTCGATGTTCGCACAGATGGGCTTCGACGGTATGCTGTTCGGTCGATTGGATTATCAAGATAAATCTAAGAGGCTCCAAGATAAAACCGCAGAGTTCATTTGGAAAGCGAGCCCGAGCTTAGGTACGATTTTCAATCGATATAACCATTATCAAAGTTACTAGTTTATGTTTACACCAACAGGAAGCTCATCCGACTTGTTTACGACTATGCTTTACAACAATTACGGACCGCCACCTGGCTTTTGTTTCGATATTCTCTGCCAGGATTCGGAGCCGATGATCGATGACGCTGACAGTCCGGATTACAACATCGATCGGAGGGTAAAACGCCATTTGAATTGATCTTTGTATATATTTCAATTGACGCTTGAATCTCGAAATTTTTGAAATGATATCTTGCAGCTCGAGGAATTTTTGAATTATTCGAAAAATCAAGCCAAATACTACCGGAGTAATAATATTATTTTAACGATGGGAGGTGATTTTACTTACCAATATGCCGAAATGTACTTCAAAAATATGGACAAACTCATAAGGTACATTTTTTTAAAAGTATTGAAAAATTTTATGTAAAACTATAAAGCGATCGTGAGAGATTCAGGGGTCTATATTGAATCTTTTTTGAAAACTGTATGAAAATTCATTTTTTTTAAATTGATCTTTTGTCTCTGATTGTAAACATCAGCTGGCGACATTTTTGAAATATGTCAAAACCCAAGCTTCATCATACAGAACGAATAATATTATACTAACTATGGGCGAAGATTTTAACTACTTATACGCTGAAATGTGGTTTAAAAATTTGGATAAGCTCATTAGGTAAACAGCTCATATTCAATGCGTACATCAAAAGTATATTTTTTGAAAATTGATTTTATAAATAGAAGCTCTTATTATAAACTGCACTTAAAAGGTATATTATCTTCAAAAAAAATCTATTAAAAATGCAGATACGTAAACGAGAAAAATGGCACGGATTTTAAAGCTTTCTACTCGAGCCCATCTTGTTACTTGAAATCCTTGAACGAGCAGAAACTTGCGTGGCCGGTAAAGAGCGATGACTTTTTCCCCTATGCCAGCGATCCGCACGCTTTTTGGACCGGTTACTTTTCATCGAGACCAACTTTGAAATTCTTCGAGAGAATGGGAAATAACTTTTTGCAGGTATTTAATGGCATACGAATGAGATATGTTTCAAATTTCGAAAATAAAAATCATACGATTCGTTAAATTGAAAACTACATTCAAAGGTCGTAAAACAAATGTTGGTACTGAGCAATCAGCCCGATAACAAGCAGCTTCAGCTGTTTCGCGAGGCGATGGGAGTGATGCAGCATCACGACGCTGTTACCGGCACTGAAAAGCAACACGTCGCCGAGGATTACGCTAGACTTTTGTATCGTGGATTCAGAGATGCGGAAAAACTTGCCTGTCACTCGATGAAGTGAGAGATTGTTTTAACTGTTTTGCATTGCGATTTATTTTTGAGATTTTTATTGATGTGTTTTTTAATTTGTTTCTTTTTTACAGCTTGCTTGCACGGATCAAAGAAGTTCCTAAACCAGCCAAATTTCATTCTTGCCCTCTATTGAACATTAGTTCTTGCGAATATTCGTCGGATAATCGCAAATTTGTAGTTTCAGTTTATAATCCAATGAGCCAACCTCTTACGACTTTCGTTCGATTGCCAGTTAATGGGGTTTCTTATAGCGTGAAAGATTATTCGGGTCGGTTATTGATGAAAATTATATTTTCGTTAAAAAAAGAACAATTTTGATAAGTATATTATATTATTTTTAGGTAGAGATATCATAACTCAACTCGTACCCATCCCCGATCCAGTGCAGAAAATTCCCGGTAGATTTAGCTCAGCTACAAGGGAATTGTTATTCCAGGCCGTTAATATCGCACCGTTGGGTTATCAAATGTTCTATGTAAGTGAAAAGGACTCGGTATTCGAAGAACTACAAAACGACCAACCAAATCTTGATTATGTTCAAACCATCGGAAGAGATGTAATTTTTGCTTCTACAGATAAACACTCGTATACTTTATGAATATTATTTAAAATAATAATACATTTTTTTAGATGTTCAAAATTAGCATTGAAAGCGACAGCAAAGTGAAAATCAAATCGTTGAAATCTCCTAATTTGGATTACACACAATCTTTCCATTATTTCGAGGGTGCAGAAGGTAACAACAAAATATTTGTTAATCGTTCCTCGGGAGCTTACATCTTTAGACCCAAAGAAAACTTTGCCAAGGACTTGCCAGACACGGGAGTTTTCCAAATTTTCAAAGGTAAATTAAAAAATAAAATTGTTCATGAATCCATAAAAAAGCACTTTTAACTAGGTATACTTTTATTTTAAAGGTCCATTGGTTGAAGAAATTCATCAAATTATTAATGATTGGGTGAGCCAAGTGATAAGAATCTACAATGGCAAAAATTATGTTGAATTTAACTGGCTCGTTGGACCTATTCCAGTCAAGTAATCATCATCATTTTATTTTTATCATTGAAAAATCTCACTAAGTTTACGCTTGTATTTTCATAATCATGTTTTATTTCTGCAGTGATAAAACAGGCAAAGAAGTTATAACAAAATACTCGAGTAACTTGAAAACGAACAGTGAATTTTATACTGACAGTAATGGCCGAGATATGTTGAAACGTAAACTCAATTATAGGCCAACTTGGGATTTAAGATTACAAGAGCCAATTTCTGGCAACTATTATCCAGTTACCTCAAAAATATCGATCGAAGACAAATCGAATCAATTAAGATTGAGTGCCCTTACCGATAGAGCTCAGGGTGGGTCGAGCTTGGAGGAGGGCGAATTACAACTTATGGTAAGGATTAAAATTATTAGAATACAATTAATTTCCTTACCTGGTTCAATAAAAATGCGCATGTTCGATGACAGCTACATAGGCGGTTATTAAGTGATGATGCATTTGGTGTTGGAGAAGCTTTGAATGAGTCGGCATATGGCCAAGGATTAGTTGCCAGGGGGCAACACTTTTTACTCGGTGGTAGTATGGCTGAATTAGATCAATTACTTTTGGAAGAAAAAGAAATTGCAACAGAACTTGCGTTACGTCCGTGGATCTTTGTCAGTCCAACGGAAGATTCGTTCGAAGAGTGGAACAAAAATTACAGAATGAAGGTATCGTTATCTTTTCTAGATTTGCTGCAAGTGAAATGAAAATTATATTAAAATTTTTATAATCTGTAGAGCAATGATTTGATTGGTAAATTACCAAAGAACGTGAAAATTTTAACTCTCGAACCATGGAAAGAAGGAGAAGTACTTCTTCGATTGGAACATCTTTTTGAAAAAGATGAATCTCCAAAATATTCTGTTCCTGCTAGCGTGGACTTGAAGGTATATTATAATTTTGATACCAGTTTATTTATCATTTAATTCAAACAATAACTGATGAACTAACTTTATCGATTATTAGGAGCTGTTCTCAACATTTACCATACACTCCGTTCGCGAAACAGTTTTAAGTGCGAATCAATGGATCGAAGATTTGAACCGTTTGCAATGGCAATCGGAAGGCAATGAAGTTCCAGTCGGTAATAACAAATCGGAGCCAATCATAGATTCGTTTGTTGTACGACTAAACCCCATGGAAATTCGTACTTTTATCATTACTTCATCATTCAATGCTGAGTCTTCTTAATCAGTTCGATTTTGAAAGTCAAAACAATGGATCTTTTTACTGTTACATTTTATTTAATGTAAAATAAACAATAATCACATTCAATAAATTAAAAAAGAGTTTTGAACTCTTTAATTTATATAAAAAAGAATTCATTATTCTTGTTCTACTTATATTCTATAAATTAAAATTATTAAATAAATATGAAAGTATAAAAATTGATATCTGATAGTACCAAAAATAATCCTATTTTAGATCTTAGATTTAAAATACAAATGCTTTGAAAGCTATTTGCTTGCAAACTTTAAGGTAACGGCAATGTGGTCGCTATCTCAGACAAAGTGATACCACCATCTAAAGGTTTTGTATGGCTATAATTGTGAGATTATTCAAGTAAAGTGAAACAAAATTAAATAAATAATTTTTATTGCATATCTGTGCCAGAGGTAGCGACCATAGGTATATTTTCAACAAACAAAATGAGCCATCTGAGTCTTGAATAAGTTATCGGTTTAACTTTAAAGTTACGGTAGGTAGCCATACAATGTGATTTGTAATTTTCTTGGTCAAGGGGACCTCCTGTAAATTAAACTTTTCTACTGACTGGGAGTGAAAATATTTTGTTTAAAGGGTCAGTAAAAAGCCTTAAAATTGACCAATCTGAATTTTTATTTTAGGTCTAATTTTTTTTAATATGAAAAAAAAAATGATTTTAAGGTGTATGTGTCCCCATGTAGAAAAAGGCGGACATATCACGAACAAGCTATGAGATAGGTATGTGGGTATTTGAAGGACTCATCTTAACTGCTTTAAAATGTCACCTTTTGACAAATATACAATGGTAAAAAGCTATATGGGAGTATCTAAAAATAAAAAGTATGAATTAATAAATTTAATTCCTTTTTTTTTGTTTCTTTATTTGAATTTTATGATAAAAGTACAATATTTAACAATATACATAAAAACATACACCAATTATGCTCATGTCCATCACGAGCTTTGCTCGCCAGCCGCCACGAAAATGTGATACATGTCTTCGTTCGTCAGATTTTTGAGGATCATGTCACAGCACTCAAGCGGCAGCCGCTTATGTATCAGATCCCAGAAAGGATACAACGTCCAGCTCTGGAAAAATCTTCTGGATAATTTCTCGCACAGATGCGCGACGACACACGCCTTAAACCCTTTTTTGCGGAGCGTCGACAATTTTTTCTTGCTACGGGCGAACTCGAAGTATTCCTTGAAGGTGATTCGTTTTGTCACCTCCTCGGGTCGCAACTGGAGCAGGTCGTAGAGCGAAAGACTCGGACTTATCATCGTCTCTTTCGCAAAGATCGTGACCTCCTCGTGGTCCTGCCAATTAAGAACTTCAAGATCCGCCGACTTGACGAACAATTTGTGCTTGGCAAACAGATTCATGATCGTTAGCGCATCTCGTTGGCTCAGCTCGTATCCTCTAGTCTCGAGGCTCTCGACGACGGCCAAAATGCCGGACGTTATTTTTATATTTATGCCGCTTTTAAATTTAATGCTCGCTTCAAAGAGACTCTCGGATGGAAAAACGAAGTTAAACAATTCGGCGCCGTGATCCAGTAGTACATCGACGGTGTTCGGCAATAATTTCGCTACGGCATACTGCAGTGGGGTCCGACCATACTTGTCCCTTGCGTCGATCGGCGACGTTTCACGTCTATCTTCTTTCATTATTTTTAAGAATATCCCCGCCATGTCGTTGCCGAAGGACTTCGTGCAGATGAAGTGCAACGGCGTCGATTTATCATGCTTCTTGGCCAGATTCAGGTCGGCGCCGCGTCTGAGCAGCTGCTCGATCATCTTCTTGTTGCCCCACGTAAGAGCGAAGTACAACGGTGTCTTGCCGTTAGAATTTCGGGCATCGATCTGCAACTGCTGATTTAGCTCATCGCTTACCTTGAAGAATATTTCCACCAAATCTTCGTTGTGGGAATTCTTTGATATCGTGTGCAAAGCCGTATTTCCTAAATCGTCAGTCAAATGTGGATCCGCACCTCGCCTCAGCAGAAATTCAGCCACTTCCTTGTTTTTGTTATACAGAACATAATGCAGCGGTGTGTTACCCCCATTGCCCTTGGCGTTTAACTGTACTGAATGGTATTTATCGTTGCTAAGCTCGAAAAACATGCTAAAACTTTCAACATCGTATAAGCCGTAATAGACGCAAACGATGTGCAGGGGTATCTCTCCATCCTTATTGGCCAAAGTTGGATTGGCACCACTTCTCAGCAGCAATCGTGCAGCTAAATTGTTGATGCGGTACAAAGCCACGTGCAATGGTGTGTTACCATCATTGTCTTGCGCATCGACTAGCACATGCCAATGTTTCTCGTCGCTGATCTGGAACAGCAGATTCGCCAAGTCATTGGATCTCATCTTGCAAATGATATGAAGAGCTGTCGATCCTTCATTGTTGGCCAAGGTCGGATCTGCGCCTTTTCTCAGCAACCACTCGGCGATATTCCTACGTAAGTTCTTCAGAGTCCAGTGCAGCACCGTGTTTCCCTCTTCGTCTTGGGCGTCGAGCGGCAACGGTTGACTTTTTTCGTCGCTGATCTCCAACAGCAATTCCATTAAGGCAATAGGACGACCCATCTTGCATATGAGGTGCAAAGCAGTCGATCCCTCTGGATTGGCCAACTTGGGGTTAGCGTTACTCCTTAGCAGCAATCGTGCCACTTCCTCGTGTTTGTTCTCCAGAGCCAAGTGCAGAGCTGTTTTACCCTCCTTGTCCTGGGCGTCGATCAACACCGGACGACGTTTTTCGTCGCTAATCTCGAGGAGTAACTTCATTAAGTCATAAGAACTATCCATCTTGCATATTAGGTGCAAAGCAGTCGATCCCTCTGGATTGGCCAAGTTCGGGTCGGCTCCACTCTTAAGCAGCAATTGTGCCACTTCCCTTCTATCATAGGCCAAAGCCAAGTGTAGCGCAGAATAGCCTGTTTCATGCACGAGGAGATTGGGATCCTGGCCGAGCTCGAGAAATTTATTGACAACGTCATCGCAGCCGATAGCGCAGGCCACATGGAAATGAGTCAGGCCAGACGAGTCGGTGTAATTAACGTCGAAATTATTGTAAATTTTAAAAAGCTCACGGACCATGATGTCCTTATTAAGAAATCCGCTCCTAGCCACATGATGCAGTGCTGTAGTTCGACGTACCAGTGGCTTACCGTCATGGTCAATTTTAGGCTGGTATTTGTAGCCGCTGTTAGCCACGAATTTAATGATTAGTTCTCCTGAACGAGTGTAATCCTCTTCGTCACGAAAAGTAATGGATTCCGTGAGAAGCCAGTCGATTTCTTCGGACTGAAATTGGCACTTCCAATCGCTGAATAAGAGGTTAAGTTGACAGAGAAAATCCTGGCGCTCCTCTTCAATATCCCAATTGACCTTTTCACGTATACTCCTCAAAATGTCAAACTTTTGTTGGTGGAGATGACAACCCACAAATTCGTTTTTGTGCACGCTCATCGTTTGTCGCACTAATTCACGAAAAGCACTTACTTCGGTTGACGCACGATCTTTCAGAACTGTTCACGCTGCGGCGTCGCAATGTGTACTGACCATATGCTGGCATGTATAGTGTATACTCGTCTATGATCCATTGACTATGCGCGTAACCCGTGGCGCGGGGGCCGGGGCGCCTCCACCCGATTGGAAATACAACACCGGCGCAGTTACGAGCTCTAAGAAGCTGGCACTTTTTTTAATAATTGATAATGTTATTAGTATGGATGGATAGGGAACGTAAACCTTGTCCCTATGCCGCCGGATAAAAAACTGCTCCCCTTATTGTTTATTGTTAAGACCCGATAAAAAATTAGTGCCAGTTGCACATTCATCATCGTTTTATTTTACTTCTAGTTATCCGATTTAGAAGCATTTTTTTTAACAAATCCTTGTAAACCGCTTCGATATTAGGATTGAACAGATTCCAAATATAATGTGAATTAATTAAAATAATCGCAGATTCTTTTTTCAATGTAAATTACAAATTCCTGCACAAGCGTCCACCCCAGGTGAAAATGGTATGTTAGATCTGACTGCAATAATTAAAATTTAATAATAAATTTAGTTGTATTTTAATAATCAAATGATTGAGTGATGCAGCATCTCGACGCTGTTACCGGCACTGAAAAGCAACACGTCGCCATTACGCTAGACTTTTGTATCGTGGATTCAGAGATGCGGAAAAACTTGCCTGTCACTCGATGAAGTAAGAGATTATTTTAATTGTTTTTCAACGTTACAACGTTACGACGTTTTCAACTGTACGACTAAACCCCATGGAAATTCGTACTTTTATCATTATTTCATCATTCAATGCTGAGTCTTCTTAATCAGTTTGATTTTGAAAATCAAAACGATGGATCATTTTACTGTTACATTTTATTTAATGTAAAATAAACAATAATCACATTTAATAAATTAAAAAAGAGTTTTGAACTCTTTAATATATATAAAAAAGAACTTATTATTCTTGTTCTACTTATATACTATAAACTAAAATTATTAAATAAATATGGAAGTATAAAAATTGATATCTGATAGTACCAAAAATAATCCTATTTTAGATCTTACATTAAAAATACAATTGGTTTGAAAGCTATTTGCTTGCAAATTTTAAGGTAACGGTAAATTTTTCTGATTCAATGTGTAGCTTTTCCGACTAACAGCACTGTGTAGTGTGTACTATCACCTGAAACACACCGAACCGATTTCTAACCAGAAACTTTGTTCCGGTTTCCCGACATCTCGGATAGCAACGTCCAATATGGGCAATCTTGATGGCTTGTCAGTCGAATACGATATGATTGTTTTACCCCATTTGTCTTTGCGCTCCTATAAACCATTAATTTTTATTTAAAAAAGTATCTTTTAAAATCAGATGATTGAATTATTATTTAAACTTGCCTTGCACTCATCTAAACTTGCTTCATAACGTAAACGTAGATTGCCTCTTGCTAGTAATTCTACGTCGTTCCATGCCAGGAATTTCAAAGCTTTACGATACGTTTTACGTTCAGAATCATAGTACGCTATACTATTTTTACAATAATAAGTAATATTTTGCTCAGCTTCGCGAGATAATAGTTGCAGAAAACCTATTTGATTACTGTCAGCTTTATAACTTATCTGGAATGTTTTATATTGATAAAATTTTTGAATAGTTGCTTCAATAAAAAGTATCAAATTTGTAGGATTGTACCTTGGCAACATTAGTTATTTCGTTCAGCCATATTTCCAATTCATTCCCAACGTAATTAATTTTAGGTGTTTGCGATGGGCTGGCGAATATACAAGTTGATTTTTTTTCCGCGTCACACCGTACTAATATCGCATCACGAACGTCTCCATCATTTGGATCGATCCAATAATCACCTTTGATGAACAAGAAATTATTTTTCTATCAAAAATGATCAAATACATTTTTTACCTGTTGATTTTTCAGGGTGTGATTCAAAAAGGTCTCTGCACGTTCTCGCTGGAGTAGATTTTTCTCCGTCGCGATCTGAAAATTCTTGTAAACTACTTTTTACTTTTTTATATAACTTCTTCAAAATATCTTTACGCTCTTCGTCATTCATTAAACCATTATATATTCTAGGAGGTGTGTCTGTCGACGATGATGGATCTGGACCTTTGCTTTGACTTTGACCTAAAAATAAAATTAATATTACTCCTCAGTACTGACTGTATTTGTCAATGAAGTGCGAGAAATGTGTGAAGTTCGGTATTAATAATTATTGAAACAACTAACCAAATAAAGCGGCTAAAGATGCACTGTCATATCCATATGCCACTTCACCGGGGATACCCGGAGGTCCTGGAGGGCCAGGCTGTCCAGGTGGGCCGTGCCTTCCTTCTTCGCCTGGAGGACCTCGTGGACCTGGGACGCCTTGATGTCCTGGAGGTCCGGGATTTCCGTCTCGACCTGGTGGACCACGCAAACCGGCTTCGCCATCTTTACCTGGTGGACCGACTGGTCCCTGTGCACCTTTTTCTCCGGGAATACCTGGTTGACCAGGGATTCCCTGTAGACCGCTGAAACCTCGATGACCTTTGGGTCCAGGTGCACCATCCGATCCACGGTCTCCTTTCATTCCTTCCGGACCTGGTAAACCAGATTTACCTCGTGCACCCTTAAAAAATGACCGATTATAAGTGTTGATAAAAACGATTACTTTTTGTCGCTACAATTTTTTAATAAGAAATATTTACAGGCTGTCCATCTTGTCCCGGTGGTCCTGGAGGACCAGGTTCTCCGTCTTCTCCTGATTCTCCCTGTCAGTCATAATGAAATTGTTTAAAATTTGTGTTTTAAAATTATACATGAAAAATTAAACAAAAAATCTAATTACCACAAATCCTTTTTCTCCTTGTAATCCAATAGGTCCTATTGGACCAGGTGGACCTTGAATTCCTTGTTCACCGGGTTTTCCATCCAAACCGGGAGGGCCACGATCTCCGTTATTACCCGGTTTACCTGGATTTCCAGGTCTTCCAGCTGATCCTTTCAGTCCCTACAATAAAAGTACGATACGTTTAAATCTATATTAGAAATACTAAAATCAAAACAAATTCATAAGATAAACATAAAATATAATCATACCTGTGGTCCTGTGGGTCCAATACGTCCAATATCACCCGTAGCCCCTTTGAGTCCTTGAGGTCCAGGTGGACCCGCGTCGCCAGTCTGACCTTAAAATGTTGGTACCTTAATAAAATCATCTACACGTTAAACGAATATGATCATCGATCAAAAAACGATACCTTTTGGTCCAATTAAGCCGTCTGGGCCAGGTGGACCAATAGGTCCTATAGGTCCTCGCTCACCAGGAGCACCCGCTGCTCCAGCTGGACCACTGAGTCCTCTTTTACCTTTTTTACCTTCATTGCCTTGAGGCCCGATTTGACCACGAGGACCCGGAAATCCTGGTTCGCCCTTCGAACCGGCATCGCCTCGATTGCCTTTTTCTCCTGGGGCTCCCTATTAATGGTAAATACATAATTTTATCTCATTGAAAATTGACAAGAGTTTCAATGAATTTCTATTTTCTTACAGGTAATCCCTCTGATCCAGGAGGACCGGCACTTCCTACTGGTCCAGGTAATCCTCTGATACCAGGAAATCCAGGCTGTCCTATTAAGCCATTGGTTCCCGATGCACCTTTTTCACCTCGCGCTCCTTCTTTACCCGGCACTCCGGGTAAGCCTGGTTCACCTGCTGGGCCAGTTCGTCCAGGTTCGCCTTTTGGAAAAATTTTACAAAAAATTTCACTTCGCTTGAAGTACCATAAAGTAATTTTTTAATATCTCATTTTTTCACAATCATCTTCGATAGAAAATTGTTTACTATTTATTATAAATGGGATACTTGGTGTAATTTCTACAATGATAGTTATATAGCATACATGGCAAAACACTTTGCGTCGGGTAAGACACAAAGGTCATACATGCCACATGCGACGTAAACAACAGGACGAGCACACAGCTCTCAGTACTTCTGTAGTCAGTTTTCCCGTTCATAGATCCCTCGATCATAATAAAAAGATTAGATTTAATCAAAATCATAAGTGAGAAAAATGGAATTCAGTGGTTCATTCAGTAGTGCTGTCAGGTATTCTTCATTTTTTGATAATGAAATGATAAATATCAAAACAAATATATACAATAAATTACTTGATTTTATCGAGGTTATTTCAGAGTCAAAGAGGAGCCTCGTGATGTGCCAATTGGTGAAAATGATTGGGAAACGATTGACGAGAAACCCGACCTAAAAAATGTCCAACTCTTAACATTTCCGCTAGAAAATACAGTAAGTGTAGATAATTTTTATTTATCTGATGGATAGTAGTTGTTTATCTTTATTGAAAATTCTCACGCAGTTTTAATTTTTCGATAGACTTGTCCTATTCGTAAATTTGAAGAAAATCAAGTAAGCGAACTCGATGATGAAGTGAAAATAATCGTCGAATGCGAAGACGTTAAGCCCAACATTAATTCATTAGCAATTAAGAAAATGGACAGTTGTTCTTCAAATCACTTGCTAATCGCTGCAGAAGAATCGAATGTGATTTTCCACTGTGAACTTGAACAAAATAAAAAAAAAAGGATGACAAAAAAATTAAACAACGACCACAGACTCAAAACACACATTGGCACGGTTCATAATGATAAAACTCACACGTGTAAAATATGCGGGAAGAATTTCTCATTTTATAATAGTCTGGATAGGCATGTCAAATCATTACATCGTGGTATTGTTCACCCATGTGATACATGCGGCAAGTCATTTACTGCAAAATATAGACTCAAAAACCACATCGATGTAATTCATAACGGTTTTAGTCATAGTTGTGATATATGTGGCAAAACATTCTCGGCGAAGAAAAATCTCAAAAAGCACACTGTTGCAGTGCACAATAGGTTGACACATTCCTGTGATAAATGTAAAAAGTCGTTCACAACTATATATTATCTTAAAATTCACATCGATGCAGTGCACAATGGTATCGCACACACATGTGATATTTGTGGCAAGAAATTCGTATTGAAAAATTATCTCAAAATCCACGTCGATTCGGTGCATAATGGGGTCAAATATTCCTGTGATAAATGCGAAAACACATTCGCAACTATGGGTCGACTTAAAATTCATATCAATGAGGTGCACAAAGGTGTCACTTACGCATGTGATATTTGCGGGAAAAAAATCAAAAGAAAGGACAGACTCAAACGCCATATAGATGAGGTGCATAAAGGTATCAAGCATGCATGTGATGTTTGTGGGAAAGAATTCAAAAGAAAAAACTACCTCAAATGCCACATGGACACGGTACACGAGAAAAAACATTCAGACAATAGATAAGTCTCAATATCCTCAAATAATATAGTACAATATCGTTCATGAATTATCACTCAATAAATAAATAAATAAAATGCATGTTCAATTTTTTTGTTTAAAAATCCTGAATGTATTCCAAAAACTACTTTGAAAATCTTTATTTATAAAATTATCATAATTTTCTCCATTGTTATCTTATTATGTAAAAACATTGTTTTCATAATATCAATAAATTTTTTGGAATAAAATAAAGCATCTTTTCAGGTGTGAAGCTAATAAAATATTAAATCTATTATAATCATTTCAGCTCGAGACAAAATTAACTGAAACAATCAAAGGCCACTTACTTCGCAGTTTCACTTTTCGACCCATTACTTTTTTATTAGATATAAAAAATTTTAAGTAAAAATAATATAAATAAAGAGGAGATTCAAGCAGATTCAAGCAATACTATAATAAAAAGTCGTCCCTAATATAGTATATTTTGTAACAAGTGCGCGAAGCAGTTGACTCATCCAGGAGTTGTTTTCACCCGAGCGTAGCGAGGGTGCAAAGACTCCTGGGTGAGTCAACTTCCTCGCGGACTAGTTGCAAACGATATTTTTTAACTTTGCTTGCGAGAAACTAGGGTTTTCTGACGCTTTAAGGTTAGAAAACCCGTGTTTCGCGCACGCAGTGTTAAAAAAAATATAAATATACCTCGTAGACCCGGTATGCCTTGGTTTCCTTTAGGTCCCTGCAATCCTATGTCTCCTTTTATGCCTCGTACACCAGGAAACCCCGGCGATCCAGTTTTTCCTACTGGTCCCTGCCAAATAAACGCAACATTAAAATCAATTGTGTAAACACAATTAACTTGTTGAATGAAGCCAAATTATACAAACCGGAGTTCCAACAGCTCCGGGTGCTCCGTCAGAGCCCTTAATTCCTGGCGATCCTACAGCTCCGTCCCTCCCTCTTTCACCTCTAGGGCCAGGAGGTCCCTGTCATAAATATTATTTGAATATTATAATGATTACTTTTTTAAAACAATACTATCTAAATAATTTTCATACCGGTTGTCCCGTAAGTCCAGTGGGACCTATTGCACCCATAGCTCCTTTTTCCCCGACTGCTCCAGTTTCACCTTTGAGCCCATCCATACCTATCGAACCTTTATGACCCTTCATACCGGGCAGTCCTGGCAGACCCGGTGGTCCTCGAGGGCCTGGAGGTCCATGTGACCCAGGCTGTCCAGGTTCGCCGTCCTCTCCAGGAATTCCCTAAACAAAACGAATGCTAGGCATAATTGAACTTTTATTTTGTAGAAAAAAGTTTACATCGTTCCCAGGTGGACCCGGTAATCCTCTAGGACCTGGCGATCCAGCAGTTCCTGGAGTTCCTGGCTCTCCGATTTCGCCTCTGGAACCTGTGAATCCCATGGGTCCAGGAGGGCCAGGTGGGCCAGGTGGTCCTCGAGGGCCTACTTGTACATACGATTCTGGATACTGCACCATTGGTGTGGGACCTTTTTCAGAACTTGCTTGCGACATGGCTAATTGCTTGTAGTAAAGGTCCATCTAATAGAGATTAATGTATTATTTGTCATTTTCACAACTCATGTTTTAATTAATTTTTTTACGTAAATATACTCACATCTGGTGAATTATTCGATGCTGAAGTCTATAAAAATTTTGAAAAATTAGGAAGTTGAATGAAAAAAATGGAGTGAGTATTATTTAAGTTTTATAAAGCTTAATTTACTTCAGCATAAGAAGAGGCGTAAGTTTTCACACGTTGGCTCTCACTTATATTAATCTCATTGTCACGTGATTCAGTCATCTATTAAAAAAAAGACAAATTCACGTAAATTACTATTAGTCCGATATTTTAATCCAGTTAAAAATGTTGAAATACGCACATTTCTTTGTGTATTATTATAGCTTTGCTCATATTCGGACTCTTGAGAAGAAGCTAGAAATAATCGATATTCAGTACTGAAGCACAGATGGTATAGTATAAAATTTTTCACGTTAAGAAAAATTTCTTACTATCATTGCAAGATGGAATACGAGCGCAATCGACTTGTCCGTGAAGACAGCGGCATATATTGCAAGCCGATGGTCGCCAATACTCGCCAGATCGACGATACGAACCTTCGACTTCGCAGGCCGTGTGCTGTTGGGCTTGAGGCTCTGGGAAGTGAAGATTCGGTTTGAATGACAATTTTTAATATTTTCTCTTTCTACGTACCTCGAAAAGTGTGATTCGATCGCACTTCGTTTGGCGGAAGAGTTGATCGAGAAGAGGAATAATTTCTTACGGTCGAAGATGAATGAGTGATGGTGTTATCCGTAGTAATTTTTGCACGATCTAAAAGATCATTGTTAATTAAAATTTGATCGGAATATGCTCGATCTCGAAAAAGGGCATAAATACTTGAATAATCATTTTTTACTGTTGGAAGAGCAGTGCTTGAAACAGTATCGCGTTCCCGCGATTCTCCTGATTGCGAACCTGAAATTTTATCCATCATCGACAATTTTCATCTTAATTTTATCAAGGTTCTTAATTTTTTCTAAAACTTCTTTTAAAAATGCGTTCAAGTGAAAATTCTTTGTACAGTCGCAATAACATTTGTACAAATATAGGTCACGACAAATTGAAAAGCAGCATCCGGTGCTCGTGCAACAAGTGCCTTGGCTTGCAAACATAAGCAAAAAAGCTTCTCCCTAGCGCGATGTTTGCAGCAGCATGAGATCTCGGCTACGAAAGAAAGAGCGAAAGAAATGCGAGAAATAAAAGCCGAGTACGATGTAAGCAACGGACCATTTGCGGGCAGATGATCAAACGTGCGATATACTGACCGAATTCTTCAATATCAATCTGTTAAGAGTGGAAAAGTCACGGATCGATGAGATGAAAGTTCAAACGAAGCGAGGAGAGCGCGAGAAATTTCGCGGAACATAATTTAACGATATTCACTTAAGAATAGTTATAAAATGACAGATGAGTTTTCGATGAAACGAGTCAATTCTATGATTCGACAATGTATCTATGGGATAAATTATTTCAAGCTTGATACATTGCAGTTAGATTTGTTAATTTTTAATGAATAATTATTCGTCAATTTGTTTTTCATTTTTGTATTTAATATATTTAACGCGCTTACCGATGACATCCGTTTCGTTTTCTTCGTAATTGTTGTAATCGTCGTAATCGTCGTAATCATTGTTGTACTGATCGCCGCGTCCTCGATCCCTCGTCTTTTGCCGCTTTTGAATCTTTGTCGAAATCGGATCCTTGGTAGAGGCAGAGGTTCGATCGGTCACCGCACTCGCTCTACCGATCCGCGACTCCAGCAAGATCGACGAAAACAAAAACAGCAGCAGCAGCAGCAGGTAGTCGCTCCTCGTCCTCATCTTTCACTTGCAATTATGCATGAGTAAGCGATGCGAAGATTTTCATCAATCAATGTACGGAGACTAGGAAGTAGCGAAGTTTTAGCTGAGCGTGGCAATGATCGCGACTCGACTCTCTCTGTAAGCTCGATACGACTTTTCTCCTCGCGAAGCTCATTGCGCTAAGACAGCTTGTAGAAGTAGGAGATGCTACGATAGTGGAAGTGGCCATGGCGGTGGTGGTGGACGCAGTGCGATCTTCCTGTAAAGCTATTTTCTAACGATGCTTGCGATCTATGGTGTAACGATCTGCGAACTATAATAATGCGTTTACATTTTAAAATCGGTTTTTCTTCATTTTGCGCTGTACTCAATAGCTGGATGTTTCAGAGCTTTCGTTGTGGACAATTGTCTCAGAAATAAAATATCAAAAGAGTATTGTTCATTGTCGAAAAAAAAATTTTTTATTACATCGAAAATTGTAATGCACAGAAAAAATTGGAGCCATAAAGGGAGCTTCGATTTTTATGTGTATTCAGATATAAACGTACACTTGTGTTAGGTTTCGATTCGGGCGATAAAAATGGGTAGCCTAAATGTTTTAATAGAGAGTAGGCAATAAATACAGTAATCTCTCTTTGTATTCGTTGCTTAAAAAAAAAAAATCAGAACGATCGAAGAATTTTACGAGCAATCTCTTGTCCTCATATTTTAGATTATGATTTAGATCTCCAGTACATTGAATTCGGCCGTGCTTTTCAAAGAATGCAATCTACTGGATCTGTCGAGTTTTCGTTCCAGAAACAGGCAATATTTCTGTAATTACAATGGGACAACGTTGAACAAATGCACAGATATTGCCAGGAACGATTTTATACCCAGAAGCACTTGAATAAGCTTTATGACATGTACATTTTATACCATACGAAGCGATCCAACTTACATACGCGCGCATCATCGCAGCGATATGTCTCGCTCTGCAATTTCATCTCGTTAAAAAGCTCGCGCCACGCGAAAAGGAAAGTTAGCCGCGCGCTTCGCTGCTCGTCTTCTTTCTTTTGCGTTTTAATTATACTGCACAACGTATACACGTTATTCGATGCGATGTATCTTGTATAGGGCATACTTTTATAGCGTACTACGCGCATCTGAAGTGGGACATGTGCGATCCCTATCGCGAGCCGCAGACTTTTAAATATTATGACACTTTCGAATATTATGACGCGTGATGTAATAAGTGCAATCGAAAAAATGTTTTGATTTGATAAAATGGTATATTGTTATTTTGGTCTGATTTCAGTCATATAATACATAAAATTGATTTGAATTTAATTTAGTTTTCTTTAAACATGCAATAAAAACGATGTATAACTATAAAATCATTACAATGAAAAAAATTGATTGATAGAATCCAAAAAGGAATTTCTTTTATAAATATAAGTGACTTTAATAGGAGTCATTAATCTTTTCCATTAACCTTTCTACTCTCTGCTTTGCTGATTTTTTCAAGTTATTTTTAGCACTTGTTACTTTGTTGTATTTCTGTAGATCCAAACATACGGCTTGGCTAGAATTTGATTCATTCTGAAAAAAATTCAATTTTAAAATTGATGAAAATAATTTCTAACAAAGAAAAGTAATATTTCACTTACTGAGATATAAACCCCTACGAGTCCATCGGCATGACGAACAGATTCGCTACGATGACTTATAATTATAATTTGGGTATTTGTTTTTAATTCGGAAAAATAATCTATCATATTACTAATATTCACACCGTCCAAGGCAGCGTCTATTTCGTCAAAAATAAGAAACGGAGTTGGCCTGACCCTAAAATTAAAATTGTTATGAAATAAATTTGTATAAAATATTCGATCAAACAATTATAATCAATTACCGGAATGTAGCTAGTAATAAAGCCAAAGCCGACATCGTTTTTTCACCTCCCGACAAATTTTCCAGGGCACAAAATCGTTTGTTCGGAATTACACAACTGAAATTAATACCATTGAGATAAGGTTCTTCGGGATTTTCTTTCAATAGAACTGCTTGTGCAGCATCATTTTTGTACAGATTCTATAAAATTGAAAAATTTCATTTAATTGCATTCCAACAAGTTTCATTCACTATTGTATTAGCTTTGTTTTTATTTTTCATTGACATACTTTGAAAATCTCATCAATATTTTCGGAAACTTGATCAAAAATATCATTGAATTTTAAGCATCTTTCGTGTCTTACTTTATCAAAATTTTCCTTAACAATACGAAGATCTTCTAAAATCTGTTTATAGTTTTTCTTTTTATCGGCGACGTTTTTTTCTATACTGTTCAATAGATTTTTTGCCTAAAATCATCACAAATGTTACAACAAATTTAAATTGTCTTCATCAAATTAAAAAGCATACCATATGATCTATTTGAATTTTACTCTTTTCTTCTTTCAGCGCATTAATTCTATTTGTTGTATTTTCTATGAAAAGGTCTATTCTATCTAAAGGTGAATTTTGATACCCTTCAATTTCTTCAGGCAATTGATCGTAATCGATTTCTACATATTTTTCATCGATGTGAGAACTTTTTTCCTCACTGCCTGATAATTGTTCACTTGATTCAAGTGACGAATAATTATCTTCTGAAGTTAAAGTTAATTTTTTCATGTTTCCTTCTTTAAGTGGTATGTCAATAGAATTTACCTTAAAAAAATACGATGATTACAATTTAATTTCATTCAGTGATAATACCAAGATATTCAGTTTTATACTTTGCAATCAAATAGTAAATTATGTTTTTCATCCTGAAGTTTTGATACTGTAGAATTTTGATTTGATAGAAGAGCAGTCAGTGATTTCAATTCACGTTGCATTGATTTCAATTTTGAATTTTCTTGGTTTATAATTTTTTCAGTTTTACTTATGGCACTCTTCACCTCATTATATCGTTCAAAAGAATTATGTGCTTCGATTTTGAGTTTCCGTTTATCTAATTTGGCTTTTTCTTTAGTCAAAGAATTATACTGATCTTGTATTTTTAGAACTTGTTCATTTAAATTTTGAATCGGAGCTGTAAAATTTTAAATCATAAACATCATCCGACCTTTATCAACATCTATTTAGTTAAAAATTTTACATAATCAAACGAAAAAATAATTACTTTCTGTATCTCGATTTTTTTCATAATCAATTTGACTGGATATTACTTCTAGTTGATGCTCATATTTTGATATTGTTTCTAAACGTTCTTTGCAATTCCTGTATATATACGTATATTAACAAATATAAGTTAATTATTTACTTTCTTTTTATTTACCTGAAGTTTCCCTGCTCATATTCTCGAATATTTTTAAATCCAAATTCCTTACAAAATTTTTGAAAAACTTGGTCTTCGATTTCATTTTGATTATCCACTATCCTTTTGCGTTTCTCGTCTAATTGAGCTATGGTTCTATTTATTTCATTAATTTCTAACTGCAATAGAAACATCAATAAAAAATAGAGTAGACAATAAGTAACATTAGTTTACTTGATAAAAATGAAAATTTAGTTTACATCTAATTGAGATATTTTTTCTGAAGTTTGTAATTCCATACTACTATGCAATTGTTCCATTTTTTGTAGTTCCTTTTGTACTTGCTTCAAAATAATAATAAAAATTATATACTGCTACTGGGAAAACGATATGAAGTTTGGATTGATTTACTTACAGCCTTTGTTGGTTTTAAATATTTATTCAATTGATAATTGAGACCTTCGTGTTTGACTTTTAAGGAATTCATAGTTTCTTCATTCTTTTGCATTAAACGTTGAATCTCGTACAGTCGAGACACTTTTTCATCCTGTTTTACAAAGTTTTTATAACAGTTAAAATAGTTTCAAGCTTTGGTATTTTCGAATTTACCTTTTTTTCTTTTAAATTTTGTTTTTGATCTTGTGAATTCAAGTTCCATTGTTTTGTTTTTTGTTGCAAATTAGCAAGGCCTCCAGAAAATAGTCCACTCTTTTTATAGTACGATCCGTTAAGAGAAACGCACTGGAATAATTACATGATTTTGAATACAATTTAAAATAGTTTCATGTTAAGTTTTTAACTTTTCTTACATTTAATTTTTTTCTAGATGATAAATCAGAAGCTAAACTATCTGAATTACAAATGATCGAATCCTTGAGTACACAATTTAGGACGAGTTCTATATCATCTTCTAAACAAAGCATGGCATCAATAGCCAAAATCGGTGGTCCAGGTTCATCGGCTATTTTACTGGAAAAATTTTAAACAAAATGAAATATTAAGAATGATAGACAAAAAAAAACGAAAAAGTCGAGTTTGTTAATAATTTACCTTCGAACTATATCTAAAGATATTGGATCGAGCGAAGAAACCGGTATAAATTTTTCAATAACTGAATGCTTCTCAGTCTCGTAACGATTTTTGATAAAATTAATGCAATTTATAGCCGTTTTATTATTATCAACGATGATTGAATTAAAGTTATCACCCATTAATTTTGTAATAGCTACTTGATAATCTTGATTATCTCGAAGATCATCTACCTGACATAAATTTTTCAAACGATCTTTCTGAAAAACAAGATATATTCCGATTATTTCTAATTATAAAATGCTTACTGCATTTTTAAATAGGTATATAATATTTACCACTCCATTGAAATTCAATTTCAACTGTCGTAGAACCTCTTCTCTCATTTTTTCTCTCCAATTGTCATGATTGCACTCCTTCAGTTGATTAAGTTTTTCTATTATGTCAAATATCTCAGAATTTAAATTCTTGATTTCCTCGCTTAATAATTTTTCTTCGTTGCGAAGATCCTCCATCTGTTTACTGATTTTATTTCTCTCAAATTCGGCATTTTGTATTTTTTCAGAGATACGTTGCAGTTTTGAGTTTCGTTCATTTTTTAAATTCACATCTTTTTGTTGTTTTTCAATGCACACACGTTTTTCATACAGTTTGAAATTTAGTTTACTATTTTCAGTTTCAATATCTCTGACACATGCATCAAGTTCAGCTGATTCTTGTACAATTTGCTGTTTAACTTTTAACTTTAATTTCTCGTAAGCGTTATACTACAAAAAGAAGTATGAACATTCTTAGATATTGCAAAATATTAAAAAACCAAATAATAATTTTTTTTTACCTTTTTGTTTTCAAGTTCTATCGGAGAAACTTGTGATTGCGATTTTTGGTAATTTTCTTTGATATATTTAATATCTTCATAATCTTTTTCAAGCGCTTTAATATTTTCTTTACGAGCTCTATCAAGTTCTTTTCTGTTTTCCAGTAACTTTTCATGTTTGTCTAATTTATTTTTACAGTTGCTGAGTTCGCATGACACTTTTTCTAATTGAATTGAAATATTTTCTTTTTTTCGTTGTAATTGTTCGAATATTTCATCAAGTTGTTGTTTTTCATTATTATACTCTTTTAGTTCATTTTTTAGAATATCTATTTTCGATTTTACATCGTTGACTAATTTTTGTTTATTTTCGGCATCTTTTTCGTTTTTTTCATTATCAACCTTAACTTCGTCGATCGATCGATCGATTCGTAAAAATTTGGCATAATAGAGATCATATTCAAGGTTGCTCTGTAAAAAAATTGTTCGTTAATTTTTTACATTTCAATGATTTTGTACAAGAAAATCATTTCAAAATACTCACTATTTCTTCTTGTAATTTCTCAAATTCATTTGCCTTTTTTTCATTTCGTATAAATTGCTTCAATTTTTCTACATGAAATTTTAGATCTTTTTTTTTAACATCTGCAGACCTTTGTAATTCTTCGAATTGTTTTTTCAGTCTGTAAAAAAGGTCGGAAATAAAGATCTTTTTCGGTAACGTAGTTTCAACAATTTTACCTCGCGTATTCGGTTTTTAATTTAATGGATTGGCTCATATGTTCAAATAATGAACATCTTTCTTTCGGATTTTGCAATGCAATAGTTTCAATTTGATTTTGTCGAACCAAAAAATTATTGGCTTTAGCGTTAATTCCATTTTCGATTAATTTTTCTTTATAATCTTCAATAACGACTTCCTAAAATTAATTAACAGATTTTTAGTTTATCTGAAGTTTCGGTCGAACAAATTGGGACTTCCTTAACTTGCTACTTACTTCTTCGTCAATGTAATAACTTATAGTTGATTCTTGATAATCTATTTCCCTCTTAAAAGTTTGTCGCGAGTCATTGAATTCCAAATTGACCTGTACCCAAGTGCTTAAAATAAAAATACGTTTCATAAATATTCGTACGAAATATTTTATAATTCTCAAAGTAACATTTTGTATACTTAATGTCTCGATCGTCCTGCAATTGTCGGTTGCATAAAATTTTTTTCAAAACTTCCACCGATTTTTTTTCATAACACGGAAAGCAGAACACGAATTCTATGGCATCCACCATCGAAGATTTTCCTGTAATGAAATCAAATATTTTATGCATCAATATAAACGTATGAAAGCCACAATTTACAAAAATGCGTTGAAAAATGTTATAAATCCTCATTTTGTTAATTTTTCATGAAGATGATATGAAAAAGTCGTTAGAGAATTTAAAAAATGTTGACTCGAAACTAGAAATTTGGCGCGAAACGCGAGTAACATCGCAGAGCGCGGATACAGACAGACACGCACACACACGCACACACATACACACACGTTTAGCTCCGATTTCGAAGAAGACCGATCGTTCGTTACAGCCTCTACTTTTTTGCATTGCAAGTTCTCATGCCGCAAACATAATAATTAACATATAACCAACACACCCATTATTTATCTTCATCACTATTAAATTTTCCTAACAGGCAAAACACTTTACACGAGATTTACGTCTCTTCTACACCAGAGAACAATGCGTTTTACTCACCTGCTCCATTGGGTCCAACTATCGCGGTAAAATCCTCCCACTCAATGGTAGTCAAATCTCGATACGTTTTAAAGTTTTTTAATTCTAATTTAGTAAAAACTGGCATCTTGACGTTGTGGGTGCAAATAACTCGGCCTCGCCTATCGACGTTTGCCGATCAACTGAACTTACGATGCACGAACGAGCAAGGGTTGAAGAGGGGTGGGAGAAGCGCGGAGGTGACTTGTCTTAGAATTCGAACGTTTGAATTTTTTAACGGCTACTTGTTGTCCGGTTCAGTGTATCGAGCGGTAACGAGCAGGAATATCATTTCATTCGAATATAAAAATCATTAGTTCGTGAATGTAAAAATGCAGTTTTTTGGTGAAGAAATTGAATAATTAGAGACAAGGTTTGTAGAACAATTTTTATTTTATCTTTGTACAGTATAAAAACTAACGCTTGGATTTTATTGATCGAAACTGTAACTACTTGCAGATTAAAGTATAATTTTCACTATGATTATAGTTTAGTTTTTATTTAAACTTATTAAGACATACTTCTAAATAATATTGTTAAATAGATAAAAAAAATTTTATATTAACTTAATACTTAGCAAAATATCTGTTGAACAGGTATCTTCGACGTCATTAATAATCAAAATTTTACCATGCTTCATGGATTTATAAATACAACATTCTACACAAACATTTAGAATAAAAAGATAATTTCTCGTAAGTTTTTGACATTTACTATTTAAATAGTTTTCAGATAATATTTAATCTCGCGTTTTTCAATCTTAAACGCCTAATTAATTAACTTAAACAACATTCATTTTTTTGTACTCAACAAAAATCAAATCTTCATTATTGACATAAGAAAGTCTTGGTGGGATGATAATTTGAAAAGCTACAGTTTAACTAACGTGCTGTGGAAACTGCGTCAGGTCTAGTGTCAGAACTTTACTCTCTAAACATTCACCAACCTATAAAATAAAAATTTTTTCAACATTTATTTTTACTGAACGATTAAACTCATTGAGAATAATTATAATACTTACGTCAGGACAAATTCCTATTAAAGCATCTGCATGCGAATAAAATTCTTCTTTCAACGAAATTACAATAGTTTGAAGTGAATTCGTTTTGTCTCTAATGTAGCTTGCTACTTTTCCAATGTTTGTGTTATCCAAAGCTGCATCGATCTCATCAAGAACAAAAAATGGAGCTGGCTGATAACTGTAATTAAAGTAAAATTAAAATATTTGTATTAAAAATGAACGAAAACTTATTGCGAAATTTACCTGTGAATTGCAAATAGTAAAGCAAGAGCTGCAACTGTTTTTTCACCTCCCGAAAGATTAGACATCGGTTGGAATCGTTTTCCAGGGGCTACACAATTGTAGTTTATACCATCTAGGTAAGGTTCTTCAGGGTTTTCTGGTCCTAAAAAGGCTTGAGCAGATTGATTTTTTGCTAGAGCCTTGTAAATAGCATCAATTTCATTTGAAACATGCTCAAAACATGTGGTAAATCGATCGTATCTTTCTTTTTTAACTTTTTCAAACTGAGTTTTTGCTTTTTTTGCTTTTTTACGTAACTGTTCGAATTCTTCATTTGTTTCTTGTAGTTTCTCTTTGGCTAAATACAGTTTTTGTATGGCTTTCATATTTGGTGCTTGAATTCGCTGAATAGTATTTTGTAATTCATTGATGTCTTTATTTAGTTTATCTGTTGTTTTTTTGAGATCTTCTTCGTCAATATCTTTCAAGTTATCTTGTAATCCAGAGTAATCGATAGTAATACGACTTTCTCGTTCATACTGTTTTTGTGTACTCACACTTTCATTAGCTTCACTATCTCTAACGGCACTAGTATCACTAGCAATATCTTCCATATTACCGCGTATCATTGGAATTGCTATGTCTTCCATCTGAAAAATAATTTGGATTTTAAAATTAAAATTTTTAAATTTTACTTTCTGAAAAAAATTGTAAAATTTTAATGACCTTGCAATTCATTAAAATAGTATGGCGTTCGCCTTTGCGTTGCTCAATTTTATTTTCAATTGAGTTTAGCTGCTTATTTGCTGCTTGGACATCTTTTGCAATTGCCCCTACTTCTCGTCTACATTTGCCAATTTCCTCTTCCTTTTGATCAAATTCCACTTTTTTAGCAGTTCTGGAAGATTTCAATTGTTCCATTTGCCTTTCATCATTTTCTATTTCACCTTTTTGATTCTTTTCCGTTTGCTTAGCTGATTCTAACTTGTCTTCTGCATCTTGTACACCACGTTCCCATCTCAATACATTGCCTAAAAATAAATTCATATTATTAAATTTATTTCAAAATTAAGTAACAATTTTAGATTGAAAATTTATAAGCTCACTTTCTGTGTCTCTTTGTTTTTCGAAGTCCAATTGATTTTGAATTCGGTTCATTTGATTTTCAAACTCCATCCTTTTTTTAGCTCTTTCTTCTTGTGACCTAATGGAATATAAAAAATTCATTTATAATTTGTTTAATCTTATGCATAAAAAATGTAAAAAGATTACACCAAAAAATAAAACCATAAAAAAAGAATACCTCAATTCTCTTTCTTCATATTGACGAATATTAGAGATTCCAATTGACTCACAAAAGCTTGAAAATACATCATCTTCTACATTATTCATCTTTTCTTTAATATTTTGAATTTCATTATCACGATCTGCCATCGTTTTTTCAATTTCTGTAATAGTAGGCTAATGAAAAAAAAAAAAAAAATGTTAATAAAATATATTTAATTTAACAATATTGTTTAAAGATAACAAATTAATTACCATGAATTTGTCTAGTTCTTTCTTAATTTTGGCAAGTTCTTGTTTCGATTCATAGATTGATTTATTCTGAAAAAAATAGCAAATAATATATTTTTTGAATACCTACATTAACAATTCAAAATTTAATTCATCCTTACTGTAGAAGCTAAATCACTTTTGTTGTATCTCAATCTGGTTTCTGTACCCCGAATTTGAGATTCGATTGTATTCAACTCGGATTCTTTGCGGGATTTCTTCAGAGCATCTCGAAGTTCCTCTGTCAATTTTTCCTACAAAATTGAATGTATTAATTTGATGATCTTATAAAAATTATGGTATTAATTAAAAATTATCATTTACTTTTTGTGCTTTTAGTTGAGACATTTGTTTTTCGTCCCATCTCTTAGCTTTTTTTGCTAAATCTAAACTACCACCAGAAATTATACCAGCTTTTTGGTAAAATGTTCCATCAAGAGCTACGCACTGTAAATAAAACATTTTTAGTAAGAGAATAATCATGAAAAAAGTATGAAAAAAGTAATAAGTATGTTTTTTCTGTAATATTTACATCATATCGAGCTTTTTTATCCATTTCATAAGCAACTTTATTAGCATCTTCAGGAGTTTCACATACTAAAGCATTGTTAGTAGCAAACAACACAGCTCGGTCAATGTCCTTTGGAGAGAATCGCAAAACATCATATAATAACTTAACATTTCTTGGTTCTTGGATATTCCTGGAATGAAAGAATGTATTGCAAAATATAATTAAATCTAAAATATTATATTTTCAATTAGTTAAACTTGAGTTGTACCTGAGACGTTCTTTCAGAGGTTTAGCTTGAATGTAATCCAAAGGTAAAAATGTTTCCGGTTCAAGATATTGCTCTTTTAAGTATTGAATGCATTGTCTTGCAGTCTTTTCAGTGTCGACTACAATAGCTTCCATATATTTTCCAAGAACTTTGGTTATAGCAACATTGTATCTTTTATGAATAGGCTCACACATGTTGTACATTCTATCATACTACAAAAAATTATATTAAAATGAGGTATTATATAATTTGGATATATTACTTGGAATTATAATAAGGATTGTAATAAGGAGGATTTGATTAACTAATTAATTTAGCTAGAAAACATTAACTTACTACTCCAGGGAAAAGCTTTTTGAAATTTTCAACTATTTCTGTTTTTTTCTTAGTTCTGGATACTTCGTGTTTATCAACTTTAGCATCTCCTAATTGCTCTGAAATGCTTTCCAAATTTTGTTGCAATTCTTGAATCCTATCCTTTGAACTACCAACATCACTTTGTAAATCTTCTCGCAGTTTTTTCTGCTCTTCTAGCATAGTTTCAGAATTGCGAATATGTTCTTCAAGCTTCTCAATACGCTTTTCTGCCTCTTCCAAAACATGCTCTTTCTGTTTAATTTTATTTTCTAGCTCATTTTTCTTTCTTCCTTCATTGTCAAGTCTGTCTTGGTCTGATTTTTGTTCTCGATTAATAGAATCAAGCAATTGAGTATATCTAGCTGATTGTTTTCCAGCTTCTTCCTTTAATCTATTATACTCTTTTACTTGCTCATCTTCTAATTGAACATCTCGTCCTTGAGATTGTGATTGAGCAGCAATACTAGCTTCATATGTTGCTTTGGCTTCTTCTATTTGTCTCAACTCTTCTAATAACTCATTAATGTCTTTTTTGTGAGCATCATCAGCTACTCGAGCTTGTTGCAGGGATTTCTTAGCTGACTCTAACTTTTTTTGCATGTGAGCAACTCGTTCTTTAGCTTTAATGAATGCAGGTCGCTTCTTTGTAATTTCAACTTCTACCTCCCTAATATCTTGTTCAATTTTTGCTAGATCACGTGCTACTTTACCAGATTCTTTCTTTTTTTCTTTCAATACTTCTTCTGCTTTTTCACGTTTCTTTTCAATTTTTTCGATCTCTTGCTGTTTCTTTTTAAGAGATTGTTCATAGCTTTCAATTTCTCTTTCATTATGGTAGAGCTTGAATAACTGCATCTCTACTTGTTTTTCAACATATTCTTCTTTCAAGCGTTGATATTTTTCTGCCTCTTCTTTTTCCAACTTTGCTTCTTTTCTTTCAGCAGCAATACCTTTTTTCTTTTGATATGAAAATTGAGTATCTTCTTCAGCTTTCAACATTTCAGCTTTTAGACGTTCATATTCAGATTTCAGTGCACCTGAATTACTAATTTCTTCAAATAGTGCTGTTCTTTCCTTTGGATTTTTCATAGCAATAGACTCAACAGCCCCTTGAAAAACCAAGAAATTTTTTGCTTTCACATTAATTCCAAGATGTTCCAATTCATTGAGGTACACTACACTTGTAACAACCTGTAACAGCAAGATTTATAAAAGTTACAATATATTTTTTTATTTTTATAGTAAAATTAAGTTTATTATTTAAATATTTACACTGCCGTTAATGCGATGTTCTGATGAAGAGCCATGAACAGCTCGCATAAAGCTTTTTTCTGACCCATCTTCCATTTCAAACACAGCCGTGACAGAGGCACTGTAAAAAAAATAGTAAGAGAGCGGATGAAATTTACATTTTAGTTTTAAATGCATGAAATTAAGACACAAAAATGAAGAAATGTTTACACTAGAAAGTTCAACAGGTGTGGGATGAAAGTTTCAATAAGAGAATTTATAAAATTCTGACCTAACTATATATTATGGAATTGATCGTTTTGTTATAGTTTATGAGTGAAATTATGAACACTTATGGGCAAGTAAAAATGTTACCTGCGAGAGACTGGCTGCCCAATGGATGCACCATGGATCAGTTCATTGAATCTCTTAACACGAAGACTGCTCGTCTTCTCTCCCATGACAAAACTAATGGCATCCATGAAATTTGACTTGCCTGCATGATCAAAAATCCAGAGATGAGTTATTATTCAAAACACCCACACAAAGATAACAGATGAAAACAAAGTGTTGAGTGCAGTCACAACATAACCTACCAGATCCATTAGGGCCGATAACCGCGGTGAAGGATTTCAGCGGTCCGATGGTCAGTTTGCCCTTGTAAGATTTGAAGTTGTCAACCTCGATGTGCTTGAGAAAGGCCGGCATTTTGGCAGATCGCTCGGAAACCCTGCCAAAGGGTTTACAAACAGTATCGATAGTAACAATTTGGCGCCACAATTGTTGAAGTACACACAAGAAAGTAACGCTGACGCCGCTTGACAAGAGTAAACGCGTCTTCTGCGCGCGGGCACAGCAAGCGGTAAAACGTCGAAGTGCGTTTTGCTGTTTATGGTGTGCACAGATTTTTGCGTGTGTGTGACGTGTGTGTATGTGTACTCATGTAAACCGAAGCTTCGATGTGTGCGAAGTACCGACATACGTGTGATGGGGCAGCACGGGCATTTGCACTCGCTGCGTGTAAATGGTGCCAAAGGATGGCGGCCAGCAAATGTGCGTGGCCGCTATTTTCTCAGATATTTTTTTTTTTCGTTTTGTAATAATTGATCTAACTGGGTCCCTAATTCAGTCCCCGTTATAATTGCATATCTTTCAATGACTATTATCTTTTAAGCTATTTTATAAAGAAATGTGATTGATAGATAACAAAAGCGAAATCATTCCATGCGTAGCATTTTTTATTTGGAAAAACGTCGTTGAACTTTCTCAAGAAATACAGTTGTAATCATGAATTGTAATTAGAATGCGGCAAATGAAGTTGATGTCATGGTTGCATCAGACAGGCGCATCGTCATTCGTATCTTGGTGCTTTTTTGCTCTCAAAGAAGTCGATCAACCGTAATACGACAAATACAAGATGATATTCGTATCGTTTAAAAATTAAAACAATTCTTTAAATTACTTCTGGTCTAATTATTTTCATTGTAAATAACGAGAAAATGTCTCGTACTCGAGTCAACGATTTTTTACTTCAAAATAGAACTTCGGCCAGTCTCCGCACGCTGATCCACTTCGCGTCAGCTCGATGTCTAAGTAGCGAAAAAAAAACAATCGAGGATCTTAGAATGTATCTTCGCAAAAATGTTTATTGAAAATGAACAACCTAATGCGTGAGAGGTCCGTAATAATTATTAATTTACAATTATAACAAAACCGGTCTGGTACACCTTTGATTTTATCACAGCAGGTTTAATAAATTAAAGTATAATTTAAAGTAATTATTTCTTAAGATTTTGTTGATGAAATAATATTTACCCTGCAATGATGAAGCTGCAAAAAACAGCACAACACCCAAAGATATTGAGCCAGTTAATTAATACAGTGTTAATCAGTTTTTGCAAAAAATCGCAAAGAGCGAATTGCTAGAGTTCAATATATGGTTCATTCTTTAGAAAATTTGAAGATGTCACATTTATGTTAAATATGAGAACAAAAATTTACCTTAGACTCTTTTTGATGTAAAAAAGTCTATTTGTTAAAAAATTAGGTATTTACAAAAAAATGTATCATGTGAAGAAAGTACGGATTTTGAGTTCGTGACGTGCAACAGAGGGTCGTGACGTGTTTAACTTACATATTAAATTACGTTCATTTTTCGATGAATATGTATATAGTGCATTCATAAGAAGACAACTACGTCATTAGATTTCCATTTTTTGGAAATATCTCAACACCCACGTCCTAAGGACACGTAATATCCATGTATTGGTACAATGAACCATACACCGAGATGCGTGTGTGAAGTCTATTCGCCAGCAGCAGCAGCAGGCCGCAGCCTATATGCAGTACAGCGCTCAAAACGGTAATCGGGAAGATCCCACTCTTTGCGCTTGTAAGTATCTCGCTGCGCTGCTCATGCTCGGTTGCCGTCTCATCGCGCAAAGGCACCGAAACCGAACACACACGCACGTCGAAGCTCGAAGTCGAATAGCTGTGAGAGCGAGAGAAGCCACCAGTGGATACTACGAGAGTGTGATTTTATTTATAAAATTTCGCCAGCTCGCAAAAACACGAACTTTGAACTCACCTGCAGCTCGGTAATAGTAGTGCGTGGCAAGCCATTATCATCGTGTACCATTTGCAAGCGACTGCGGTCAGTTAGTCGTGTAATATCTAAAAAAAAAACAGGTAATTATAATTATATCTATGCATTATCGCCTATGACTTCGTATAAATAGAAATCGTTGTCGGGAAAATAGAGTGTGAGCGAAAAATCGACGAATTTTGCGGGCGTTAAAACACAACATTATTATTGTTAATCAAAATCCAAATCTCAAATGATGACATACTTGAAATTATGATTCATACAGTTATATTTACACTATGGACGAATTATTGTTTCGTCATATTTAATATCACGATGAGTTAACGTGATTACCTGTACGAATGTTATGTGCTATCATTTTTTAATGTACGATCATTGGTTATGTTACAGATAAAAATAATTCATCAAGATGAGTCTTCAGTGGACACTTATTGCTAGTTTTTTGTACACTGAAATATTGGTTGTACTTTTATTGGTACTGCCAATAGCTTCTCCACAAAGATGGCAAAAACTATTCAAATCAAGGTTCCTACAAAGTTTGGGTCAGCAGGCATCAATTTACTTCCTAGTTTTATTAGCAATACTAGTTTTGTTTTTGCTTGATGCGATACGCGAGATCAGAAAATATTCCAGCCCTGAGCTGCATGATCATGCACACAACCATTTGGACACTGAAATGCAAGGTATGTTAGTGATCTCAAATATTATTATTATTATTAAAATTAAAATTTGACAGAAAGTTACATAATAATGATTGTTGTGAAAAATTGCCTGCCAATAATAGTGAACGAAAAATATATATGATATAAATCAAATGAATGTTTAAAAATAGTTTGAAGTTATCTTAATTGTTGTACATGTATAATTGCCAACTGCTGTGTTCAATTACATTGTACAGTAATTAATTGATGTCTTTTGTTGTATTATGTTTCAATTAATCCAAAAATAAATGTGTTTTGTTACAGGAAACATGAGGCTGTTCCGTGCACAAAGAAATTTTTACATTTCTGGATTTTCTCTCTTTCTCAGTCTTGTGATTAGACGCCTTGTTCTTTTAATCTCAACTCAGGCAACCCTTATGGCTCAAAATGAAGCATCCATGAAGCAAGCTCAATCAGCTACATCTGCTGCTAGAAATCTTTTACAAAAATCTGGTGAAAGTGCTCAAAATGATTCCAATGAAGTACATGACAAAGTTGTTAATGAATTGAAATCTCAAATCAAAGAGTTGGAGGCTGAGAAATTAAAATTAGAAAATCAGTTATCAAAAGAAAAGAAGGATAAATCTGCTGTGAAATCTCAGGCTGATTCATTGGCTAAGGAATATGACAGATTGAATGAAGAGCATGCTAAAATGCTAGCTGCAGGCGGTGATAAAAAAAGCGACTGATATGTTAATTGTTAATATTTTTTTTTTGTGATTCAACTAGTTTCTGGATCAATTCCTTTTAATTATCTGCAGTAAAGTGTTTTATAATGTATAGTTTCTTCATTTGTATTGTTACTTATGGTAATACTTAATCACATCTGAAAGCTTCTCTGAAGTTGTATTTATTGACCTCAAAGTCAATAATTTCTTTGTTAATCAAATGTTTTTTAAGAGTATGGAAATGGTTTTTTTTGAGAAGATGATAATAAATTTGTTTTTCTAATAATGATAAATTTATATACTATAATATTGGTATTTTGACTGTACTTTTATTTACTAAACTTATTCTGTATAAGACTGTTTTTTCTAAGTTTAAAGTGTGACTTTTTGAATGAGTAATCTCTAATAATTAATTTTTTTTCAAAAGCAAGTTGGCCTAACTAATAATTTGTTTTAATGTAAATAAATTATTCAATAAACAAAATCACTAAAATAAAATTAAAACTTTGAACATAATCATACATTTTTGGGGGCAGATTTGGGTATAGAAAAATTTCATTTTTTTTATACATATTTTATTTAATAAAAATATTCTAAGAACCATGAATAACAATCCAAAGTTCATGAGCTTTCATCTGACCAAACCTAGTGGAAATTAGAAATTGCACGAACAACAAACTTTTATTTTGCTCCAGGATAGTTGTATTTTGCATTCACTCATTTGTCATTCAATATCTCAAAATACTCCACAAATTAGTTATTCATTGTATACTACCAACAACTAGTCATTATGTATTTTCAAGTAAAACAGAATAAAATTTTTCCATTTTTGGTTTTTTGACACCAGTTAACTTATGTGTTAATTGCATCGCATAAGCTGTGCCCTGCGCTGATCCACACAACTTGAGAATTCTTCAACCAAGCTCGCGCATCTCAGAGTTTCTCTTGGATTCTCTTGATAACATTTCAAAACTTTTTGTCTGTTTTCGATGCAAGGTTTAACGGCATCCTGAGCTTTGATGACTAGAAACAAAATTTATCACAGAATTAAGAACAGATTACAACTAACATATATAATTTACAATGAATTTTCAAACTACGATTGAAAGATTTTATAAGCTTGAGTTTATTCGTATACAAAAAAATTTTTATCAACACTATTATAACTATTGTTTTAAGAACTTTTCTTTTAGCCTACCTTTACAATCATCAAAAATAGTGAGTGCTTTTTTATACTCGGTATCAATAGCAGTATTGATTTTTTCATGAGTCTTTTCTAAATTCTGCAATCTGCGTTGATAATAAGTCTCTTGCTCTTGAAGCTCTCTCTCTTTTTGTTGCTGCATTTCCAACGCAGAGATGGTGAAGTGAGGATGAGCGGTGTGACTGAGCTCCACTTCGCGAGCTGTCCTTACCGCAGGACTCGCGACCTCCTGTTTATCGGATTGTTTTGATTGCTCGTTAGCCAAACGTTGAGCCACCGAGTCAGATATGCGGATGACATTGGCATCGTCTTCGTCATTGTTGATGGTTAATTTGCGTGTGCTTTGACTGGAACCCATTTTGTGGAGCAGCAATTTGATAACTGGAAAAGGGTTTAGAGAAATCAGCTCGACTGATTGTCGCCGACTCGGCCGAATAAAGTGTCAAACGATGATCGAGAGGCGAAACTTGCGATTGATTTTGGGCGAAGGCCTAACCTGCAGATTTTTAGTCGTACACAAAAATTCAAATGAATAGATTACGAAAGGTCAACTGGTAACGCTGATATACCTGCGAGAGGATGTTCAAGCAGGTTGACACGTACAGTCCTTCATTCGTGTTTTGGTGCGAATGTAAGAAATTGTTTTTATAGCTATACACACGACTGCTCTCGGACCTTGCTGACAGTGTGTTACATAAAAGAGCTATTGCGGAGAGAGGTTAAGATTGGAACTAGTGTGATGATAGCTCAAAACTAGCAGCCGATTCACTTCACTTCGATCCATGTGCACAGCTATCTGCATTCTGCAGAGCGGCATAATGATAGAATATATGAACTAGTTGGAGGGTTTCATTAGCGCGTTGGATAATAAAAATGCACTATAGAGTATAAAACCATGCATTTTTAGAAATTATTTTTCTTTTTTTATTTTTCAACATTTTTTGTATCAAATATCATTACGCTCTAAATTATAAATGTGTATTTTTTTGGGTTGACTTGTCTGTACAAAAAGTTATGAATTAAGACAGCCAGATAATACCAAAAAACTCATAAATTTTTATGTGTTTAAAAGACACTTTTAATAAACATCTAAAACATATTTTACTTAAAAATAATTGAAAATTAAAAAAGGCTCGAAATTATGTACAATAAATAAAAATATATACAATTATTGTATCATTTCTATTTAGACGGGTTTATCCAATTACGGTGAAAATTCATAAATAGTTTTTCGGAAAAAATATATAAAATATAAGTATAATTTTAAAAGAATGTAAATGGTAATATTGTTATTATTATTTATTTACCTTTCTTCGCATGGAAAGTTCAAAAATATATAGGTGGCATGTGCCCCTTATACAGGAGAACTGTTTTATAATTTAAAATTTAATTTATATTTTACTGTTATTTTTCCAAGAAATGACAATGGGAAATAAATACTTCATTTTTAAACACATGCTTGCAGCCTTATTAATATCAAACATGTTCACTTCTTAAAGCAAGTGACCTAAAGCTTTTATTTTGAATACGAAAATGTTTATCCGACGAGATGATATAAATGAAGAGAATATTGAGTGTATAGAAATATTGTTCTCATCTCAGTTTTTTTTGTTCAAGAGATTAATGCAATTCTTTTTTTTGTGGCCACTCCAAAATAAAAATATACAATCTAGTGGAAGATTTCTCTTTATTCTATACTTTTTTATTTCATTAGTATGCATGGTAAGTGCTTCAAATCAATTCAAATAACATTTTATCGCAAGGAGTAAATTTTCAGGGTTTAACTACGTTGAATGAAATCAATAAGTTTGATGTAAATTTCAGCTCTGTGGTCAAATCTCTATTCCTAACTTCGAATTATTCGCTCGTGATTTTCTTCTATGTTTATATGATGATGAAATATAGAAAGGTTCATAATGTCATTTGACTGTTACGATATTCTGATTTGATATAATTTGTCATTTGTCATAATTTTCAGATTATAGATATAATGACAAAATTAACTCAACTATTCAAAAACAATGATGAACAGGCTAAACAAATAATTTGGAAATCAGTAAAAAAATCTCTATTTATAAACGAAGTTGAAGTTGGTAATGATTTCACAAGAGTGAAAATTGTTTAAGTAAATAATTATCATTCATATTTTTACAGTGGGAGCTTGTTTAGCATTTATAGGTGGCATGGTTTTTCCTGTGATTTCAAACATTTTTTTATCACAGATTTCTCCAGAACATCAACTCCAGAAATCTTTACAATTCAATTCGGTATATTTTATAGACAGTAATGAATTCTTTTACGTAATTTTTGCTTTCAATGTGATAATTACAACAATTTGCACTCTACTTCTTGTACTTGTGAACTCTTTTCTTTGGCTAAGCACTGGACTAACTATAGGAAGTCTAATTTGTTTGCAGTAAGTATTGCTTGGACAAATACTTCATTATCCTTTTAAATCAAATTATGTGATATTTTATAAAATTTAGATATTACTTGGAAAAAATAGACATCGAGTTCGGACATAAAATGCATTCAGCTGAAATGAAAACAGAAACACTGGTGTACAATAAGCTCAAAAAAATAATTCATAAACATCAAAAATCGATGGAGTACGTTATAAATAAAACACATTGTCTTTAAATGATATTTAAAATGAACATATCAAAGATATATTTTTATCAGTTATTACGCGATCAAAATATGTCAAATTAAATGACATTCCGGTTTCTTTTCTTCATTGAACTTGAAGACTGAATTTAGACTAAGAAAATATCTTGATAATTTAAATAATTAACATTTTTGATCTTCTGTAACAAAATTGATTTATGTTGTAGGTTCTTCAAAAGTGTGTGTTCTTTTTCAAGTCCTATGTTTTTATTTTGCCTCGTTAATAATTCGTTCAACTTAATCATACTTGGTACTTGGGTAAATATAAAATTTTAACGTTTGGTATTTCATTGCCTTGCATACCAATCAGTTGTTCCTGATTTTCCAAACCTAAAATATTTTCTGAGGATACTTTCAACATAAAAAATGTTTTATCGATTTTTATCTGTATTGATATTTAGATAGTAATATTATTGGAAAAGGACCTAAAAGAAACTATGCATATCTTATCATTGTTCTTTGCTATTCTGATAGGAACTATTAATGCTTGCATACCAAGCCAGTTGATACGTAATGCGGGGTATGAGTTCTTCAATTACTGGTAAAAATAATTAAATTTTCTGAATCTGAATATTTTGCCAATAAAACTATTTGAACCAAATGAGTTATCCAGCTACAGCATAAACTGGCATTATTATTCACCAAAATCTAGACTAGCTTTAGTATTATTAATGAATAGAGCAATGAAAATTCCTACTCTAATGGGTGGACCAACAATCATTTTAAGTTTTGAAACATTTAGCACGGTGAGCTAATTTTTTCAATCGTTCATGAATAATTTTAATAAATTTTTGTCATTCAACAGATTTTGAACAGTTCAATATCATACATGACAGCTTTAAGATCATTGTATATCTCGCGTCGATGAATATACGAGTAATGTCCATGTGCAAGAAGAGTACTTTCAAAATAGGAATTTTTGATGAAACATTTTTTATGTTTTAAAAATTGATAATAACCACGCTTGAAATTTTCAACTTCATAACTACAGAAATACTGTTTTTATTTAACGTAAAATAAAAAAATTTATTTCATAATGTTATAACTACTATAATGAATACTTTATTCCAATGTATTGCTGGCCGTGATTTTTAATATAGAATACAAATCTTTTTTTCTGTACATATTGTAAATATTTTTCTTTCGCATTATGAATAAAAAGTTCTATTGTTGCCCGTTGAATTATTGTTGTGGAAATAACAATGGTGAATAATTAATAATATTATTACACATGAAGATATTCGTTTCTTATTTATAGACATATATGCAGCCATACTAGTATCAAAACGTAGCATTTTTTCAAAGCGAAAAAATTTCTATGCATCGATGAGATAATTTGAATAAAGAGGCCATGAATCGGATATAGAAATATCCCAGTTGCGGCCTATATAACATTCTGTTTCAAGAGAATAATACAATTATTTTTCTCGTGGCTTCACCAAAATAAAAATATACGATCAAGTTGGCGAAGATTAAATTTTTTTTTTTGAATATTATTTTTTGAATATTATACGTTCCATTACTCCGATCGTTACGCATGCAGTCGGCGGCCAGATTCGGTGCATATACGATATTATACATTTTGCGCGCGTCCTTCCCGCGAACAGGTGATATATTTGATGCGGTGTCAAAATCCTTCGAGCGCGACTGACTGCTCGCGACTGCATACACACACATACGCGATATGCTTCCTCTCTTACGTATATAGTGTATATATATAGGAGCATTAACGCGTGCATATATACGATACCTATGTATGCACACACGACATACAACAACGCATAACGTCTATACATACACGGACATTTACGCGTTTCTCTGTGTGTCCGTGTGAATGCGAATGCGCGCGCGTAAAACGACGTTACATTAGCGTATTTCGCGCATGCATTATATACGTATATGCATATATAACGTTCGTGGATATGTGTGCGATAAAGGTACCTACATAGTGGACACGATGGAATGGCAACAGGCGCGGTGAAACGAACGGAAGTCGATCCTGTAGCCGACCGTATATATATGCACGCGTTGTACATAAGCTCGGGCGGGCGCGCGCGCGAGGCCCAGGCAGGCGTCGAACAATTGGAATCGGAAGTGATTCCGGTGTTCTGCTGGTCGCAGTTGCCTATATATGTATATAATATAATGCAACGCGTCGCGCGTTTTGCCGCCGAGGATTTCGCAGTGCACCGGGAACCTCGGTCACGCAAACTCGCGCGCGCCCGACTGACTGCGGCTGCATGAGCACAGAGATCGTCGTAGTCGTCGATTGTCCGTGAAAATTACAACAACGAAAAAAAAAATTAAAATAAAAATATCGACTCACGCCGACGGAGATTATTTATTTACCCATTATCTGTGCACAGTGCGCGCGCGCTTCGGTGCGATGCATCATCATTGAATTGTGCGTCTTAAACTGCTCGCACACGCTACCGCAGCTAGCTGCAGTGCAGTTGTAATAACCCACGTGTTACTGCACATTGTGTCATGTGATTTTGCGCTCTGTACGCGCGGCGTTAGTGCGAGTCGCGATCGCGTAAGTATCGCATCCTGCTGTGTCCCGCGCGCAAATTTTTTCGTGTGTTCGTGTGTGTTTATTGTTTTGCGCCGCCGCTGCTGCTGCTGCTGCTGCTCGTGTCGCAGTAGTAAGAGTATTTTTTGCGATTTTTAACGCTACGAATATTTACAACGAACTCGGAAAAAGAAGTGAATAGGCGAATAACTTTGTTTGTTAAAATAAAAATAAAAAAATTCATTTTTCTATCGTTACCGATGTCTCGTTAGTTTCGATATTTATTCATGGGTGAATTTACATTTCTAGAATAATCAAGTAATTGTTTTATTTATTCAAGTGGTTAATTGAAGGATTTGAAACTAACATAACTTTTGAATCTGAAGTAAAATCCTTTTAAATTGAGCGTGTATTTTTGCGCATGTTTTTTTATGCTTCTATGACCATGCATTTTTGATAATTATGACAAATGCTATGAATAGATGGATCATCACTTTGCAAGTACAATTCAAAATTATTATTGACTCTTTTTTTCAGTAAAACATATATTATGGGCTGTTCAGCGTCTTCTAATACCAGCACAAGCAGTAGTTACCACAATTATGGTCTCGAGTACCACGACAAAAATGTCAACGGCAGCCCAGGCTTACGGCTCATGGCGAGCAAGCTACATTTCAAGCTCGAGCAATTGGAAAAACTCAATCATTACTTCAGCGAGATCGCCAAATCTGATTATTTACGTGAGTATGATTTCTTGCAATAAACTCTTTGCTGCGGATCAATGATATCGGTTTTGCTTACCGATAATTTTTCAAATAATTTTATTGATCAGCAGGTCCTCCAGACGTCATTTCTGCGGAAGCCACAGTCGAACGTTTAGTGCAACGTCTTGTAGCTGGTGTAGGCAATATCGATCGCAGATTTTCTTCAGCTTTTCTCGTTTCACTTAACGATCCACGAAAAATCAAGGTATGATTTGTGCAGCCAACAGTTAATTCATTTCATAACTTCATATTACTCGTATATTTATTAATTATTATGCTAAATTGATCTTAAATATTTTTTATATCTTACAATTGTGAGAAATTTCTAAAACAAAGCGAGTGCTTGAATAGATAAGTATTGAAATAATTTGTCTCGTTAGATTAAAAATATGTGTAATAAATTACGTATTACAGAAATAATTAAATAAATTTAAAAAACAAGAAATACAAATAACTGTATAAAAAGAGAATAAAATTGTAAAAAAAAATTTTATTTTTTACATTATAGAACATTTACAAAATTACATACGTAGCTTTTACATACGTTCTTAGTTTATCAAAGCATAAAATAGATTACTAAATCTAAATCACATTCAGTTCCCCCCGTACACTTGTAATTCGACTTTGTAGCAACTGAAATTCGAGTATCTCTTTCGACTGGACGCCCTGTCGTCGCCGTCGACGTCGCTGGCGAATTCCATCGACGAGGTGTCGCTGTTTCTCGAGGAAGACACGGGACTGGCGGGCTTCGCGAGATTGAGATTGCGCAGCGGTACCGGCGGACCCTGGACCGAATTCATCGGCACCGATGGTCGACTCAGGCGCGATCTCATAAAAGCTCGAGTCGCTGCTCTCCTGGCAGTCGCGTCGAAACATGGTATTTAATTACAATTTCTTATTTTCTCTACGAATATCAACGTTTTAACGACAATATTTGCGATAGACTCCCTCTAAGCCGAATCCCTTTAAGCCGAAAAGCTTTTTAAGTAAAAAAAAAAAAATTTGAATGTCCCGTGAAATCCGGTTTAGTCCAGAGTCTACTGTGTGTGTACAATTTCACGTTAGATGTACAAGTGTGCGGGGCTGAATTGTGTTTCGACGTGTGCACGCTTCAGTACTCGGTCTCCCTGCACAGCATCTTACAACTCCTGCAGTACATTGGATCGGGAGGCATAAAAAATCTTCTCGTATAGATCTGCTGTTCGATCAACCTAAAAGCTTGGTAGTAATGTTGCGTAGTTTCTGTGCTCCCATGTCTACTCGAATAACACCATGTGAAGATTTTATAACGATAATCTCTTGACTTTGGATCACCTGAACTCTTGAGTCTCGTTTCAATCCCTTCAAAAACGCATTTCTGGAATGTTTCACCACAGAAATAAGTAAAGACAGTGTCTAATAGCGGTGCCGAGCAAATGTAGTTTTTCAGAAATTCAGCTTCCATGAAGAAGCAGTGGCTGATACTCAAGAGGTTCACAGATCTCGGCAAGAACTTCAAAAAGCTCCCGGTTATCTCGTGCAAGCCTGCCAACCGGACTTCTTCAAGATTCGTTAAGTACCGCAGGGCTATGAGGTCTTCGTCGTGGATGTCCTCGATGTGATACAGACTTAAAGACTTCAATTGCTTGTTTTTCTTAAAATAGTCGACCATATTGGGAAAACAGGAATCTGGGAAGTTGCCACCTACTATTTTCAAAACGGTCAGATTACTTAAATGTTCCCAAAAATTTAACTCTGTGCTTCGGCACAATTGCGTCAATTTTAGTTCCTTCAGTGACGAAATACGTTGAAATTTCTGTAATTAAAGGAGAGGGTTCAATTGTTAGATTGTACCACACAAATTTCCTCTTTGAGCATAATGGTTTAATTTATAATTATCAGACTTATACAGTTGCACTTATCAGAGAAAAAAGACGCTCAATCATCGTATAAGTCATTTATAAAACGCTCACTTACATTAGGCGTAGAGACTTGAATGAATAAAATTGCCTAATGTTTACGTTTGTTAAATTTACGAGCCAAAAAGTTATCACATTTTAAATTTCAAATGAAGAAACTGTTGGTTTGAATAATTTCGATATTAACTTATATCAACAATTTAAAATTGAAAAATGTATCATTTGAGTTATATTCGAAAAAATTCGCGTTTCGAGGAAAACCATCTCATCTCAAACAGAAAAAATGCTTACCTCAACTACAGATGTAATGGGACTGTTACTATCTATGTTTGCCAAGTGAAGGGAAACGAGCGTGCTCGGCAACAAATCCAAGAACTTCATTATTTCTTCTTGTCTATTAAATTGGATAAGATTGCTGCATGCTAATTTTTTTAGATTGGTTGCTTTTTTGAAAATCTTTTTATAATTTTCAAGACTAATGGCAGGTATTACAGGACACAAAAACAGTTCTCTGAACTGTGACACGCGTTTCAATAAAAACGGAACGACGTACTCTCCGGGGGCCACAAAATCCCAGCAAATTCTCTTCAAATTCTCCGCTCTCTCTTCCAACAGCTGGAATATTAATGGGCCCCTATTCCTGCGTATACGTACGGCATTCCCGGGATTAGTGATATTGTGATCAGCGAAGCACAAGCAAAGTTCTTTTAAATATATAGTGCTCCTCTCTAGTATCCTCAAGACTATATCGTCGGTAAGATTATTTTGGGCGAACATAAAGTCCATTAGGCCCTGTTTTGTAATGGTGTTCCACGAACGTATAGAGCAAACTTGCCAATGAGAACATACTATAACAAAATGATTAAAGTTTATTAAGACCCTGACTTGAGTTGTTTTCTACTGAAACTTTTGTCAACTTCTGTACAAATTCACAAAAGTTCATAAAAGCTTAACATATTCTATTCAAAGTTAAAAATTACTTTAAATTAATATAGTATATAATTGTACTATCTAGGTTCTAACATTAAAAAACAAACTTTTATAAACTTATATTAAAAATGTATGAAAGTTGAAAAAAATTGCCAGAAACCATTCAGTAAGCTCGATCGTGAAAGAAACTCCATGGCTCTGTAGATTAGTTGTATACTTATATTCATAATCGCTGCCGATATTAGATATACCAAAGTGTATATCGCCATATTATTTTCTTTCACTATATCGGGCTAACTAGATATCATTTTCGCTTATTTTTTTACCTCTCTCTAATTTGATACGCTCATTATAATGAAGGTATCTGAATACTTCAGCCAAACAATCTTCGTGTAACTTGTTGATAGGACCTGAACTATTGTCAGCATTTGCTCTTGGCGATTCATCCGTATTTTGTTCGGCCCTCGATTCCAAGTCAGGCTCATCTATCGCCGGCTGAGGATTTTCTTGTTTATCATCATCGCTCAATGTTAAATTACTAATCGACTTCGCTGTTTGCTCCAGTTCGTCCTTCGACATAATTCTGATTTTTCTTAAAAAAGAACAGTTACTTTTTAATTATGTCCTCAAGAATTTCCATTGAAATAACGGTTAATATTGATAAAAAAAAGTAATTAATAATCGCACAATTTCCATAATTCAAAAAATATAGCTTGGCCTAGCGAAGTTGGTTTTTTACGAGTCGCATCCACATTTTGTGCCTTTTTTGCGCATGGGACATTGAGCATTAGTTTTCGCCAACGCATTTTTTTCTCAAAAAATTATTTATGAGCGAGTATCGTATTCTATATTTTCATAGTTTAAGAGTAACATTTAAATTCTTTTTTTTATTGCGCAATCTATTGATTCTAAATTAATAATTATTTAATTATGACATGGACTGATGTCAAGGAGCGCGTGTCGCGCTTGGAATGGCATACGTACATAATACTGGTTTGTCGCCTAGCGAATAAATTAGGTGACATCGATTAATCAAAGTTCGGTACTACAATACGCGATCCCCATATGCTGGTTTATCTAAACAAATCTATTTTGCGTGATTACAAAAGGACGCATCGGTAGAATCCTTTCAGAAGCGAGAGAAGGATTGTTTAGTATGTAATAAAACGTACCTTGAAAACTTGAAACACCTGTCGATATAGTTTTTGAGCAAATACGATCCAAAGTGGTAAATTTGATCGTTTATTGAGCCGCAGGAGGACGATTATACATGAACGCGCACATGTAAATAAACGAGCGACTAATGGGCGTGCGTAAGCGACTGAAAAACTTTCGACACCGCTATGCGAAAGAGGGAACAGAGGGCGCATTGTTAGTGGCGCCGCGATGAATTTCCATAAATAAGCATTCTAATAAAATTGAAGAAAATCGTATATGATTGAGATTCGTAGTTGAAATTTGATGTCAAAAACCATGTGGAAATTTTAAAATTCTTAAAAATTAATAAATAACTACAAATTTCAAATATAAACTTGTTTGAATCCTTCAAACAAAAAAATATCGAAATTCGTCATATTATAAACCAAAATATCTCTTAAACAGCTAATTGGTTGATCATTAGACACATTTTGTCAGTAATGTTTGGATGAAAAAACTTAAAAAATTCATATAAGTGAGAAAAATACATGCTTCATTGTGCTTAAATTATTTCTAAAATGTATCTATTGGTCAGTCGATTGATCCATTTGACAAAAATTTATACTACAGTTTCAGTTAATAAATACGGGTTTTCCCATCTACTTTGAATTCCTTATCTAATTTTATATTCTAAATCATTATTCAAGTTTTTTTTCATATTATTAAAGCCCTCCACAAAAGTAGAACAATATTTAAAATTCAATTTGAGCCTTTGCATAAGCTAGAATAATTCATTTAGAAGACTTGAATTTGAGTAAGTTTTTCCTTTCAATGTCTACTTTGAAAATAGTGAATTTCTTTCTTTTGGCCATTACAAGTGGATGTGCTTTTGCTCACATAAAAAGAGAAAAATGACCGACCGATTATTTGCCTAGGCGCAGCCAACGGGATCGACGAAAATCTATGCATCACTCCTGGTCAAGTGGTCGATGCCAACGTCCTCGACAAAATTTTAAAGCAACCTCAGCACTGCCGAATATTTTATGGACCAGGTATGCATGATCGTTATGCGACCAATAAAAAGATTCAATCGATCTTTGTCAAACTCTGTATATATTTGTCTGTGCACGTACATCTCGATATTAGAATCGAGTCTACCCGAAATGAGCGAGCATCGCGTGGTCATAGTGGAAGACGAGAGCTGCATCGTGATCAAGATCGGCCTGACCGACCCGAGGAGCCAGCAGTCGATGGACGTTCGAGTGCGTCTTCTGATCGGCGTAGGCGTCGACTCGTGGCCAGTTTGCGCCGATTATCCTCGTCGCGTGCCGCTGCATCACTGCGACGCCTTGCTGCACTACGAGGCTGCCCAAAGCGTGAGTCCATCTTATCATTTATAATATAAATGATGTAAGTAACGGACCGCGGCACACGGAAACATCTAAGGCGATTTCTGTGGAGTATACTCTGTATTTTATTTACGTCGCAGTGAACGATATATACCCTGTGCATCGTGCATTATGCAATGTAGGTCGTCGTCTTCGCCGTTGCTAATATAAACCGCGCTTGAGCCGGCTTGCAGGGCATGTACGTGGTCGCCGAGGCACCGCAGCAAACTCTTAGATGCGAGGACCGCTCGAGCTTGTGGCGAGTCAGGCTACCCGCAGCCGAAACGATTCTGCGAGGACATTATTCGGATGAGAGCGTACCTGCCTTAACCGAGGCCGCCCTGATGAGAGTTCTGGAACAGCTCAGGGGCGAGCGCCATATCGATTTTTCGATACGCTGCAAGGTAAGTCTCGCGCGATTCTCATCTTTCACGCCGCGCCGCACCTGCACGTTATATTATATCATTAAATTATTAAATAGTATGGATTTTAATTAAAATACGTCTCTCTCCGCGCGTTTAAATTTATGTATTAGAAAATCTGATTTGTTGTCGGGCGCGCGCACGAAATTGAAGAGGGTCTCACCCTTTTTTTTTTGCATACTCTGCGGTGCTCATGCTGCGAAAGACTTTGAATTTCATCCCCGCGCGCCGCCGCTGTGATATATAGGAGATAGCGCAGGATCGCGCAAGTCGAAGAAAGCAGAGAGAGACACGATCTTTCACGCGAAACTTCTTTTTCAATGACTAGTAGTAGACCGGGTCCCGGGATAAGCGCAAGTGTAAGGAAGATAAAGAGAGCCGATTCGTTTTTTTCCGTTGAGTCAAGGATTCGCTCTTTGTCACCGAGCGAGCGCGTGTTGGATTGGCGTTTTACGCCCTTCCGCGGGAGCTGTTTATATCGCTCGCGAGCTTACGCGAGGCAGGAGCTTCGCGGAAGTATAATACTACTACACGCGCGACTCTCTCTCTCTCTCTTCTAGCTCATTTTTCCTTTTGTAATAGAAACAATCATTGCTGGAACTATATAGAAGAAATACAACCCTACAAGCGCGCGAGGCTGCGCGCGCGTTTAATTTTTTCAAAAGGAGACGTCTGATGAAAAAAGTTAAATTGATCCGCGAGATTGCAATCTGCGCCGCGCGCTGCAGCAAGGCTTCCTTTACAACCCTCTCCACCCTGCAGTGTTCGAGAAGCTCTGCGCCGAGAGAGAGAGAGAGAGAGCCAAACAACAAAACTCTTTTTCTCTTACCTACATAGCTTCTTCTGATTTGTCATTCAACTACTACTACTACTACCACTACTAGTCTCGGCTGCTGCTCGAATGCCGTTCGCGAATGTACGCTTAAATTCCTTTACATAAATCTACAGAAGTGCACACCGTGAATCGGAGCTCTTTCGGAGCTCCTCGCGGAAATAATTGAATTCCTACCGTTGTGTAGCCGAGCTTTACCCGGGCGAGAGAGAGAGAGAGAGAGAGGAGATGATTACAATGATGGAGTTCGACGCGAGGGAAAAAAATTCCCCCGCGTTTGTGAAATACTATTCATGATCGCGATGGTCGTCTCTGTCGCACGCGCGCGCTATCATAATTTATTTTTTTCATTTATTGTACGTATTGATTCGTTGATGCGAGCAAGAATTTTTCAAATTCGCGAAATAGAATGAATCGTTGAAGTGTAAAAATTTAATATTTCATAAAAAAATCTAAATAATTCGATATAAACAAGACATAAATATTATTCTTTTATACTCGGCGGGGCAGTAGTTCGCCCAAGCGCGACAATTTTTATTTCGTCTAGTTTCTCGCGGACACGCACGTTGTCTCTTTCTCTCATACTTTTGTATCGAGCGCTTATATATCTGTTCAACGCGAATGAAGAAAGCCGTACGCGTATATGTATACACACTGCAAACATACATTCGACACAGAAAATCTGTATCGATAGGGCACGTTCAGACGCGCGATTCACATTTTTCACTTCTCTTCCACGCGCCACAAACATTGTTCCGCTTGCGCTCTGCGCAGCCCCTACCATACCAGACTCATGCTATACAGCAGTCCCTTACATACATATACAATATATATAAAATATATACATTGCTTCTTCGGCCGTCTCATATTGATTTACGATTCACTATCAAAGAGGAAATTGAAAGGAAAAGAAGAAGAAGAAAAAAAAAATAATAGAAGTATTCGATCGATTTCTCTGCTTCTCTCTGTTTCATGTTGCTTTTCTTGTGTGCCTCGCCGCCGCCGTCGTCTTCTTGATGTACCACTACTACCACTACTGCTGCTATAAAAGGGCTCGTTGCGATTGGTGTCGCGTCACATCCTGAGGACCATCGAATTGTGGTCACTGGAGCGCATGGAACCGGATCTTTTGAGAAATTGGGCACCCGACACTCTTTCTTATCACGTTCTTTGGTCTCTGGACGAGCTGCTTCGCAGCCTCAAGTGCCAGAATTTGAGGTGCTACTTTCAACCTCGCTGCAATCTAATGCTTCAATGTACTCGAGGTACGTCGTCGTCTAAGTGATAAACATAATAATAAAAATAAAATAATACTCCGGATGCTTCCCACCTTGATCCTAGCTCGTACAAGCCATCGAGCAGTAATCCTTTTTTTCTCAGCTTTTTTTCCTCCGCAACTTTCGATATCATATACACGATACAGCGCGCACAGCTCGGCGCTTATCTTTTTCTTTTTGTTCTAGTGGGTGTTTAACGTGTCAAAGGGGAGACTAGAATTTGAGATTATTGATATCGCTTGTTGAATGCGCGCCTCGTAGTCGCGCGCAGACGGCGCGCAGTTTTCTATCTCGAGTGTTCGTCGATGCACTCGTGGCGCGTACGGCACGTAGTACTTGGGCGGTATATGGGACGACAAAGTGGAGTAATGATTGGATTTTTAAGCATCCAGAGAGAAAGAGAGAGAGAGAGAGAGAGAGAGAGAGATTTTATCGGGTAGTCGTTGGTGTCCCCCGAACGTCGTTATAATTCAATAATATAATAACGTCGTTATATTTTTTTTTTCGATGATTTTTAGTCGCGGAGCCGAGCCGCGCAACGACCCTGAAAAAATGCCTAGATCGCAGTTTCTAGCTCGGATATCCGTCGAAGCCCGAAAGTGCGTGTCTAGGACACTCGAATGTCGAGCCCGAAATGTAATTGTTATCCGTCGGTGCGGTCGCGCATATATCGCTTATATCTATATAGACACTGCGTGTGCTATAAAGCTGCCGACCGCGCCATTAATTAAACGACTTGCTCGACCGTGACTAAACTGAATCTTCGTCTCTCGCGGCGGCAGCGGCAAATTGTTGTGCTGCGCGTGTGTATATATGCGGGTGTACACCTTCGTACTCACACGCACGCACATGTGTGTGTAGGTACGTGAGAGCAATGCTCGAATTTGGGTAAGTTCGCACAGTACCTATCGTCTAAACGATGTGCTACATTTCGAATTCCCTATCTCCGTCTCTCCATGCTCTCTGTACTGCTGCAAGCGTACGTAGGTAGGTGACTACCAGGCAGTTTATATCTACGTTATACCATTCGCTGTGCCGCCGTAGCTTTTCGTGTATACGTATATACAGATGTATATAGATAAAGAGAAAGGGAGGTCAGATTCATTCAAATGATTTATCGTTTCATTAGATCGTGGTCTGGGCGCGCACGGGAGGTGAATCTGTTTCGCTTTATATATTTACACTTACTTCCCGTAGTACCCCCGTTTGCCTGCGTAACAACTTTCAACGTTATTATATCGAACGTTTTAATACGCATACGTGCACGCCATGCACTGCGCGGGTATAAATACAAGGTACAAAGGGCGTATTAGTAAATATTTTCTAAACAAAAGAAACATTATATAGATAAAAAATAAAGAGCATTTGTGCTTTGACTTATACAATTATTTTTACTTTTTCACTTGCAGGTTTACAAGTAAAAAGGTACTCGCCACCTGGCGGTAGATAATTCAAATGTTTTTATCCTATCTGAAGTGATTGATAACTGGTATACATTTGAAAGCAATTAAATGATCAAATACGATAAATATTCATAACATTATTGTGACAGAAAAATTAGCAAAACAAGCTCATTAAATTTTAATGCATTTTAAAATATTTTGAATGGTTATTTTTTGGTAATTAGCTATTCATCAATAATTTCTACCAGGATATGATTCATAAAAAATCTACCAAGATGATAATGAAATGAAAAATATTCTGTCCCGTTTCAAAGCAAATTATACACAATAAAATAGAATTTTACCCTGAACTAGTTCTATAAAGTCTCATTATCCCGTGATCCTATTCTCTGACATAATTTCTTTCGAGTAAAATTTTTAATTCGAACGTTGATATAATCATTACTCATAACGCTTTATTGCTTGCAAAAATACAGGTGGAAAATTATTCTCCGACGAGTCTTACTCCCAGGAGGCACGCATAATCGAGTCGTATCTGCGGGCGGTGCATCTGTACTCGACTGAGTGGCTGTCCCTGCAGCCGGAGCGCTGCCTGTCGACGAGCGAGCTGCTCGAGCAGTCGCTGCTGGTGCGCTGGCGTCGAGTCGTCGCCACCCTGCCGCGATCCAGCTCCGACGCGCAACAGCGCCGCGGAACAACGGCTGCCGGCTGGGAGGAGGCCTACGGGACTCGTCAATTGCAGTATCTCGGCTGCGTCATCGACCAGGTGCTGCTGGCTAGAAATTGCACCCTCTTGCAGGTCGGTTTTTGCTATGTTTTTGTATAGAAAATTACTGCACTGCGATTTCTAAACGAGATCCAATTAACAAACGCAGAAAAATAGCCCCGAGCGCTACGAGGCCATGTTCGACAACGAGTGGCTGGACGTGTCGGAGAGCACCGAGAACCTGATCTACGTGCTGCGTCTGGTGCTGAGACAGGCGAAGGATCAGATGCTGATCGCTACTGCGGGGGCGACTGCCAAGCGCAACAAGAAACGACGTCGACGCCGTCTCGTCGTGCTGCAGCGTAACAAGCGCGCCGTGCCCCCAACGAAAGCCGAGCGAACGGCGAGCTGCGCCAAAGCTTATTTCGAGAAAGCCTGCGATATGCTCGTCGATGTCGTGAGGAAAGATCGCGACACGGCGTACCTGGATTTGGATGATCCAACTATCATGGCTAAGGCTTTGCTCAAGTGGCTGTATTTCGGTAAGCTGCAGCATTTATAACGGGCCATTAGCTTTTCCTCGCCTCTATACGTATCCTTCGATATACATATTTCAATGCGTCGTTAAAAAATCACCACTCGACTCTATCTGCGCGCAGGCATGAATCAGGACAAAAAAGTGCTCGCCCCGATGCTGCGCTCGCATCTGAACAATCTGTACCACGCCACGCTGGAGCTGTGCTGGCATCTGGAATGCTGGCACAAGCGACGAGAGGCGTACAATTCGGAAATGCGCTCCCTCGGCGCCTACTGCAAACTGGTCAGCTCGAGGGAGATGTTGCCCGCTAATGGAATCGTTGATGCGCTCTCCAAGGGCTGGCAGTGGGCCGACAGCGTGGCCCGGATGATCGAGCGCTCGGTCAAACAAGGAGCTCGCTTGCGACTGATTTTTGTTACACCCGAGCGTGTTCTGAGGTTCGTTGATTTTCGACGTGTCTGTGTAACATTTTAACTAAACAATTCGAGATGATTCGAAAACTTTTATGAGTTTGAATTATCCGTTTGAAAGTAATTTCAATAAGATTGAATTTGAAAAAGTGAATATCGATGAGGAAGGTGGTGACTCTTAAGCTCTGGACCCTGGTAAAAATTATGACCTAATGCAAAAATGACTATTAAAATTTGTTGATATATTATGTATCCTTTAATTGGATTGTTTTTGACTAATTTTCTATATCAATGTTGTAAGAAATATCAAGCGTATTTAATGATCCAATTGTTTCAAAAACTTTAGACAAGTTTTTAACCACTTAAAATACGATACATATACTTTAAGTGTCCACCACTAGATGGCGAGTAACTTACTTGTAAATCTGCAAGTGGCTAAGTCAAAATAATTGTATATTAGTCGATATTTGTGTAAGCACTTGGTTAATAAAAAAGTCAATTATAGCTTTTTGTTTTTACAGGTTTAATTTCTTTAAACAAGAAAAGTTATTATGAATGTTTTATTTTTACTTCGCAGGTATCATATGAAATTTGCCAATGATCAAGAACCTAATTCATATGAAATGTGGTGTAAAGCCAGAAACATCGGGAATGTTGTAAGGCGTTCCAGTATGGCTAGAACGACTCTTTTGACAGCCACGGATACTCTTCCCGGGCTCGAAAGTCCGTTACATCAAAATTATCATATCAAAGGTAACATAAAACAAATAAACAATGACTTTGTATAAAAATTTTCCTTTCGTTTCAACGAGAATTGGTAATGAACAACGACTGTCGAAAAATCTCAAGAAAAACGGCAAGTAGTTTTGTTCCGTACATTAGCGTTGGCTCCGATTTGTGTCACTGCTCATTTTATCCGATCCTTTTTAGCTGCGAAGCATATGCCCATTTTTGCCAGGAGCCCTTTCATACGCGCGTGTATACGTGTAAAAGCTCCATTGAGATTTATTTGCTTTACGTGATGTCGTTAAGGAAGCTTTTATATCCCACTGTGCGCTCGGCGCGTTCGAGCCTCGAGCTTTTCGTTCCATGGCGATATTATATATATAGATGTATACATGCTATATACGATCGTCGGATGCGCTCGCGAACGAAACAGCGGCGTAAAGCTGCCTCGTCGGGGTATTTATGTTTTTCTAAAAGCTCGCGCAGTTATTACAACGGAACGTCGATATACTGTGTCACAACAAGACCGCCTCGAGACGGTTGCATTACCGGCAATGTAAACGGGTTTATTGTATCTGATTAAATAACATTTGACGGAGCGGAAGAAAAATAATAATTCATGATTGTAATTGAAAAGGTTTCAAGAACTTAACGGTACCGATTTTTTTTCTATTTCTTTAGGAAAAGATCAAGTACCATAACAATAATAGTTGAAATAAATATTATCTATAAATTGCAACATAAAATGTCAATAATCTTTTCTATTGACATAAATGAAATACGTTGAAAGCTATACGCATAATACCCGGAACGAATCAAACGATCGCTCGCACATTTTATGGCATCCAGCTTTACATAAGTATATATGAATTACCAACAGAATCAGAAGCTACGGATCACATAGCCTTGAGAGATTACAGTCCTTTGACGCTGCTCGTGCAGTCCACGTCGAGACGTCGCGGTCGTCAAAGGGGCCCGGGCGGCTTCGTTCCAGCTTTGGTGAGCCTCAACAAGTTCCGGGTGAGTTAACACAACCAGCAGCTTTATACTCTCTCTCTCTCTCTCTCTCTCGCTTTCTATGTCTCTCTACGCGTGTATATAGTACTAACGACAAGCTCGAACTATATACTATTTCACTTCGTAGCCCCGGTGTAGAGTACATACATACGGATACGCTTGTCTTTGGACTTGGTTTGTAGCGCGCTGACAATGACAATCGCAGATCCTGTGCAATGTTTGTACGCGTGTAACAAAAAGCCTCATTATATGTAGCTCTTATTAATTCTGCGATGTTATTTGCTCTTTCGCGTGGTTTATAGCTGTATACGTGCACGTACCTCGAATACTTACGGTTATTGAAATTTAATTGAGGAAGGCATGTGGCATTGTTACAATATTGGACTAATTCGATGGAATTGGCTTCTAACGTATTTTAACAAATAGATACGCATATAGAAAATCAATATTTTGCATGAATAATTATGAAATGTTCGTAGTACTTATTTATAAAAAAAATATGTAGTTTACAACTCAGTCGTAAAAAGTTTAATCAATCAACAACGTACGTACAACCATTCGCGTCAATGAGAATACTTCAGAGACGTAAAACTAAGGAGTTGGCATGAAATTGCCGTAAAATAAGCAGAGACATTTAGGTGTTTTACGTTCATACAATGTACAGATATATATAATTTTGTTCTGTAAGGGCTGGTTTCATTTCATAGTGGTTTGAGAGTTCACAGCTCTCTCCTTCTTTCGCCCTGCACATAGCTATATACGTATATAGTTGAATCGAGTCGCTGTTATACCCATTCGTCTCGGAGTCGTCGACCGTCGTGAAGCTGCGAATGGAGATCCTTACCCCCTTTTCGTGCTTCCTAATATATATCATTCGTATGTATATACACGCTACACGTATAGCCTACAAATACATTTTGCTCAAGCAGCCACAAAGGAATTGAGCGAGCATAATGGAGCTTACGCGTGATCGTGACGCTGTGCTCGGTTCAACACGTTGTGGTTTTAATTCGCTTAGAAACTCTCTCACCCTCTCTCTCTCTATCTTTTGCTACGTTGTACATTAATTTATCTGTGCGTTTGCTTAATTAATTATATTCTCTGATTCCTCGGTTTCGTTTCCACAAAATCAACGAGTTTAAATTGGTTCGAACATTCTGACGAAGACAACGACACTACGCTGCTATTCGTTGGCACGACATTTTTGTTGAAGTTAATGCACTCAGTTATTTTTTAAAAAATGGTAATATTTTATCGATAGTATAATTATCTATTCAAATTGATGATAATTTGTTAACAATTGTAAAAGAATTCGGTAAAAAAAGAAGAAGATAACATTGGATTCAATCATGATATACATTACTTTAGAAATGAACATTTTGAAAATAGTCTTGTGAACAAGTACATTAAATTTGATACACCTTTAGTTGAGGCGATTTTTCCGCATATCATAAGTGATAGTGATACCTTTATGCACCCCATTCATGTGGCATTGGAGATGGTCCTTTTTCTTAAATTTTTTGCCGCAAATATCACATGCATGTTTCACATTACTATGAGAGGTATTGATGTGTTTATTGAAACTTGTCCTTTTTGAGTATTGTTTTCCGCATAAATCGCAATCATAAGTGATTTTATTATGCACCGAATCGATGTGGATTTTCAGATTAAATTTGTGTGTATATGTTTTTTTGCATAAATCACATGTATACGTGATACCGTTATGAATCACATCAATATGGTATTTGAGATTGCTCTTATGGATGAATGCCTTTCCGTATGTACCACAAGTATGTTTGATACCACTATGCACTGAATCAATGTGAACTTTGATACCATTCTTCCGTATGAATTTCTTTTCACATAAATCACAGTTATAAGTGGTTTTACTGTGTATCGAATCGATGTGGATTTTGAGATCACATTTTTGTGAATATGTTTTTCCGCATATACCACATGTATGGGTGACACTATTATGAATCGCATTGATATGGAATTTGAGACTGCTCATGCGAATGAATGTCTTTCCGCATAAATCGCATGTACATTTGAAACTACCATACATCTCATGAATTGAATGGATGTGGATTTTGAGGGCACGTTTATGTGAAAATGTCTTTCCACAAACATCACATACATGTCTAACACCATTATGCATCGCATCGATGTGGGTTCTGAGATTATTCTTGTTTGAGAATTTTTTTCCACAAATATTACATGCAGGAGTGATTTTAGTGTGCATCGAATTGACGTGGGCTTCGAGATTTTCTTTTTGAGAACATGACTTTCCGCATTTCTTACACGAGTGGCCGTTAACATGGAATGATTTGACAATCCTAATCAGATTACCCTTATTTGAGAAATTCTTTTCGCATATTTCACATAGGGGAATCGGAGCATCATGCAGAGTACCGATGTGTTCTTCAAGGTTATGTACATAACCTTGTTGTATAATTATCACTGCCTTTAACATTATGGAGGTGATTCGTAGAATTATCTTCAATTTTCTTAACTGTTAAAGAATCAATGTTAGGCTTGACGTCTTCACATTCAACGACTACTTCCACTTCGTTATCAACTTTACTCTCATGATTTTCTTCAAATTTTCGAAGAGTATGGATCTGTTGGAAAATTAATCCATATGAAAATTTTTATCAAAAAATAACTTTAAAACTAGTGAATATAGTTATCAACATTTACGGAATTTTCTTGTGGACGTAATAAGAGCTCAAAGTTTTTGAGATCAGGTTTCTCGTCAATCATTTCACCGCCATTTTCAATAAGCAACGTATCACTGGATTCCTCTTTTACTCTGAAATAACCCCGATAGGATTAAGTATTTGGTTGTAATGTTTGTATTATTGATGCTGAGCGCAGCAAAGTCGTACACATTCGATATTGCTAATGTTCGATGTTTTACTCTAACTGCGATAACTCATGCAGGCATTAACCAATCAATCCGAAAATTTTACATAGCATTCTTAGGGTGTTGACGGAGTGCTGTATACTTTTTCAGCAAAATCCGTGTACCCTAATATGCAAAAAATGCACTTTTATGCAATTTTGATTTTTGCATCAATATTCGTGTGTAAATTTTGTAATATATATTTTGTGAGTTATTTATGAGTAATTTTTTTTTTGTATACATTCGATATTGCTTACTTTTGATGTTTTATTCTAATTGCGATAACTCATGCAGAGATAAACCAATCAATCTGAAAATTTTACATAGCATTGTTTTGGTGCTGATGGAGTGCTGTATACTTTTTTAGAGACATCCGTATATCTTAATATACAAAAAATTCCTTTTTATGCAATTTTGAGTTTTGCACCTCGCGACATCTCCACTTCGAAAAAACGTAATTTTTGTTTGCGATCGGTCTTACTTGTGTATCGGTATTTAACATTGTACTTATGATACGTATATATGATACGTATTATATGTCGTGTTTTGAGTACCACTATACTGAGCATAACATGATTGTGATATATAGTATAATTATGTCGTGTTTCAGTTAACATTGTACCGATGAGAATTATATTATATGTCGTGTTTTGAGTATCACTACTGAGTAAAAATGTATGATATGTTTATTTATTATATGATAATAAATAAATATATGTTAATTTATGATATGTTAATTTATTTATTTGTCTCGAGGTTTCATCATTTTGCGCGGTATTGATAGGTACGTTTTAAGATCTTTCGTATTGATCTCGTGCTTGGGTATTACCTTCATGCACACTTTTGACGTGTCTGCATAAATATTTTCTATGTTTAAATTTTTTTCCGCATAAAACACAAGTGTGATCAATGTCTTCGTGCTGCGTTTTAATGTGAGTTATAAGACGATCCTTTTGAGAAAATGTCTTGCCGCCCTTATTACAATAAGTGGTCTTATTATGCATCAAATTCATGTGTTTTTTAAGACTACCCTTTCGTGTGAATGTCTTTCCGCACACATCGCAAGTATGTGCCACACCTTTATGCATCGCATCGATGTGAATCTTAAGACAAGATTTTTGTGTGAATGTCTTTTCACATATACCACAGGCATGTTTAACACCATTATGTACTCCATCGATATGGATCTTGAGTTTAGTCTTCGTTTGAAATTTCTTTCCGCACACATCGCAAGTATGTGCCACACCTTTATGCATCGCATCGATGTGAATCTTAAGACAAGATTTTTGTGTGAATGTCTTTTCACATATACCACAGGCATGTTTAACACCATTATGTACTCCATCGATATGGATCTTGAGTTTAGTCTTCGTTTGAAATTTCTTTCCGCATACTTCGCAAGTAGGGGCCATACCATTATGCATCGCATCGATGTGACTTTTAAGTACTCCTTTATGTGCGAATATCTTTGCACATATACCACACGTATGTTTAACACCATTATGTATTGAATCGATGTGGACCTTGAGATTATTTTTTCGTGCAAATTTTTTACCGCATATATTACATGGATATTTGGTACGATTGCGTGCCTTATCAGTTTGGGTTTTGCGTTGACTATTTTGAGCAAATGTTTTTTCATTTGCATCAAATGCATCACTGAGTTCACCATCCAAATTCAATTCCTCTTTTACTTCGTCGACAATTTCTTCTTTAATTTTCTTTTGAGTCTGATAATCGCAACTATTTTTCATATGCTGCCATTGATCTGGATAATCGTCCTCGATTTTCTTGACTACTAATAAATTAATGCCCAGCTTCTCGTCCTTACATTCGAATTCTATTTCCAAATCGTTATTAGGTCTAGAATTTTCATCATTTTCACGAAGCCCATAAATCTGGAAATGAGATTAGTAAAAATATTTGATCAAAATATTGACTAAACAGTCCCACATCAACACTTACTAAATTTTCTCGACAAAAACTCGAGAATTCGTCATTTTTAGCATCGCATGCATTGTCAATTATCTTATAATCTTCATTTTTAATTGGGGAAACATCATCTAGTTCCTTCTTCACTCTGCAATATTCCCAATAATATAAAGTATTATGCCATTTTTTTTTAAATTTCATTCTCACGAAACAAAAATTACCTGACATCAGAGTTATATACATCACTGAAGTCCATGTTTATCACTCGGAACTTGATCAACGACTAATTGTTTTATAATGATGTTACACATCGAGCTAGGTAACATAAGTGTAATAATATTTACAAATCGTGAAATGAAAGTTTGAGAAAATTTATGTCAACAGAGACACTCTAAACTTGTCATTTATTATTGGAGAAATTATACTATTGATCTCGTAATAAACAATTAGCCATTTTCTTTGAATTGTATCTTATTACAAAGAAATTATAAATTATTGAACACTTCATGAATCGAGCTGATGATGTGTCCTATACTTCTTTTCGCATAATTTTTTTCGACGCGCAAAATATGAAACAAAGTTAACTACAGTCGCATCTATATCATTTACCATTTTTACACAACGAGCGAATATCGTACATCTATGTAATCTATGTGTGATAAATATGCATGGTTAGTCATGTAGTAAAATATATATCTATATATATTGTCACGTGGGCACACCGGTCCAGCTTAACGTGTACATACAGCTCTATATGTGTTGGCATGCCATGTGCAAATTCCTTTGGTCGCAACGTTGTAAATACACGCTCAGCACAAAACATCGATAAGTGAAATCTATTTCGTACGTGCGAATTACGAAAACCTGTATTCATATATACCTATACTAATGTACATGTAGGGAACATCAAACTAAAAAATACGCCCTATTTTTGTGTTCTACTTCCAATTATACCAATAACGATTTTAACGGCTTTACCAAATTAGCTGACACAAAAAACTCATTGTAACATTGATTTATTATGATACTCATTGAAGCTACTATTATTAATTTCATACGGCTGAAACAACTATTATAATGATGTCGTATGCTATTTCGTTATTTACCATTCAGTCGCTCAGCATTTTGCAACTGTGGTTGCCACTAGTTTTATTCTCATAAAATCAAAATTACCTGATATGAGGGTTAAATATATCATTGGACTCCATCTTTCTCACTTATGATATCCTTGACAATTTATCTTTCCGCTCCGTTCGAGCGAACTACACGCTAAAACTGCAGGCAAAGGGTACAGAGAGCTGTATAGCGTGCTTATCCTGATGTGTACGTCTTGTGTAGCATGCATGACCTCTCCGTGTGTTGCCCGGCGCACTACGCTATTTACGCCCAAGCAAATCTGTGAACGAACCAAAACTGAGCCATTACAGTTATATCATTGTAGAAATGACATTATGTATCTCGCATCGAATGAATAGTACATTTTTTATCAATGATACATCAATACGGAAAAATGCTTCTACGGTGCGTACTAAGAAAAAGCTAGGTTTTTCATATTGACATTTGAGTTATTTTATGAATATAATATACTGTCCACGAGAAAAACAACAAATTGAATTTGAAATGAAAAATATTTTGACTGAAAAATGGAAGAAAAAATAAAATAAAAATAAACTTGCTCAATGAATTCAATCCACAATTACAAACTCCTACTTGCCAAGAAACAAAATAATTCGGAAACTCGGATTGTCCGGACTATTACAGTTGAAAATTCAAACTCCTACTACGTGGGATTAACTGAAAAATTAGCGGCTCTTCGGACCTGAGGCTTAGTTGATGCTATCGACCAACTCCTACATTTACCGCGTAACGCGGCTACCGGCCCAAGGCTAATCGGACTTTTACTTCGCACATCCAATCGTCGGTCATTTTGGCAAACTTGCTCCTCGTGCCTCATTGAAATTGGATGGCTATCCTTGCTAATTTTTTTAGCCGTGTCGTGAAAGTGTCGATCTGATTTCGGATTGACTCGAACTCTCGTCGCATTAATTAATAAATAATATAAAAACATCTTCAATCGGCAGAGAACAGTTGCAAATGAAAAAAAAAATTTTTCAACTTTGAGATGGTAAAGGTATTTAGAAAGACTATACTTGGATTTCGGTTAAAAACCCGGCGGGTGGATTGTCTCTGAGTGGCGCTCAAAATGAATGAAAAGGACACTCGAGAAATAAATAGGATCTGACGAAAGGAGAGTTGAAATAAGATATAGAGAGAGTAGAAGAAACAGAGAGAGCGAGAGATGGGTCCAAGCAGCACAGAGATAAACAAAGAGCAAGCGCGCCTCGGAATCTAAGGGAATTCTTTTCGCCAGTACGCCACAGATTCACCATTTCCACGCAATCCTTTTGAAAAACTTTATCCAGTGGGCTTGTCTCTTCTGCTTTTCAACGGTATATAGCTTAAGAAGAACAAGAAGTAGTAAAGGGAGTGAAAAGGACCGACGTCCTCTTAGATACACGTATAAGTAGCGCGCACACACACCCACGTACACACAAAACCATAGAGCCATACTATCCTGCATATATTACTTTTGAAGCTAGCAAGCGGAAATTTTATCAGCCAACACTGAGTTATATTTTACGAAAAGCCAAAGGCCTCTCTATCTTGAGATATTTCAATTAGCAAGAGTGAAACTCGGACGAGCTTCTTTTTTTATTTTTAAAAATTAAAACCGTACGAGCTTGCGTGCGCGAGTATCGCCCTTTTTCCGAGTGACATTAATTTGCACTGATTTCAGGTCGAGATTTTACGTGAGTCGCGATATAAATATGCGCGAGGATAGGTGTGCGTCGTGGCCCGCTGCTACGAGAGTCGCTGCGCGTATTTTATTTAACGAGTCGAGTTATACGAGCCCTCGCGGATAACGCCTATACACGGAGTCTCAAAGGACTATTCGTTCGCTCCTACTTACCGTCGTATTCGAGCCAATTTAACGTCGGAAATAATAAATGAACTAGATATATTATACAGGTAATAGCGGCAAGCTCAAAAAAGAAAAAAATTTTATTTGTTTCGCTGAGCATCGTCTGTAACAGAGAGCCAGGTATTTAATTGAGCTTTGCATGACGCGAACGACCGATGCGATGCCGCCGCGTCGACAAGAACTCGAGGTACAGGAAGAGAAAACAGATGTACGTGTACGGGGATTGCGCACGTATAGAGCAGCGCAGCAATACAACGGGCATCGTCGTCCCTCAGGTGATGACCGACGCAACGAGGCTCTTGGGACGATTTTGTATCGAGATTTTGCACTTGTCCGGGGAATTACTCCGTAGTATTTGATTGCATTTTTCAAGGATCTCTGCGCGCGTGTATTTACGCGGCTATTTCTATTGCAATTTGTCAGACGCGACGGTTGACCATAAATTGGCGATCCTCTAAATGAAAAAAAAATGTTTGATCACCATGTATATTAATTCTACGCCATAGTTCGAGAGCACTTATTCTTCTGCAATAAAAGTTAGGTGAAGTCCTCGTCAATTATCGAAAGAAATATTTGTTGTTTCAGGTGCTGCAAGAGGTAGCTCAAGTACTGCCGCCGGCGGAGCGCACCAAATTGTTGGACCTGACGCAGAGAGCCAAACGCGAATCGGCGCGACGTCTGCGACGCGCCAGTTGTCCCGATCCGGCTCGAGAGACGGGCCAGAATCGACAGTTGTACACGCCGAGGTAATTTCGCCTCGACATATCATTGACATTAGAGATTTTTTCTCATTGTCACGCCATGTGCATGCGAAGAGCTCGATAATTGAATAGGCAATTGTAATGGTACACTGTACGTGTGGAATAGAGAAAAAGTTTGTTACGCTGCGCAGGATTGATTTACGCTGAATTTATGGTATGCGTGTTATCCGAACGGAAATGTCGATATTGTATATAGGTGCGGCAAAATTGAAATTTGATCCGCAGGTGCGCAGCAATAGTGCAGAGAGCTACAAATTGAAACTCATTATGTAGTTCGAGCGTTAATTCGTTTCTGATAAATGTAAACTACTCAGACTGGCAATGAATTTGATATTTTTAATAACGGCATTACAAACCATTAATGTATTATAAAATTTAGCCAGAAATGGATTAACAACCACTTTTCCATCGATCGGTATGCGCACCAGCGCGAAAGCCGCCCTTTTGCAGATTGTATTTTTAAACTCGTACTTAATCGAGCGAGTCGAGCTGCGGAGCTATATTTTGAAGGGTTTAAAATAACGATAAACTCGAAACTGCCGCAGTGGAAGCTTTTCGCCGATCGAGTCTCGTTACACGCTCGTGGCTTCGATTAAATTTGTAAAATTGACAGGAATCAGAGCTGCCGTCGAACAGCTCTCTCTCTCGCTCTCTGGGTGCAACTATTCGGTCCAAGGATCAAGGATCTATATATAAGCACGAAAACGAAATGAACGGACGAGTCAAAGTACTCGGCACAATCGCAATACTACGATACGATACGAAAATCATTGTGGTTTTTAACACGGTCATTCTCTATTCCCACGCATGGCTTGGCCAAAGTCCATGGCGCTTATGGGAGGTGGCACGATTTCCATATAGTAGCAGTAGTAGTAGTAGTACTGCCACGATGATAGCAGCGAATTTTGCTTTGTAAACGCAGCAGCTGAGCTTTTGTGCCGACACAGCAGCCAGTGGCAGTAACAGCGTTGCAGCCACTGTACCTATACCTACCGCCCTATTATACACTCGTGCACTATTCTCGATTCTCGTATCTATTTGCCGGGGTCGAGCTCGCGCGCGCGCGCGCGTGTGTGTTGTATAAAGCGCAAGGGCGGGGGAGAGAGAATTTGCCTCGAACGACTGTGTGCTGCTGCGCTTTTTCCTGTACTTTCATTTCGAACCACCACGCGCGCACACTACCGCTGCTGCTGCTGCTCTTTTGATGTTGAAGGGCTTTTCTCCGGGCTCTATACTCGACGGCTAATCTTTGTTCTTTGAGCATCGTTTCATTCTTGTAGCCTGCATCTGAAATTGCTGCGCTGTGAATAATTGCACTTTTTTGCGTAAAAGGTATATAGCGAGCTTGCGCGTGCGGAAAATCGAAGGCCTCGAGTATATCCGCATCATGCTCGATGTATATTTTATTCGATTAGCGGTGGTGGCGCTCGTACGATGAACCGAAAATACTTCGGAAAGGACCACTACAACGTGATATTACAGCACGGGCGCGCGCGCAAGATCAAGTTCATCGGATAGTTAGTTATCAACTTTGGACATTACGCTCCGCTGCAACCTCATCGCGCGGCGCTCAGGTTAGAACTTCGGTGGCAAAAGCTGTATTATAACTGATAACAAACAATGATCAATAATGTCGAGGGGTTTTATCATTTCGTAGTTTACGAACGGATTATCGCTGAATACATAAACTATTTTAGCAATCATTTTAATTTTTTAAAAGCTACGCTGAAACTTTTACTTTGTAGTTTGCTAACAAATATGCATTTTTGGATTTTTTTTTTCATTTTTTACCTCGACTTTGGCGTTTCCTCGATTAATGATGGATAACTTAATATTTCCGTTCGAATTCACATTACCGATTGGCTTATTTTTCGTCTGGGATATTTTCTTGCAAAAATAACTTTCAATCGATATCTCTCTATCGCTCTGCAGTACATGCATACTTATGCTTATAGTTCCCGCCTCGTTCCATATTTCCTCGACGTTTCGTCGCGGAAATGTTCATTATCGACCTGATTTAGCACGATGTTCATACCTTCTGTAATGGTTATATAGCATAAGCAGTATTAAGCCAGTATAAAGCTTCAAATGGACTTTGTGCCAGCATTAATCGATCGTTCGCTCTCTACTGCTCTTGTTGTGTGCTTGCAGTATATTCCTTCGGATTAAAATTTCAACCCCCCCGAGCTGCTTGATTTATACCCTCGAATAATTCATTCATCTTATGGCAATTTATATGTACACGTGCACGAGAGTCGAGTCGATTAATCACCCGCGACTCAATTTTTGTTAATCTTCCTCTCTCTCTCACGCTCTTGTTCCACAGATCCGAAACAAACTTGCTCGACGAGAAAACTACAACGACGATCGATGATTATTCACCTGGAAAGAATCAGCGGCGCATCGTGCTGGAACGCCAATTACAGCTGCATCAGGAGATTTCGGAAATTCGCGATACCTTGACGAGGGGCTTGCGCAGCAGAAGCCAGCTACCCTCGGTTTGGAACGATCCGACCGCCACGATGTCTTCCTGGGGCTCGAGGGCAGGTACGCTCGGTCCGACAACGCGATCAAAGAAACATCGCGCTCCCGTCTGGAATCCCGCTCGAGGTATATTAAAAATAAAACATCGCAAAGGATTTTCTATTCGAGGAATAAATTATGTACTTTTTTTTAACTATAAATATTACATTATTTTTATACCACGACAAAGGCACGTCACCGTTGTGGAACAGCGTCAGTTGCAGCAGTACCTTTACAAAGATGCAGCAGCAGCAGCAGGATCCCAGCAGGTCAGACGAGTCAACTTTTAAAGTATCCGATAGATCTTCCAACGATAATTGGTATAGCGGTGGCAGCGCCATTATGAAAATGAAAAATGACGATGCAACTCCGGAACAATTGCCCTCGTGGGAAGTTCTCGAGCGAGTTTTGAACGAAAAGTTCAACACTTACGAGTACCACAAATCTACCGGCGCGGGTGGTGGTGTCTTGCCGCCGCCGTTCGACGACGCCAAAGATACGAGCTTGGATTACGTCCTGATTAGCAACGACACAAAGGAGAGCTCGAGAAAACAATTTTCGTAACTTATTATTATTACTAAACAAAAAAGTAACAATGATTATGCACGCGTATACATGTATAACAAAACTATTCATCATCGTGAAAACACATTAGGAAGATCTCTGTTAGAAAATGATTTTAATCACGTAACGCATCTGTACATAAAGAAAAAAAAATAAGAGTTATGGAAAAGAAAAAAGTTATCACGAACGGAGGAGAAAATAAATTAATTAACTTTGCCCATACATACGTATCCCATTATATATTCTTTCTACCATTACAGTACTTAGGCTTTTGTAAAATAAGAGCAATTAGGCCGTTTTTGCGTGCACGCGCGCGCGTTAATTCGATGCGCAAATGAGAGAATCTTAGAACTTAATTATTTTTGCCCAGTTATAGCCGGCTAAGTCGCACACAAAAAGGAAATGAAAAAAGGTCGCGGGGGTCGGAGGATGAAAATATTATATATCGTCGCGGAATACGGTAAAAAGTGTACACGCGCTTTTACTTAAACCGCGCGCGCGCGCGCCGAAAGTTATGCAAGCCAGAGATAAAGAAAGCTGCTGCTGCGGATTCATAATTGTTATTTAACCGAAAGTTTCGAGTGCTCAACGCCGCCGCCGCCGCCGCATACATACGCACGCTTTACTTATACTACTACTACTACTACTACTATAGTTGGCTTGCACCACACGCGAGCGGCTAATGACCACTTACGAGAGAGGGAGAGCGACACGAAAACAATAATGATAATAATATTATTATAAAGCGTAAAAACGTTCGCTCTCTGTGGCCTCTGAACCTGCTGCACACAGTCACACGTATAAACATACTTACGCGCTGTGGCGTTGAAACTCACGCGTTACATTGCTAGAGTTCGCGTGCTAGCTGCAGCGTAGAGAGAAAGCAAAGGAGAAAGAGAGAGAGAGAGAACACGGAACGAATGCCAGCGGCCTCGCGGTGTCGTTCTACTGTCTCGGTCACGGTAAAGGAGGGTAGAGTAGAGAAGCTAGAGCACGAGAGAGAAATATAGCACGCATACACACACACACATACACACGAGACCTGCTGTAGCAGTAGTAAAAGCAGTGGTAGTAGTAGTAGTAGCAGTATAGTAGCAGCAGCAGCAGTAGTCGCGCGTAGGCTGCCGTTATCGTATATAGCTATATTACCACTACTACACTATATAGACATTCGCCCACCGTCGAGAACCTCCCGACTATACTCCCTCTCCTCCCTCTACACACTGCTACTCTACTCTGCGCCCCCAGAGCCAGAGCCAGAGCCAAAGCCAGAGCCAGAGCAGCAGCAGCGTCCCTCGAACCCCCCTCGATCTTTCGCAGCGAGAGGGGTTAGCGTGAATAGCTCGAGGGGTGCGCGAGCGAGCGAGCGAGCGAGAGACAGAGAGAGCGCCGCGGCCTCCTCAGTTTCGCAGCATCCCTGCTACGCTTCGGATCGCCTGCTGTGTATAGTAGAGTTGCTGCGCGTACGCGACATAACCTACGTATTATACGCTTCGTGCGCGAGCTTGATTTTTATTTTTTGTTTTAGAGTGTTTTGCTACGATAGCTGCTATCAAGAGCCACTCGCATCGGTAATAAAGTGCGCGAAAGTTTTTCCCGCGTTAACTAGTTCGAGTGTGTCGTTTTCGAGTGTTCGCGTGTATTACAAGTGTGTGAGTGTGCGCGCGCGCGCGCCCGCGCGGGTCTGAATTTTCTCGGAGTGCTTCGCGTGTATACCACTACTACTACTGCAGGGCCATGTGGCCTGAATAAAATATTTTGTCAACGGGTCAAGAGTGTAAAAGTGAAAAGTGCGCGTGCTCGTTTGTTATTATTTTGTTATTATATCGCAGCTGTGCTCTAAGCAGGCACCTGTCGAGCGAGATTGAATCCTGTGCTCCGCTGCGCCAGTACATAAACATGTGCGCGCTGCAGCAGCAGTGTGATCGAAAAAGTGCGCCGATCCCCGAGAGCAGCCCATAGGTGCATCATCGTCATCGCTATATAAATAACGGTGAGCAACTCGCAGTTCAAAATCTCCAAATTGTTCGACCACCCTGTAATTTATAAGTGCATCAGTACTCGTGTACGTCCGTGCATATAAGTTGCGCATTCGGATTAGCGCGTGCGGAGTGTCTTTTTCCTTCGGCCGCGGAGCAGCTAGCTCAGTCCATTCATCCTGCGGGTATATATGAGAGAGAGAGAGAGATATAGAGAGAGCAGCAGCGCGTCAAGTGCGCGCGAGGGCGAACTCGTGACCTATTTGTGTACGCCAGTTTTTAGATCATCGCTCGATGTATATAATACGTGTGTATACGCGTATACACGTACACACACACACGCAAAACTTATAGATGTGTAAATGTAAATGTAAATTTCTGCGTAGTGGTAGGGGGCGCGCCTCTGTATCGTTTCGAATTTCCCGATTCAAATTAAAACCGTTACGAAAAAACAATCTATCCTAGAATTCCAGCAAATCATTCGGAAGAAAATACAATCGTTCAAAATTACGATCAGAATATAATATTGAGCTCGAATTGTTATTCCAGTCAATTTTAATCGGAGGGAGGTGCGTCGTTTCTAATTATACGATAGTGCGTGTGCTGCTGCGTCTAATAACAAGCACGCGCTACTCTATATACGCGGAAGAGTAGCAGTAGCAGCAAGTTATACCAACCGATATGGGTTCCGCGTGTGTTTGCTTTAGGAGCTCGCTCGCTGCGTGCGGGGGATACGGTGTTATTAATTACTCAGTTTTGCTTTCTAGCTTCTTGCGCGCTTTATTACGCTTTATCTTCCTCATCCTCCTCGCGCTACCCCCCTCGACTGCTGCTGCTGCTCCTCTTGCGCGCGTGTCGTTTGTTCTGCTTCTGCAGATACGATACACACACTTACACACAGCACGTATGTAATATATAGTACGTATCGTAAGTCGCTCGCTGGGTTGTATGCTTCTTGGGTGGAGCACGCAACGCAACCCCCCCCGCGCGAGTACATATAGAGAAACAGTTGAACTTCTGTGTGTGTGTGTGTGTGTGTGTGTGTGTGTGTGTGTGTGTGTGTGTGTGTGTGTCGAGCTGCGGCCGCGCGTTCATGAGCTAGATATATGTTAGAAAATTATTTTCTACTTACGCCTTGCTCTCTTGCGGGAGGTCTCGTCGATAATCATTGACTTTATAAATAACACACGAGAATATCGATCTTTTTCTTCTTCTCTTTTTTTATACGACTCGCATTTCTTTTTTTTTTTTTTTTTTGNCCTCGCTTTTTTTTTTTTTTTTTTTTTTGCTGAATCTATGCCGGTGTTGCTGCTTTTGCTAACGATTTTTTAATCTATCAAAGAGAGTTTATTTTTGTGGTGAGTATCGAGGCGGGAGTACAATAAAAAAATAGCCGCAGTCGAGCTATTCATACGCGTATATGAAATCGCGTCGATTACGATTCAAACAAAAAGAGAGAACGGTATTATTTCTCGCATTTCTCTGAAATAATCTCTGCGCTCGATTTTGACTTTTCATAAAAATATAGCATTTCGAGACGGGGGGTGAAAAAAAAAGAGCTCGATGCGAGAATTCAAAGCAAACAAAAACACAGCCTCGCAAAATAAAGCCGCGTGCTGCTGTTGCTGCTACTGCTGCAAGCTCATTTGAATTTATCGATTTGATGATTAAGTCCAAGCGCCCACATGCCGGGGCATTTGTTGTGAAAATTTTGCGTGATCATTTCTTCCTTTTGTTTTGTTTTTTTGTTTTCTCTTTTTTTTTTTGTTTTTTCGTTGAAAAATTTCCGAACAATGTTGAATGGCATAAGCGGTGGCAAACATATATCATACGTGACTTTTCGCAAAATTTATTGGCTTGCGACGTATACCACTACTATTTCGTAAAAAAAACTTCGGAGCTCGCACGAAAATAACCCCCAACTTTAATCGTTGCGTTTGAAAATTTCTCCTGACTGACGTTTTCGTTGCAATGAAAAAATTGCTGCCATACCTCCTTTTTTATGCTTACGTGGGTGGGAATAGAATGACACCCTGCATCTGATCGCACATATAGCACACACACACACGCGCGCTCGCTTGCGTTCGGGCGATCGGAAGCTCGGAAAATGCACGTCTGACATCTCTTCTTGGAAGGAAAAATTATGGATGTGGAAAGTGGATCAATAAAACTACGTGACAATGGAAATCTAACAATTCTCTTCGCTATTCGCGATAGACTTTCGAATCTTCATTCTAAAATATTTTTTATCCAATTATATTCGTTGGAAATTTAGATTTTAATTGAAATATAACGCTTTTAATGGAGAATCTCATTGGTATAAATAAAAATGATACGATACAATGCTATTTTTAATTTTCTTGAAATAATTGAAAATTTTTTTGGAGAAACTACGATGCAAAATCTAGCGAATGAGCAGAAGCCTGCGAATGAAGAGAAATGAAAGAAAGTTGCGAGCAAGAGAGATAGAGAGAAAATGGTTGAAAATTAGAGCCGAGAAAAAAGTACAAATATAGATATTTATTCACGCACTCTCGACTTAAATAGAAAATATAACTATATAGCCTCGAAAGAGCGGGGTGGAGAGAAAGAGCGCGATAACGCACAACACACGAATAGAAGTTTTTTGCCTTCTTTTGCTGTTCGTGTCCTTTTTAGCGTGGGATAACTTAATGAATTTATTGGACAACTGCTGGACCTCTTTTCCCGCATGCAAGCCAGCGCGGTATATGGCATGTAAAGCTTTATTAGAGGAGCGGCAAAATTGAAAACAGTCTTGCCCCTCGCAACGTGTACATAGCACGCACGTGTATACGTATACCGTACACGCGCGAGAAAAGAAAAAGCAGAATGAAGAAAATATTTCATGCACGCACAAAGGTTTAAATAATAATTGAAAAATCGTGTACAAAAGCCATGTTTGTTTTGTGTTAAGGAAAAAATTAAATTACCTTCTAATTATTTTATTCTTCAGCGTTCGCCTTTTCATGCAATTCTGTAACAGTAAAACATTTTTATTTTTCAGCCTTTGTTTTACAACATTGCATTCATATTAATTCTTTTTCGCCCAAAAAAATTAGAAATTACTCAAAAGATAACTTTTAATTGTACAGAAAATATACACCTTTTGATCTTCCACTGGAAAATGCAACAAAATAGTATATTTTTCCACTGGTGCCGTGGTTATTTTTTTTTTTTTTTTTTGAAAAATCAGGGATTGTAACCGAAGGCTAGGAGATTTTATATTAATACGTTACGATATTTTGATATGAACTAGTACGTATCTTTCATTAACAATTTTCACGTTTTGTATAATTTGAAATTTAACCCTAGATGTCACTTTCAAATCCACAAGTAAAAATCTCAACTATTTATAATATTTATAATCGATTTACTGTTTTATTTAACTAATATATTACTTTTACACATAAGTAGAATAAGTAAAAGTATGGTCCGACGTTGAACTTCTCTCAAATATTGGTGCGTTCGTTTAAAGAAAAGCAAAGTCTATAGTAATCCCATTTTTATTCATCGTTATGTAGAATCCGTTTATAAAAAGAATAAAATTAAAATTAACAACGTTAAAAAATTATTTTCACGAGAAAATTGAGTACTTTGCCGCCGATGCGTCTTCCTCTCCCCCGCGCGCTTCATGAAGAGTCGCTATTTTAAAAAAATGCAAGTTTAGTTTTACCCTTCTATTCATCATAGAGGGCGACGTACATGTGTGTAGGCTGCGCGCGAGATAGTGTATACGCTGACGTGATGAAATTGCCAGGCAGAGCATGTGTAGCTTCTCTCTGCGCCATCCAATCTCGGCGTCGTCGTTTGCGCACAAAACACTGCAGAGCCCCTCAGTAGCCTGCACACGGCAGCGGCAGGCAGGCAGGCAGGCAGGAGGCAATATATTATATGGCGCGATACATGCACACTTGCACTGGATTGGATTAGCCGCTGGCGCACAAGTCGCGCGTTCTCGCACACCAAGATTAATATTATAACTGCATCAAATTATCGATTAAATTTTTTTTCAATCCCTTTGACGCTTATTTGATAGTGAATGACAGACACCCACGGGTTCGCATCTGATGGCAAATGCTTCTGGTTTTGAAAGCAAAAAATCAAATCTTAACTGCTGGCAGGATTTACACCGGGACTAATACAATAATAATAATAATAATCGAAAATTTACAATAAATACTGTACAATTTATCAGTTAAAATAAACGAATTTGTATGTAAGCCAAAATAATATAAAAACAAAATCGAGTCCTTATTAGAATGAATAATATATGATATCTTTCTCTTTTGTATCATTGACATCACTGCGAAATATTCATATTTGACTTATTCATTGACTACTTAACGATCGAATAATCACCTTCATTGATACAATTATTTTTGAACGAGTAGCTTGAATGTAAAAACTTCAAAACATTCAGATTCGTTTTCTATTTCATGAAACTCTCGAAGCTCAGTTTAATACTTTACTTAATTTATTAAATTGCTCAATCCAATTTGTGTACTTTCTCGCTCGCCTTATAAAACATTGTATAATCTCGGTGGCATGGTATTTTAGGTGATCCAGGATTAACTGCATGAATGTCCACACTTATACACAGCTAGTAGTATATTGCAAGCTATACCCGTATATGTGTGAATACGGAATGTACACGATCGTGATGTACGTTATGGTTATTTCGGTGGATATGAAATCGTGAATATCCTTTGATATCACATTACGCATTCACGAAAGCCTATGGTTTACATAATTACGATATTGTTGTTGCATTAGATGATATACTTGCTAACAATACTACTAAATAATCAAATGAATGATTAAAACTAAAAGCGTTTAGTTATTCCGTCTGAAATTATTACTTGCACGGTAATAATTGAGAGTTGGGCCTGCATAATTCGCCATGTGCAGTAACGATTGAGATGCCTTGCATACGTGTAAATGTGTTTCTATACGCGACCGTAGTTTTCGGAATTAGCTTTGAATTCATCGTTCA